GGTCCATTAAAGTCCACTTAACTGGAGATTAAAATGAGAATGACGAGAATAAAACTCTGTTTAGTTATTCCGCCATGTGTTTCACTGTCATCCACTGTTGAACGTGTATGCAGGCAATTTTTCTTGTTCAGTCGAGGTGCAATGACTTAAAAGTCTAAAAAGTTTAAGAGTTTAAAAAGCTTCGAGTAAGGGAACGTCAGCGAGCTGCTTAGTGTCATGGTACAATACAAAACAATGAGGAAGTTCCCTCCATTAGGGCCGATTACAGCGCACTCACGGAAGGAGTTTTTGTACTATATTCCAGACGGAAGTAGTCCAATTTTTGTTCAGGGTTTGCTCTGCAAACGCCGCGTGCAGTAATATAGAAAACCGAGGATGCGATACACAGAAGCATTGAGATCATTAAACGTTCCTTATACAAAGCCTTTGAAGATTTACATCCCAGTGTTTCCCCTGCCTCATACCCCCAAACGCAAAGGGATCATTGGGGTTTATTCATGTCTTTTGCGCTAGATGAGCCAGGGAGGGGCTTATCTCCATGGAGCCGTTATCAACTAAGCTATCAATTTCCGCCATGGAAGATATAACCACTACTTCCGCGTTGTACATGTTGTGTAAGTCCTACATGTCCCAATGTAAATGCCTTCCTATGTAGGCTCAGAGGGGTGTATGTCATCTATCCACTATATCTGTCCTTTTGTTTCACCTGTGATTTGGATATCATATTGGCATTGACACAATTCAGACGATAGTAAATCCTAGTATTAAATCAAACACGGCAGCAGCTTAATAGATGATCCGCGAGCAACCGTGTCCTCATGTGACCTAAAGCCAAGTCCTTCTTTTTTTTTTTACTGTTCACAATACACCAGACTTCCTACTTCTCGTCCTGTGCCTGTCTGCTCGTACCTTACATGACACACGTGTGCTTTATTCTCCGTGCCCTCTGCTGGTCCCCGTGTGTGATTGGCTGCCTGAAGGGTTGCTGAAGCCCGTGACTGCACTTGGAAGCTAATCAGTTCTGCACTGTGGGTGGTTTCTACCACACACCCACAGATTAGATGAACATGAACACATATTTGGTACGGCATGAGCAACATGTTGAGGTGGACACCATGCTGGTCTGGGACACCTGGGCCATTAGCGCACTTAGACCGTAACCAGGGAGACTGATGTGCTCTTCACCCGCGCAGGGCCACATATTAACCGGTTTCCCACAGGACTTACGGAGACTGTGGTGGGAGGAACTCGGGCCCCGTACATGGGTCGGGAGGCTCCCCAGAAAGGATCAAGTTAGCTGGATCAATCAGTGCATTTTCAGAGATGAGGATGAAGCACATCTAAAAAATGCTTGGGTGGCGCTTAGGAAATGTCTCAAGACAGACAAGCGTATACAATTTGGAGAGAATAGGGTCATTTTTGAAAACTTTTTTCTGAAAATATTATTTTTTTTCTTTCTCTGCGGTGCCTAGCAACCTGCTGCGCTTGACAGTGAAAGCCTTATGACTTGAAAGACAGACAGAGATGCTTCTTCTTATTTAATTTAATTTAATTAAGGAAGATATTCTTCACTGGAGCACGATATATTTCAGGCGGAGAGAAGAACATTTCCTAATCATTTTAAATTGAATTCAAATCGATTAAGCCATTTACATTTAGCTAAAAGTAAGATTGCAATCATAAGGCAGCGGAAATCAATACAGTCCATACAAACAGCAGTAGCACCTCCTATAAACTTGTATGCATAGACTTTTTTTTTTCTTCCATCTACGAGCTCATTTAACTAACCAAAGATATAACAAAATATTTCCAAGCATCAGTAGCTAAATGTTACCGCACACATCGTTCAACTCAATGCTTCTTCCCCCTGGCTCCCTGAAAGAACCAAATTCATAGTCTGTTTATAATCACAGCACAAAACAAGGAGCAAACCAACCAAGTTCAGTTTCATAACTTATCATCTTTAGCTTACTTTGATCCATTTGTGTTCATATTATGAAGTATAAACTATAACTAAGTCTGACAGTTTTCTAGTCATTTGTTTTTACAAACATGGTTACCAACGTAACTTAAGCGATTTCTTGAAACTGAGATGTGATGTGAAGTATTATAATATAACAGGAGGAGGAGGAAGCAGCCTCAGGATGACCCAGCTAGTGTGTCAGAACAAAATACCTCTAACCTTATTCTATCCTGAGCCCTGTTTGCCGGACCATTTTAGAACATTCTGTGATATAATGCATTGTTATTTGCAAATTAGTTAGAAAAGGTATTACCAGAAGTGCTCTTTTCAGCTGTCAAGTATATACATTTAATATTTCCCTTAATTCTACTGCATTGCAAATCGGCCCGACTTTATCATCATTTTGTCAACACCTGCGTCTGTTTTCCTTTGTGTAAAATATTGATGTTTCTAATTTGCTCTCCTATCTCATTTTGCTCAAATATGTCTTTTGTAAGTCCCTGTAATGTGATTTCCCCTCGTGTAGCCATGTGAGCAATACCCCTCTCCTATCTGTGCACGTGTTGAATAGGCACATAGCCTTTCATTTGTTGTCATAGAGGCCAAAGGATTGATGTGCTCTGGATAGAAAGCTATATTTATACTGACCTCTCATGCACTCCTCAAGAAACGAAGATGGTACAAATCACAAGCCCACAACATGATACTAATGCATTTCCTTTTGTTCACACTATGCAGCAGCCCTTTAAGTGTTTATTACTCAGGAAGCTGACTAATCCGGATTCTGAAGGAGTCTTTCATCAAACACCTGAATAGTAGTTGCGGATGCAGTTATTCTCCATTTTAACTTCTTTCGATGCTTCTCCGGGCATATACACCTCCAATAAATTAATTTAGATCAAGCTTCATTGTCAAAATAGGTAAAATAAATAAGCATTTTTTTTACCAAATCGTAATCAATCCTAGAAAGCCGTTCCATTTTAATTTTGATGCTCCATATATCATGCCTTAGATCCCTTTTGTTCGTAGTGTAGGCAGCAGTTAAGGACTTATGGTCGGGAAGAAAGTAAAGCTAAATACAAATCAGGTATTTGTAGTATTTCAATGACCAAAGAAGTGATTCATGCAAGCTTGTTCTTTGAAGGCCAGCAGTCAAAAAGAGTAACGCTCCTACAGCTCTGTGAATGATTAATGGTTACTGAGAGAAAAAAAGGTCACAAGTAAGGTTATGTGTGGAAGAGCGTGTGCAACAAGTGTTCCTGTGAAACCCTGCAATCAAATCTTGACTGTTATACTAAAAGCTAGAGATATTTGTTGATGCACACCGTTGAGCAGAAACAACGTAAAATGTGTTCATCATTGATTTCCATTTTTAATCTCTGTATACAAGAGACTGTATAATATTTGATAAAGGCGATTTTAATCAGTCAGGAGATAACAATGCCCAAATTTGGCACAACAGTATTTGTACATCAATTCCATTCATACTGACTTTCCAATAGCTGCATCCAAACAGGTTTTTAGAAGTGTGGTTTATCAGTTATAGTCTCAAGATGCTGCACAGCTTGAGTGGTTTCCAGATGACACGAACAGCACAGTAATATATTTAGCTGACATTGATATTGTACAAACTTGATACTGTGAAACATTGATAGAAAATGTAATGGATTACTGCTCACTGAGCTGCTGTTCACCACCCAGCTGATAAGAAATACCAGTAGCACCAACTGGAAGTTGAATCTAATATTGAATACCAATAGCAGTATCTTTAATCCTTGTGATACGCAGCCTACAATACAGGATTGGGTATCATAGAGTTTTCTAGGCTACAGACCGATGCAATTTGATGTCCAATGGCAGGGGAAATACTGATCTTACACTCAGCTTTTGGCTACATATTCGACTCTATTCACTGAATAGATCTAAAACTCAGCCATTGGCTACACACTACACTCAGGGCCTCATGTATTAGCGCTTTTGCGTGCCTGTACATACAATGCCACGCTTTTACAAACACGCCGCACGGAGGTGAACGAGCAGACTGCCTCACCCGGAAACTGAAAATGGCAAATTGCTCTATTTTGTGTCGTGCGTGTGCATTAACGGGAGGGTCAAGGGCAAAGTGGGAGCTCACCATAAAGAGACGGGAGGGGATGCGTAGTCGTCCGCAGTATGTACAGAAACCACCCGTGAGTAAAGCCAGGCTGCTAACGTTGGCTATTCGCAGTGTCAGAGGTTACTCATTGTCACCAGACAATAATCCCATATGTAGGTCGAATAAATGGAATAACTGAACTCTACTAGTACAGATACTGTCACTTTTCCTTGACTTAAACCAATCTTCTGTGTGCCAAATCGCTCTTTGGCTTGAGCGTCCACTCCTGAAAATGCTGCAGTTAGAATCCTAGATCTCTGGGTTTGGTTTTGAGTCCCTTTGAAAGTGTTGACTGTGGTGCGGTGAGTAGAGAGGGTTCAATCCCCAACTGATACGTGTCCTGTTTCGTACTGTCCCTGAGCAAGACGCCTAACCTCCAACTGGCCCTTTGGGTAAAGGCGTCAGCTAAGTGCTATGTAATGTAATGTAAAACGCACAACATCAGGGGCACCTGGACACAGACGCCACAACGGGGATAACAAAACACAATAACTCTGGTTAACTGGTTTGAAAACTATATCCTTTTAATTGTTCATATATCAGCTGTGTCGGTCAAACAATTAAGTCTGTATTTTGATCACATAGCTGCAGTGTAAACACACTCAGATTTTGGGGTAATAGTAGAAATGATTCACGTCAAAGCTGTTCTCATGCATCACCTCCAATTGACGATAACTAAGCTTTTTGTGTGTGATTTTTTGCATGGCCTTTGAACTCTTCAAATTGTCTCGTAGAAAATAATGAAACTTGCTCAAGTTACGACAAGATGGATTATTAACCTTTTTTGGCTTGTCTCATGTTAGCACAGAGTTCACAGATAACGTTGGGAGACAAAATGTATTCAGTTTGTTTGTGATGTTCTTTTCCTCTGTTTCTGTCTAGTCACTGATGTTGAATTGAAGCGACTAAAAGATGCCTTCAAGAGAACGAGCGGCCTCACCTACTACATGACCCAGCAGTGCTTTTACAAGGAAGTGCTGGGGGATGGAGTTCCTCATAAAGTTGCAGAGGTAAGCCACAGTAATGTCACACGCCAAGTACTATTAGCCATGATGTTTAATCTAAAGTGATGGTTACACTTAAAGGCCAAAGGCAGCCAGCCAACAACGGGGAAGGTTAAGGCAGGTGGAGTAGAGCATCTGGTGTCCCCTGAAATGTAAATGTCTCTCCTGTAGAAAAGAGATGAGTGGTGGATTCAAGCAGATGAAGTGTTCATGGAGTTTATACCCTAGAAAGTAATCCTTCATTTAAAAATAAAATTGGAGACGACCTGGGTGATTACGTTGGGTGTGTGGTGGGACCTCGGGATCGATAATGGCCTGAATGGGATCACACCTAAGAGTTCCAAGCAGAGGATAACAGGATAAAGGGGAAGACGTATCTGAGAAGCGAGTGAGCCGTCGTGCTTCTTCTTCATCTGTGAGCACTTGCTCTGGACCCATCGGGTAAAGCCCTTGCATACTGTACCCTATTTCTGCATGTTTTTCTGGCTTTTACCTGAAAATGACAATTAATGGCAATCGTATGTCATTTATATACAGGGTTAGTATTACCAAAAAATGTCAAAAAATGATAATAATTATGAACGTATATTTTTTGGAATCAAATAATTAGCACGGGCCAATGAGCAAATCCAATTACTATTTACTTTTATTTACTGTTGAACATAAGCGCTTTGGTCTTCTCTTTCCTTCCTCTTTCCTATTGTCACCATGGCAGCAGTTACTGTGGGGACAGCGGCCCAGATCTGAGGTTACTGCTGGTCTCTAAAAACAGAAATGGGGCTGCTACACATTCTGACATTCAGCCCGAGACGGAAATGTTGTTAACGTTCAGAAATCTCCGGGAGCTTAAATGAAAAGTCTATTTTGCGTTTCAAAACCTTCCTCTTTTGCTTGTTTTGTTTGTGTTAATGATGATGTTAAACGGATCCAGTTACGCCATTATCTCTGTTTAAATTGATCATTATCTGTTTCTTGTCAGAAACGTTGACTCGTGCGGTGCTTTTTAAACTCTCTTCATGGTCACACGCGAGCTCCGTCTTGTTGGAGCACCCACTTAGAATGCACTAATGCACAGCTGGACCAGACGTCCTCTTTTCCCCGGACATGTCCTCTTTTTGAGACCTAAAAAATGTGTCCGTCAGGGATTCCAAAAACGTCCGTGATTTTGCTTCGTCGTATATTTGTGTTTCTCTGGGTCTTTCACAAACTAGTTATTACGCCCTTACATGTTTTGGAAATGGTGTCTCCCTTACGTTCCACCTTCTTGCGCGAGCTCTGACTGTAGAGAGAACAGTCATTGGTCGACCGATCTCAATGTTGCCAGATACACGATAATTATCCTCCAAATACGACCATTTTGAGCCTTTGGTACAATACTTCACCATTTCCAATCTGGCAACACTGAGCACTTTGCCGCCTCCACTAGTTGCATTGTTTACAGCACATCTGCAGCCATGCCGAAACTAAAGGTAAGTTTACAGACAAACTAAAAAAAAAAAATACCCATGTTTTCGCCTCGGCCGTGATGCTTCAGAAGCTTTTCTTATTTTAATATGTGACTATATAAAGTATTTATTATTTGTTTATTTGTTATCATTATTGCTTCAATATATGGACAAGACACATTAAAGAAGCGCTGGACTAAATCCCACAAAAAAGATTTGTTTTACATTTGCACTTTGCAGTTTTGTTAAAGTTCAATAAATAGATGTTCATATAGTAATTTGTGTCATTTTTGTCATTTCATTTGTGACATTTGTATGCATTCACATGGTCACGGTATGGCATGCTATACACTAAGCCCCCCCCTCCGTCACGCCCCTGCCATCCTTGCAGACAGGATGAGTCTCCGGTACAGTCTCAGGGAGATCTGAGCTTCTTAAAAAGGTGTTCGACGCAAGATTGGGGCTCAACCCTCCCAATGATACTAGTGTTTGCCAGCACACAGTCTTTTGCCTGTAGTGAAAATGTTTTATTTTGAAAGTCTAAATGGCAAATGTATTGAAGCAGATTTCATGCAAATCATATGGCCCACATGGCCCTATGATTTGCATGATTAGCTCACCTATCCATGTCCACTTGGGTCCACGTTGTGTGGATGTCTTCGTACAGCCTAACGTTTGTAACAGTGTGGACTGATTAAACATACTTTACTCCTCAGTCCAGTCCTGAGGATGTCCAGTTTGCCAAGAAGATGCTAGTTTTGAAGAGAGGTTGAGTAAGGAAATCCCTCGTTACCCCCAATAATTTGTTTTTGATTTAATAGACAGCCAAATGGTGTTGAACTCCTGGCTAACAACCAGAATCTGATACGTAAACATATGAATTATGATGAAGGGTATTATAATAAACAGACTATTTTAACGTGTCTATTAAGCCTAACATTTAGGTGTTCTCTATGGCGACATCGATGAGTCGGTCGTGTCATGGATGATGACATCAGCGCAATGAAGCTCAGCATTTACAGTTGCATGTTCCTTTTGCACCACCCTCTGGAAATAGGACCATGTTTTTACCACTGCACATACTCTGGTGCACTTGGAATAACGTCTTCGGTTTGTAGATTTGAGTATGTGTTTATTTTTTGGAGCACAACTTCAACATCAATGACTCTGACGGTGCAAAATATTTGTATTTTCCGCAAAATGTGCAGGATTTGCATATTGGGCTTTTTTCTTTGGTTTGTATGCAAAAAAATAGCAAATAGTCTTCGTTATGGTCACAGACTGTAGGGATATTGTATGGGCTTTGGACTCGCTAAATGGATCAACAAACATCATCCACAAAACCAAACTCCTGTGGGGGATTTTGGGGTGATGTGTCAGACTCTGCCATCAAAACCCCACATGAAGGAATCTCTTTAGTCAGAATGCTTTACTGCCAGCATTACAGCAACAACACGTTCCCGTAGATACATGCAGCACAACATCAGGAGAATACGACGCCTTCTCACTCCGAAGGCGACACAGGTACTGATTCAGGCTATGGTCGTCTCACGCTTTGACTATAGTAACTCCCTCCTAGCAGGTCTACCTGCCATCGCCAATGACCTCTTTAGCTCCGCCACAATGCAGCAGCCCAACTGGTCTTCAATCCACCTAGAATCCCCCACACTACTCCGCTGCCCACATCCGTTTCCGAACGTTGGTATTTGCGTACCGTGCGGTAAACCGATCCGATCCAGTCTACATCCAGAACGTGGTCAAACCGTTCTTCCCCGCACGCTCATTCCGCTCTGCATCCGTCAATCTGCTTGTTGCTCCCTCACTGTTTACTGTTCTGGCTCCTAAATGGTGGAATGACATCAGGACAGCAGAGAGCCTTCAGAGCTTAAACACACCCCTAGCGACAATACCTTGAATAGGTAGCACTTGGTAGCACTCACAATGGCACTTAGTAATAGCACTTTATACTTTGGCTTTCTTAACGAAGTTGATTTTGTTAATTCTTGTTGTTCTGGTTCTATTCCCCTCTTGGTTGAGGCTAAATGTAATATGACAATGCCAATAGTACTTTCCTTTTCCAGGACCGCTGTTTAGGAGGAGACACTAAAATGTACCTAGTTGATCACTAGTATTTAGGTAATTGGTAGTTATTTTTCAATATGCCAATGAAGCATAATCTGGGGCTGCTGTAGAAGCAGTAAGTGTCCTTAAGTGAGACATTGTAAGCTAAGTGCTTTACAGAAGCCAACTGCTCCGCTCACTCATTCAATGGCATGCATGTACCTTTTATGTAACTATTGAAACAACAGCCTTGGTTTTGTTTTTTAGATGTCCTTATTGGTTGAGGTTGAGTGTTCTTGTTTCATTTTCTTAGACATAGCATATAAAAGTTTCTTCCAGAGGGAATTTGGAAATCTCTGCGTGTTCTAAAAAGTAAGCTATGCAGGATTTATGAAACCGCTTCAGAGTATAGAATGATGCTGGAAGGTTTAGTATACGTACGTTCTGCTGAACTGGAGATATCTGGTTCCGTCTGAGAAAATAATTATTTTCAGAAAACCCTGGCCCTTCATCACGTTTTGTAAAATGACATTTTGTAAGGAACCAGTGATATACAAGTTTAAAAACAAAAGGTGACTTAAAAGATGTTGCCATGAAACGTCCCCTGTTGATTATTATTAATTAATCATTATTGTTCATTAAGTGTTTGTATTTCCCTGAACTGTTTCAGATGCAGAGAGATGTAGAGAAGTGGCTTCTTGAGCGGCAGGCCTTTTGGCCACTTAGAGCTCACGAATGAAAGGATTCAATCGGTACAGACATGTATGCATACGTGATATGTGTGCTCCGTTACCAGCATCTGTTTAGAACAATCAGAAGAGAAAGGGATGGATGTGTTGAGATGAAGCATAGATGGACTTTGATATCAGTAATCCCTTAAAGTTGGTCATTTAAAAAATCTCTTTTGAAAAATGGCACAATTTCAATGAATTCAAAAATCATTTTTTTTATTATATTGAAAACATTTCCCACATAACATTACAAAGTTTGTTTTGTAATAATGGTAATAGTTGATTATAATGTTGCATCTCTGATCAAGGCAAAGTGGAAGAAAGGTGGAAGTTTTGATATAAATGGAATAATTTCATTTAGCCAAAATTCACTCTAACTACATGGATGGATGAGTGGAGAGCAGCGATGGGGATGAGGGGATGTTTGGAGGAGAACCTGCAGACAAGGACACACTCTTATTGAAACCACCGGGGGAGCAGCTCTGCTGGGGTCACCCTGTGTCTCCTCTCCATGCTCACGTCCTTACCAGTGAACATCACACACACACACACACACACACACACACACACACACCGCTCTGTAACCTTGCTGTATTTACCTTGCCTGTATAGACTTTCTCCCTAACTCATTTATTCATTCAAAGGCGCTTAAATACAATTTAATGGAAACTACATGTTTACTATATTAAAGTAAGTAAAAAAGGGTTCCATAGTCCTGCCACTGCAGTGGTGAGCACCCTGCAGCACCCCGCAGCACCCCGTAGCACCCTGCAGCACCCTGTAGCACCCTGCAGCACCCTGTAGCACCCTGCAGCACCCTGTAGCACCCTGCAGCACCCTGTAGCACCCTGCAGCACCCTGCAGCACCCTGCAGCACCCTGTAGCACCCTGCAGCACCCTGTAGCACCCTGCAGCACCCTGCAGCAGCCTGTGAAAATGTCCCTAAATGCTGCGGCTGCAGTCGAGAGAAGAAGATTTGATGAATTGCAGGAATATCACAACATGGAAGTGAAAATAGTATTCTGATTATTAAAAGGGGAGTGCAATCAAAGACGTTCCTGGAATCAATAAATACTTGTGATGAAAAATCTTGTATCCCACTATTGCTCGAAATATTCAATTTAACAACTCTGCCGCCTGTTGGGCTACATTTGTACGTGAATTAATATTTGGCAAATGGCACACAACACGTACACAAAGCCTCTCAAGCCATTTTCAGCAAAGTACTTCATAATAGCTTTTACAAAATGAAGACGCTTTAATTGCATAGCTGCTTGCAATTGGTTGGTTTAGATATTACTATTTATGATGTTCTATCCATCTATATTATACTCTATAAAAGGCCTTAACTTATTCCCTGGTGACAGCTGCTAGTGAAATGTGTCCACACAGGACGTGATCATGAGGTGATCCCGCAGTAGTCTGTTTGTTGTCTAACCGTGCCGCGTCTCTCCTGTGTTGTAGGTGATCTACACCTCATTCGGAGGCTCGCCTAAAGGGCTGCACTTCAACAATGTGATCGTGGGTCTGGTGCTTCTGACCAGAGGGCGCGATGAGGAGAAGGCCAAGTGTAAGTGTTCCTGTTGAGTTAACAGGAAGTCTGTGTTTGCTGTGTACCGTCGTCTTTTCTTGTTCTGCTAAATGTGACTGTGTATAGATCTACACTACAAAGAACACGATTCATATCATTACGGGAAAACTGGTTAATAGCAAATACTGTACTTACTCAGTAAGCACATTACACGTGACCAGTCACAGCGTGACTCCACCTTCTGTATATTTAGTGTGATGCTAGTTGAAGGGTTGGTTTGGGGTTGTATGAGGTACTGGACCTCCACAGAAAGGAAGCAAAGCATTGTGCTGCTGCTTAGCGTAGCGTAGATCATAGAAGCAACTCAGTTTGAGTGCACTCCTCAGTGTATATTTGTATTTACTTCTTTCTCTATGCTCTCTCCAAAGAGTTTCACTGTAACAGTTATTTTCAATCGTGTTTCAATCGACGTGGTGATTTTTCTTTCTGCCTCTCCGGTTATTCTTGCTCTTACAGCTGTGGTGGATGTGCTGCAGGCAGCTCATCTATCAGGACGTTATCGACCTCGGCTACATGCAGGAGGCTGGCCCTCCTGGGATAAGGCTGGAATCTCTTCTGACACTCTTTGTGTATGTGTGGGTGTGTGTCTGTGTGTGTGCGCCCACAGACCTCTTCAGCCTGTTTGCCAGCGATCTAAGTGGGCACGCAGCCAGGGAGGATATAGAAGCAGTTCTGCAGGTCCTGGATGGAGAAGTTCCGACCTCCCTCAAGAAGTGCTTCAGTGAGGTCAGCAAATGTCACCACAGAGATGTGTGTATGACACTTGTCCATCCATCCCAGTCATCGCCTGCATATCACCTCCGTTATCTCCATTGCATTACAGAGAGTTATTCTACAAGTTAGAAGATTTTAGAGATCAAAAGCGCAGACAAATCCATACTATGTTAAAGACATATATCTGACACATTGTACGCAGAGTGGGGCATTCGAAATTTGGCCCTTTTTATTTTTTACGAGTTACTAGACCTCAAGAGTCGAATGTCTTGATTCAAAACTCAGTCAACATGCATATTGATAGAACACTGAGTGTTGATTGGGAGAATGCAACGCGTGAGACTGACGTTACGCCATGAGCCATAGAGCCATAGACATTAATGAGCCATAAACTTAATATCTCAGTTTTCTGAACTACAAAAACATTTAGTCCACTCTTGGTTGTTCAGTGGACTTACAAAGCGGACGCACTACAGACGGTGACTTACACAGAGAACTTCAACCAGACAATCAAGTTATATTTTAGTCATCCATGTATTCGTCAGTTCCGAAGGGAAAGCTACACCCGTAGGTATCTGATGACAGTAAATCCCTGCTGCCACCTAATAACATTTCACATGCGGACTCTTGTATTGCTTCTTGTCCACTTACTCGAGGGGTGTTTAATTAAAATTCAACAAGGTGCACAAAATCAACAATATCCAACTTACTTATGATAAATAATAATAATACATTTTATTTCTAAAGCAGACATTTAAAATCAAAAGCGCTTCATACCACTTAGCTGTGTGTGTTGTTGCAGGGGGACAAGGTGAACTATGAGCGCTTCAGGAACTGGCTGCTCCAGAACAAGGAGGCCTTCACTCTATCCAGATGGCTCCTGTCCGGAGGAGTGTGTGTCACGCTCACAGATGACAGCGACACGCCTACCTTCTACCAGACACTGGCTGGCGTCACACACTGTAAGTCCCAAACACACACACACAACAAACTCCGTGGCTTTGCAAATGGGGCATGTGCACATAGGAACCTGTGTTTACTTGTTGACAGCAGCCCACCAACACCAATCAGGGTTACATGCATGTTTGTTTATAAGCCTGCTGTAATTACCTTCCCAGAACACAGAGAACACTCCGTCTAATATGTCTATTTTAGTTGTATTTGTTTTATTTGTGTAGTTGTTGGTGTGAGCTTAACTTCTTTTTCTGTACAAGTCCTGTATAGAACATAGATTAAGAATATCAGTGTTTCAACAAAATCACAAGTGTGTGTGTGCGAGTGTGAGAGATCCGGCAGGATACCTCTGTGCCATTTAGCTTCTTTACACCTGTGGAGGAAAATTTGGATATTGACAGGATTTGGGCTAAAAAGCTGATATCCAAGTCCGTCATAATACTTGACAGTAGACGTTGTCTTTCCAACCAGCGGGTTAGGGTTAGATGGGTGTTTCTTTTGGGCATCTCTACTATTAAAGCTGTTTAAACCTGTTTCATCAGAGGCTTTAAGGAAAGGATCCTTTTGAAATATGGCATAATCCAATAGTGTCATATTCTGAATTATACTTGACTATAAATGTGCATTTAAACATTGACAGCAAAGCAGTTCTTAAAAGTTGCCTGATAAGTAAATTTAGCCAAGCTTTATTTTGCCAATTAAGGACAAAGGGCGGGATAGAACCTGGACGCGTCCTTTAATCTGCCTGCTCCCAGTTTATCCTCTTAACTGTGTGTGTGTGTGTGTGTGTGTGTGTGTGTGTGTGTGTGTGTGTGTGTGGGGAGAGAGTGACTGACTGACACCATCCTGGTTCTTAACTCTTGCCACAAGGAGAAGGCTTGACTCATGACAGAGCTGGAATCCTTTGCTAAATGGCGGCGTCACCATGTTATCGCGGTAGAAATGCGTGGGAATAACCGGCGTGAGGACGGGATGGCGTAGCTTCGGTGAGGATAGTTTGCCATGTTACCTGCTGGCTGTGCCAGCACCTGTCTAAGGATGCTCCCTGGATGATGGTATGGTATCTCTGCTGTCACTCGGGGAGAGTCGCACCTCTAGGTGGGTATCACGCCATGGAGACCACATAGTGTAGATACCTCGCGGCTGGTGTGGATGGTCTCTACGGGAACAGACATTGTTGGAGGGCTTTGTTTGTCTTTGTTTGTTCGCCCGTTTGATTACAATTGATAGAAAAGGGCACTTTGTTTGATTTAGTTCTGTGATTGCTTTCAATAGAAAAGAAGAGCTAAAACAAGCGGGCATCAAACACCGTGTCACGCACACGCTCCACTCACCAGTTCCACCAGTACAGTTAAGATAGTGAAACTGCCAAGCTCTATTCCTGCCACCATTCAAAGATTTGAAATCCAGCAGAGACTTCCAGCGCTCCACTGACATTCGCAGACGCAGCGAGCGACCCTGAGACGGGTGGAAGATGTGCGCGAGGCAATCCATAGTCCTGGTAATGACTTTTAGAGACGTTAGCAGAGCTGTCATGAGGAATACGCATGATGAACACATGTTTATTTTCTTCTTCATTGTTTATGGACTAAATGAGCTGATATCCACTGCTCCATTCATCGTTTTAGGCCTCAGTGTGCTTGTTTTATGATCTTTGCAGGAGACTTGATTTTCCCTGTTTTTGTTGAGTAAGCAGCAGTTTCCAATCAAGCTTTGAGACAGAAAGGTAGTAGGTAGGAGGCTTAACTTCTCATGTTATTTCCTCCATGCCATTTCCATGTAGTCAGACTTGAACAATGGCAGTACCACTGCCGCGAGGTTCACCGAACCTGGTTAGAGAGGACTGCCCCTCTCAGACGGTCCATGGTGTCAGTGTGCTGCTTCACCAGCAGCCGACCACCCCGATCCCGTCTGTCCGGAACTGTGACCGGCAGCTGCTGGAAAGCAAGCTTTGTGGAAATGGTCAACTAGCCTGCCGAGAATCATTGGCTCCACTTCTGCCAGGAACTGACTGGGGTTCGATTCCTGTCTCGTTGACTTGGACACCTGTCATGTTTTGGCTCCGTGCCAAAAGCTAGCTGACAACCTGCCGAATCCTATTACCGTAAGCTGTGGATTAGCATGTTGGAAGGGGGAAGCGGGGTCATTGACCCCGGCAGAGCCTCATATGCTATATTGGGCTGATCGGTATCAAATATACTTGCACCCATTGGCTGTTCCATAACCCCAGCTGGGGCTGGCTGTGGCCTCGTGACCACTATCATGTCCAATCTACTGGTCAGCGCGCCACAGCTTGTAAGTGCTCTCATTGAGATGCATCTTGGTTTGTAACCTTGTGCGTCAGGTAACTTGTTGTTGGTCAATTGACTGAATGACTAATTGTCTAATCCTCTTAAGCCCCACTTCAACCAGGCATGTGTGTAAAGGTCCATTTGAAGTTTGGACTTTTACGGTGTAGTGCTTTGCTGTGGAAACCAACTTAGTTGGACTTCTTTACTTTTATTCTGATCTTAAATGTGAGAAATTTCAAGTAATGATTTTTGCTTTCACAAGTCTAAACTAAACTAAAACCCCTTTAATTAACATTACCATACTTATACGTGTTTCTCCATTGAGTAACAGAGCCTTGTTTACCAGGTTTCTCTGCAGACCTCAACCTGTTGCTCTTTAGGATGTTGTATTATAGCACAAGGGGAATAAAGAAAACCGACTCATTCACAAACACTGAATGCAAATAGTTGGTGATAAGTAACTTAATGAATTCCTTTGACACCGTGTCTCATACGTGGACGGTATTTTCTTGTTCTGTCCTCGGTGTCGTGCCGCATTAACTCTTACTCTTATATTCCATAATGTTTACAGGGCATTTGCTTGTGCTTCTTAACTCAACCTGCCTTTTACGTCGTGATCCTCACCATATACTGTATGCTTACTTGTAAATCATCTCGAGCTGTTCTATAGATGCGTTGCACAATGAAATTGTACATACTTTTGCTATCTTCTTCTTACTGTTAGCCACATTCACATGAAGTATAAAAGAAAAGCTATCCACATCTTTTTGTAAGTAATGATTCACAGTTTTATTTCCGACTTTTTAAATTTTTTTTACAGAACTACAAAACAGATCTAATTCCTCTGAGTAGTTTTGCACAGATCTTATTTTGACTTTGCCTTCTTCTGTTTGTGATCTTAAAGTGGAAGAGTCCGACATCATAGACTTGGAGAAGCGCTACTGGCTCCTCAAAGCCCAGTCCAGAACCGGACGCTTTGACTTGGAAACTTTCGTCCCTCTGGTCTCTCCTCCCATCCATGCCTCACTGAGCGAAGGTAAGACAATAGGAACCTGTACTTTGTATTCCAGTCTGAGTATCAAGGGGATACAGATATAATGCCAACCCCTCTTCCAACACCTGCTCAGCATAGGAATGATCTGATGTGGCTCTTGTTTTCCAGGCTTGTTTCACGCCTTCGATGAGAATCGGGACAATCACATCGACTTCAAAGAGATCTCCTGTGGACTCTCTGCGTGCTGCAGGGGGCCCGTGGCTGAAAGACAGAAATGTAAGCGATAACAGATATTTTATTTGATTGCACAAGAAAACAGGGCAGCAGAAACACAACAACAGCAGAAAAGAGCATCATTTCTAGGGGAGATTTTGTATACCTCAGAAATTATAAATAATAATAAAATAAAGACAAATCCTACAAAGCCTTTTCTTGTTATCTGGAATTTTCATTTAAAGAAATTTACATCACATGTCATTTAGCTGATGCTTTTATCCAAAGTGACGTACAATAAGTGCATTCAACCATAGGGTACAAACTCAGGAGAACAAGAAACAAGAAAGGGCAATTTCATCAAATAAGCCAATTTACAATTTGCTATAGATAAGTGGCATTATTAGTACAATTTAAGTGCTACAATTTGTTAGTCTTTTAGTGGAGGTTGAGTCTGAAGAGGTGTGTCTTTAGTTTGCGGTGAAAGATGTGAAGGCTCTCTGTGGTCCTGGTGTCTTCAGAGAGCTCGTTCCACCATTTCGGAGCCAGGACAGCCAAGAGTCGAGATCTAGTCGAGTGTTTTGCTCTCAGTGAGGGAGGAATTTGTGTTGATTTGTGCAGGAGCTCATTGTTGTCATTTCCTGCCAAGAATCTAAACAGGAAGTATCGTTCTTTACGACCGTATTTGTTTCTTACCACTACACTGCTCTCGTTGCCCCACAGTTTGCTTCAAAGTGTTTGATGTGGACCGGGATGGGGTGCTGTCTCGAGATGAACTCCATGAAATGGTGGTGGCCTTGCTGGAAGTGTGGAAGGACAATCGCACGGACACACTCCCTGTAAGTTTACACCAGGAAATCCAGGATGCGGGAGCTCAATGATGACATCACACCCTCTCTTTACAGCATCAAATAACTAGAAGCAAACCTGTCAGAAATGATGATATTAAAAAAAGCTAAAGATAACAAAAAACAACTTTGAGACATTTTGACAGGTCTTGGATTTTTCCCTATAATATAGATAGTTGGTGTTTATACCCTATTCTGCACCACCATGCAGTAAGCAATATTTCTTGGCTTCACTTTGAGGGGCAGTCAAGTTTTCTATTGTTCTATAATTTTGTATTACATTTAATTTTTAAATTCGTGGCAGTTTATTTGAGGTTAACGATGGCAGATGAATGTAAACATAACAATATTGGTATGGCATAAACGATAAAGATACACAACAGGACATTTCCTTTGGGGGAAGTACCTCTTTGTCTAAATGTCATCCCGTATACAGCTGTGACGGGCAATAAAACCATATGTCTAATCACATACGGCGTTCCCGGCGTGGAAAACGGACCGATATTGATGATCAGCCCAGAATCCTTTGAATGACTCACCTTCCTTTGTCACAGCCAGGATTGTGATCTCATACACAGCAGTAGCTCAGGAGATGTTGCTTGGGGCTTTCATGCTCATCCTTTGTTCCCCTGCAGGAGCTGCACAGCAGCGTGTCAGACATCGTAGAAGGCATCCTGAAGATGCACGATACAACCAAGGTGAGACGCCACAGAATCAGCATGGATTGTCTTTTTTGCTTTCTCCCCTTTAATGTAATGTGATTGGAAACACTAAACTCCGGCTTCACGTTGTCGTAGTTCCACATACTTGCACCGGAAGCCTTGCAGTACACCCACAGCAACCTTCCTCTCATCTTACCTTCGATTCTCACCGACCATAACCACAGCAGATGAACTTCTTCTGTTCGATTTAGGTCTCTCAGTGTATGTTTGAAAAATGCTGACCTGTATTTTCTTTTCTCCTCACCAGCTGGGTCACCTGACCCTGGAAGACTACCAGATCTGGAGTGTGAAGAGTGCATTGGCCAATGAGTTCCTCAACCTGCTGTTCCAGGTCAGAACCAGCGCCTAGTGTACAGTACTTACAACCCCCACTTGGCGTGTAGTATTTGTTGATGGTGTATTTTCACCGTCTTTGTGTATTTCTCTCTGTCCAGGTCTGCCACATAGTCTTGGGGCTCCGGCCCGGTAGTCCTGAGGAGGAGGGGCAAATCATCAGGTACATACCTGTCCTCTCCATCTGTCATGTGATTATAACAGCATTGCATAATATGCTGCTGGGGTCTAATGAGTGCGTTGTGTGTCTGTGTGTAGAGGTTGGCTGGAGAGGGAGAGCAGACACGGGCTCCAGCAAAGTCAGAACTGGTTTCCCATCTCCATGCTGTGGTGGCAGCAATGGAAGGACTACGTAAAATATGTAAGTCCAGTTTAAGCAGGAGGGGTTCGTAGATCTGGATGTGCACTGACATTAACGCTACGCTGCTACTTATCTTTGTGAGCTGTGTTGCACTTACAGAGAAAACGTGGGACCATTTCCTGTGGATGTCCAAACATTGTTGATAGTAAATGTAATCTATGTTTGCTGTATTGACAGAGAATGTTCTTCTGCTTGCGGCGCGGCCGGCGCGTACCGGCATGCATTGTGTGCGAGTTTCTGACAACGAGGCTCGTCCATATCCTCGTTGCACTCAATACAGGCACAGCCTCAGGGTCACTTGGCTGCATTCCATCAGCCGGTTTAATATCCATGTCAGTCCAAATGTATCCTCGTCCGCAACGTCTATTTTGAGATTCCATTCACGCTCTTGGAAACCGATAGTTTGCAATACAAGCAAAGAGCTGAGCAGCTTCTGTCTTTGAGCGGCACCTGGAGCACGCAGAACACAACCCTTCATGCCTCTGGCTACCTGGTCATGTCCTATCGGCCACATTCACCATCAATACTGACTGGACATCCAAATGGAAAGTGTTTTGATTTTGCTATTGAATAATGTCACAGCCAGTGTCTCCCAATACAAAGTGTATTGTTGTTAAGATTGCTTGTGGACTGGTTTTGGACTTGCTCAAGCAATTACAAAACAAGTCACGGTGTTTATCTCCGGTGTAGAACATCAGACACATTTTGATTTTGAAGAGCTGAAGATTTGTTCATCTGATATTCAAGCTGAGTTGCACACAGTGTTCATGTTAACCCATTTTGCTGGCACGGACTAATGTGTAATGACATTGTTTTAAGGCCACAAAGAAGCACTTAAAGGTTTAATGTATGACATGTTGATGTATGACATGTTTTTGCAGCTGGAAAAACAGTCGATCCATCGGAATTACTGAAAACATCTCTGATGTGGCCAGCAATTTTATAGTCTGCAACTGGACTTTATTTTTCTAATAATGAACATTAAAATACACGTCATAAAGAGCCAAAGGAAGTGCAGGTGAGCCTCTCAGGCTCTACGGTGGAAACATGATCCTCAACACAAACCGGATTCGTTACTGTGGTCTTCAAAATGTACCAGCTGATTGACTCTATTTCCTACACAAAGGCCCACATGCTTTTATATATACAGTATATACATTTTTACTAAATGGACCAGTCTAAATCATTGCACACAAGTGACTCGTGTGCAATGATTTGCGTGACGGTTCACTTTTCCAAATGTGTTCCTCACTAGTCTACTCACAGCTTTCAGTGCCACAGGGTTGGATAATACGAATACATCTTCTTATGAAACCAGTTTTTCCCCATGACATCACACTGTCCACACTTTAATCACAGATATCACTTTGAACAATGACAGGGAAGTCCCTGCTGTTGTCTCCCTGTCCAGGAGCACAAAGGCATCGTGGTGGAACAGCCGTCCATCCTGAGCTCGTTGAGAACTCCAATGTCCACAGCCACTATAGAGCCCGCCCCACCAGACCGACTGGGAGGACTGGGAACCTTCAGCTCGGTCAGCCCCACTGAGGAGAGGTCGCCTGATGCCGTTTCCAGCGCCTCAGAGGCCACAGAGACCGGTCAGTCAGCACATGTCACATACTGGTTAATAGCACATATAATCATAAGAAACACAACACTTGACTCATTGGAGTGCAGATAAAAACGACATGCAAGTTCCTGACAAACAACACTTACGCTCACATTCACACACCTACGGGCATTTTAAAGTCCCCAATCAACCTGATCCCCAGAGCATGTCTTTGGACTGTGGGAGGAAGCCGGAGAACCCGGAGAGAAGCCACTCAGGAAAACAGACTCCACACAGAATGGCCGCTGGGCGAAGTCAAACCCAGGAGCTTCTCTCTGAGGCGACCGTGCTAACCACCACACCACCGTGCCGCCCTGTTTTTATTCTTGCATATTCTAATGCAATATTTACTTCTTGATGTGAATCAGTGAAACACTCAACATTTATACTGGCTTTGTTACGATGACCGAATTCTTGGAAATGTAAATACAACTTCTATAGCTACAAAGCATCCCAACTTCACATCGATTGGATTTGAATGCTCTCTGTTGTGTCTCTGTGTAATTTCTGTTTGTTCCCCCTCTTGTCCCTTCTGTCCCAGCAGCCTTGAGCCCTCAGGTAGCTTCCTCTGCTACCGACGGCTGTTTCGCCCGTCAGCACAATGTATCGGACAACAACAATCAGTGTTTCTCTGGAGCCAACGGCCACCTCCCCTCCCAGCTGGCCGCCCAGCGGCCCGGAGCCATCGACAACCAGCCGCTGGTCAACACCGACCCCATGAAGGCAAGGACGTGTTTGTGTGTGTGTGTGCGAGAGACTGCTGCTCAGTTTATTTTGTTGATCATCGCTACCGAGTCAGTGTGTAGTCGTTGTGTGAAAGATTAGCGGATCAATCCCCGGCAAGTCAGACTATGAACCCTGAAGTTCCTAACAGGCGCTCGACATCCGTGCAATCCTCATTCTTATGGTGTACGGGTCAAATTTCATTGATGTGACAATTAGAATAAAGTATTCATGAGATTGCTCACTCCCTGCGAGAAAGGAAATGTAATTCTCAAGATGTGGCTGAATTCTGAGAAATATGCATGTTCGGAAAGCAGTGTTGCTATAAATGTACCGTCAGATGTAGAGCTTTTAGGTAAGAGTGGTTGTTCCCAGTGGTTAGCTTACTATTAGGGGTGTAACGATTCATTTTAACAACGATTCAAATCGAATCGCGATTCATGGTTCCCGATTCGAAAAATCTGAAAACTGTGAGAGGACAACTTTCTTTCTATAGTTGGATGCAAAAAACGATTCCTAATTATTAGCCACTACTCCTCATCTGGCAAAGGCTCTCAGGGACCAGATGGTGCTTCCTTTTTCTTTTGTCTTATCTGCACATCATGCTGTACTAGTAGCAGGCTGCCACTCTGTGCATAGCATTAGGGTGCCGTCTATGTCTATTATCTGTAATCTGAGTAGGCAGAATAGGGCCTTTTGTGCATGTATTCTAAATGCTGATGTCTGTGCTGTTCCCCTGCAGGCCCCCACGCTAACCATGGAGGGGGGTAGGCTGAAGCGCTCCTTGCAGCTGGTGCCTGGCAGAGACTTTGAGACCGTGCCAGAGCCCGTGTGGAGGGCCCTCTACCATTGGTACGGTGCCAACCTCAGCCTGCCACGGCCGGTGAGTGGATGCAGTCTGTTAAAAAACGTCCTCCCAACAGCTGATCGACCAAACTATCGCTGGTTACAGGGCAACCGGGCCAGAAGCACAAGTGGGCCGATCAAAGAAAGGTTTAACAGCAGCCCTCAGTTTATCTAAACAGGTTTACTCCATAAGATGCCCTGTGCACAGAATAACCGACATTACAGTTACGGTCATTACAATTACGTTACAGTACTCACATTCCAAATAATAGACAAAAAATTGACATACCATGTAAACATCTATGATGAAATGGATCTAGGTGGAGCAGCTTCGACAGACTTGCTGGCCTTATTTTGTAGAGAGTCATGCCAATAAAGCCCAAACTGTGCAATGAACTCTGCTATATGTGAGTTGATGTGAGCACTCAACAAATGAAGCGGCCTTAAAGACAAACTTTGTTCACAGGTTTCCAGACTGATTGTTGCATGAAGAGTAGAAAACTTCCGATTTCGCCCCTGCAGGTTATCCTGGAGAGCAAAACAGGCCAAGCAGAGCTGGAGCTCTTCCCACGCTACCTTCTCTTCCTCCGCCAGCAGCCGGCCACACGCTCCCCCCAGTCCAACATCTGGGTCAATATGGGTATGACCAGCCTGCGAATGTTCCCACCGTATTTACCCCCACCAAGAGGTAACGTAAGCCTGCAGCAAGACCAGAACAAGCCGTCGACAAATGCTTCCCTGAGCTACCTCGCATCCCTCCCTTTTAATCCTCCTAAAGTGGATCGATCCAGCCCTGGCAGGTTTCTGGTGTGGGCAGTGGAATGAACCAATGGATGATCGAGGGGACAAACTGCTGGTCACTCTAATGGTTGCATAATTCAAACCATTCAATCTTCACAAACCTTGCCATTCAAGTCTTATACAGTTGCTTGCATAAGTATTCACCCACTTTGGAATTCAATTTGACTTAAATAGACTTTTCCCATTTGATTGGGCCAACATGCAGAGTACTTTGAAGGAGCAAAGTACCTTTTATTGTGACAAGAATAAGTTGACATCTGTTGGATGCATAAGTATTCACCCCCCTCAGTCAATACTTGGTAGAAACCTTTTTCACTGCAATTACAGCTAATAGTTTTTAAGGGTATGACTCAGCTTTGCACATTTCAGAGATGATAAATGTTCCACATTCATCCAAGCTGAAGCTCACTCAGATTGGATGGAGACAGTCTGTAAAAAGCAATTTTCAAATCTTGCAATAGGTTCTCAATTGGATTGAGGTCTGGGCTTTGACTAGGCCCTTTTAAAACATGAACATGCTTTGATATAAACCCTTCCATTGTAGCTCTGTATGCTTGAGGTCATTTACCTGCTGGAAGATGAACCTCCGCCTCAGTCTCAAGTCTTTTGCAGACTGCATCATATTTTACCAAGGGTTGCCCTGAATCTGGCTCCATCCATCTTTCCCTCAGTTCTGAGTAGTTTCCCTTATAACTGCTTCATACTTAGCTACTACTTTATCTTGAGCTGTTTGATGAGCACTTTGGTCTTCACGATGCTCGTGGTTCAGTAAGGTTCTTCATACTGAGATTATATTGCAGATGGAGCCTATCTACTAATTATGTGACTTCTGCAGAGAAAATGGTTGTAGCAGATCTTCGTTAGGTGTTTTACAGTAAAGGACGTGAATACATATGCACTCAACACAGATTTTTATTTGTAAATCATTTTGAAATCCATGCAAGCTCTCCTCTGACTTCCAGATGAACTATTTTGCGTTGGTCCATTACATAAAATCCAAATTACATTTTAATCTGTGGTTATACCATGACAAAAAGGAGAAAAGTCCTAGGGGGTGAATACTTAGTCTGGGACAAAATCATGATATCAGGCGTGTCTCCACTCCTTTTGTTCTTTGAACACTTGAAAATCACTAAAATGAAAGTCCAGGTCCAAGTGTTTCCGTAGTTCAAACATCTCCAGCAGAGGGAAAAGTCTTCTCTCTTGCTGACTTAATATTTTTGAACCAGGACCTGAAGCAGCTCGTAAAGGTTGCTCTTTGTTTGTTGAGGTTTCCGAGTCGATGACTCTTAAATGTACCACATCAAGACAGCTTTTGGTAGCTCCCGCCCCTCAAACGCAGACTGGCCAATCGTAGCACAGCATCGGCCAGCTCTGCCTATATAGAGGGCAACTCACTCGCACAATAACTGAAACTGGATTTCAATCTGAATTAATTCCTTGCATGATAGCTAAATTAATATGAAGATGTCTCGCTGTGGAGAGAAAGCAGATGATGAAGCGTAGCTGTACGGATTTGCTCCCGAGTGATCGGGCAGCAGCACTCAGCATGAGAGTGCTGGTCTGAATCAGGCCGGCGTATCAGGTTTCAGACCCCATTGGAGCTTTGGATACCACCATGACTTGTCATTGCAGGGCATTAACACTCAGCCCTGTGGCTAAATATCTCCAATTGATCTACTCGTTCATCGTATTCTGCAAAATGTCCTCCTGACAGCCGGAGTGGAGCACTCAAACAAGTGTAGCACGGTAGACTTGAATAGCAAAGCTGTGGAGAAGGGAAATGACCAAATTTAAAAATCTGATTAAATCAGATGACATCATTAATCATTTTAAAGCCAGTAACAGAAAGCTTTTAAATTTGTAGGTTTTTATTGTAATGACCACAACTGATTGGTGTGTATGTGATTCTTTTTTTTTTAATCCAATCTGAGTCTTCTTAATCCACTAAATTGATTGACCAATGAAGTCTGTACTGATTGACAAAAAAGCCTCTTGCTGCTTCCTTACAACTAATCCTCAGGCACAGAATGCTGTTGTTGTTGATCTTGTGTGGAGCCAATATGAGTTCTAAAGCATGTTTACACCACAGCTGAAGTCGAATGGACAAAGCCCCTCATTTGTGCTGGGTGTTTGGGTCACTTTGTGAGTGTCCATGTCTTACCTGTTAGCAGGTAGCGTGCCGTCCCCCAACGCTCCCCTGAAGAGGGCCTTGGCTTACACAGGCTGCTTCAGCCGCATGGCCACCATCAAGGACATCCACCTCTACCTTTCCCAGAGGCTGCGCATCAAGGAGGAGGACATGAGGCTCTGGCTCTACAACAGTGAGGTGGGTCACCACGCTCGCATGGCTTTTCAGGAAATGCTAGATTGTGGTCAGCTAGTTTGTGACACAATGGCAAGTGATATATGAACAAGTGTTATATTTGGTAGGGGAAACACTGAATAGAATAAAAGCGTGGATGATACTCCTCGCATTTAGCTTCTTAGTGGCTTAGTCACTTATCTGAGGTGCTTCTAATGATGCACTGGTGCCAGTATCAATGGTCTGGTTAATCTGGAACTTGATCTTGCAGAATTACCTCGCGCTCCTAGACGATGAAGATCACACTCTGGAAAGCCTGAAGATCTATGATGAGCAGCAGCTCGTAATTGAAGGTCTGGACAAGCAGGATAAATGAAAACCTCTCTTCAGGCTTCCAATGCGATTGCAGTAATATTAAGTTATTCTGAATATTGGCAGATGTCAGTGTGAGTGACCTGATTTATTCTCTTCCCCCACAGTTAGGAACAAAGACATGAGCTGGCCCGAGGAAATGTCTTTCATAGCCAACAGTAGTAAGATGGACAGACACAAAGGTGAGCTGCAATAGAGCGACTCTTTTCTTTTATTGTGCATTTGTAAACGGACTGAATGGTTGTTTGAGTCGGCTCGTATTGGTGCATATTAACTGGGCTCAATTAGAAATAGTTTATTTTAGGCCTACGTACATACAGTATAGAATCATATTCGCTAAATCTTCTAGAATGAACATACAAGTGAATTTTACATTTACATTTTATGCATTCATTTATAAATATATAATATATAAAAAGAACCAGTAAGTGTTTTTCCTTCAGTGAAGTATTTCACACACTGTTTGCAATCCCAGTTCCCACAGAGAAAGGAGCCACTGGCCTCAGTAACCTTGGCAACACCTGCTTCATGAACTCCAGCATCCAGTGTGTGAGCAACACCAAGCCTCTCACAGAATACTTCAGCTCAGGGAGACACCTCTATGAGCTCAACAGGTGCCATTTAAGTCATTCACATGGCTATTTATCTTGCCACCCTTTGCCCAAACTCCTTACAACTTTATCATGGCCATTGGTGCATTTACAGAACAAACCCCATCGGGATGCGCGGCCACATGGCCAAATGTTATGGTGACCTGGTGATGGAGCTATGGAGCGGGACACAGAAGAACATTGCTCCACTCAAACTCAGGGTAAGCAGCCGCATCGCTTCCACATGAGAAGACTTTTTTTTTTTGTCAGGTATAGCCATCTTTTAGTCATGACCTTTGTGCTGTGTACATTTGTTAAAGTGCTGCAGGAGCACCTTTACCAAGTGTCTTTAAAATCATTTTACGGGTTTCATGAAACTAAAGTTCATGATGTCATTCCTTCCTCTCCAGTGGACAATAGCAAAGTATGCCCCACGCTTTAATGGGTTCCAGCAGCAGGACTCCCAGGAGCTGCTGGCCTTCCTGCTGGATGGTCTCCATGAAGACCTCAACAGAGTGCATGAGAAGCCCTACGTGGAGCTGAAGGACAGCGACGGGCGGCCCGACGGGGAGGTGGCCTCTGAGGTCAGAGGTCGCGCTGCTCATCAAATATTGTTCTCTACAAATGAAATGAACTCTGGGTGTTAAGCTGTGTTGATATCTGAAATGAGATATCTCGGGAAGAGAGCCTTTTTCTTTGATGTAACTGCCACACAGTCGGAAATCATTTTCATCACCTTATCCTTAAAGCCCTGTCTTCCCTGTCCACTCCGAAATGTATATCCAATATTTGATGATAATAAATGGCCATTGGTATTTCACTTCAACAAAACAGCAAGCAATGTCTGAAATGCTCAAAGTTTCTAAGACAAATAAATCCATGCTAGTCAGCCAGCAGTCGATGCTCTCCTATAATTTGCCAATGTTGCTGTATCAATGTTCTATTGGTGTTCCGTATGTGTTCTGAGAGAGAGATCTGCTGAGTTGTTGGTGCTCCTCCACCCTACAGGCATGGGAGAACCACCTCCGCAGGAACCGCTCCATCGTGGTGGATCTGTTCCACGGTCAGCTCAAGTCCCAGGTGAAGTGTAAGACCTGCGGGCACATCAGCGCTCGCTTCGACCCCTTCAACTTCCTGTCCCTGCCCCTTCCCATGGACAGCTCCATGCATCTGGAGATCACTGGTGAGGCAGCGTTAGGAAAGATGCTGATGATGTGCTCTTTTTGAAACAACCTGAATCATATGGGATGTTGGTGCGTTTATAGTCATCAAACTGGACGGCTCCACACCTGTACGCTACGGCCTTCGCTTGAATATGGATGAAAAGTACACAGGCCTGAAGAAGCAGCTGAGTGAACTGTGCGGTCTGAAGCCTGAGCAGATCCTCCTGGCTGAGGTCCACACCGCCAACATCAAGGTACTGACACGGTTCTACGGATCCACATGTCGCCACAAGGTGGGAGGCAACAGGATTCGCAGTCTGATGTCCCAAATCGTTGTGTTTAGAACTTTCCTCAGGACAACCACAAGGTCCGTCAGTCCGTTAATGGCTTCCTGTGTGCGTTTGAGATCCCCGTGCCGGGTTCGCCAACCTCACTGAGCTCCCCCACTCCGTCAGGTGAGACTGTCCCCTCACACCGGGCCCTTTTAGACTCCCATCAGCCGTGGATCCGTATGAATCCACAGCGCTCCATTTTCTTCTCTTCATCAGACATCCCCCCAATCGCCAACGGCTCTGCTGCTAAAGAGAACCTGGGCAGTGAGCTCGCCCTCATCCCCAACGGGGGGCCCAGCACCCTGGTGCCCCGTAGCCCAGAGACGCCCGTCGCCAATGGGGTCGCCAACGGGCACATCACACCGATGCAGGAGAGCCCCTTCACTGGATACATCATCGCCATGCACAGAAAGATGGTGAGAACGCCATGTTTAAAAGCAGCCTGGGTGTTTTGTACAGTGCAACAAATACGCCCTGTTTTTACAGGCAAATGATTTACGATTCAAAGTCATTATTGACTCTGCTAACTGCAGTTGCTCTATAGGTGTAAGTCAAAACCAGAGCCTGTGCTGGAGCTATAACCATAAAGCCGTCCCTTTTTTAGATGCGTACGGAGCTGTACTTCCTGTCGTCTCAGAAGAACCGGCCCAGTCTGTTCGGCATGCCGCTCATAGTTCCCTGCACTGTCCACACCAGTAAGAAGGACTTGTACGACGCCGTATGGATCCAAGTCTCCCGACTGGCCAGCCCGCTGCCGCCACAGGAAGCCAGCAACCACGCCCAGGACTGGTAGGCCGACAGTCTGCTCCCGTCGCCATACAGAGTTTCTTTGCACTGAAATTCCCGTGTGGAAATTGTCAGTTATACCAGTGAAGCGTAGATGATTAAGAGCAGATCGGCACAATAGATCCGGATCTTATCGCCAACCGCTATTTAAAGCCTGATCCATTTCCTCTGCTTTGTGCCGTATAATTGGCTCCAGGCTCAACCAACCGAGCCCCACTGAGTCTGTTAAAGTGTTTTCTTGCACGTGGCGCTGTGAGCCAGTTGACTGTCCATTGTTCAACAACAGAGAATTAAAACAAACTCAATCTCAGCTGAACATTATTTTCTTTTCCACTAACCTGCAGCGATGACAGCATGGGCTACCAGTACCCCTTCACTTTACGGGTTGTGGGCAAGGATGGAAACTCCTGTGCCTGGTGCCCCTGGTACAGGTAAGAGTACTTCAGTAATGTGTCTAGTTTTGAATGTTTCCTATTATTATCTTAACGTCCTCCTACTTTTCCTCATATAGGCTGGTACAGGTGTGCCACATTGGAGTCAGCTGACTTGTTAAAATGCCTTAGCATGTACTGCAGCTGTACCTGTGTGTGTCCGTGTGTTTCCAGGTTCTGTCGCGGCTGTACAATAGAGTGTTCAGAGGACAGGGCCTCTGTAGGAAATGCTTACATAGCTGTGGACTGGGACCCCACCGCCCTGCATCTCCGCTACCAGACCTCCCAGGAGAGGGTAAAATGCACACTCCATTCAATTTCATTTTATCTGTGATTCTAACTGTCCCGGCAGTATATATAGTATTTCCAGCCAGATATGAATTCATCCCAGTGATAGTGACGTATTGTATTATTCTTTTAAATAAGAGCTAAGTATGAAAGGCTACCCCCCTAAACATAAAGGACCATGATGCTTGGTGTGACCACCAAGCTGCTGAATGCTCAGATCAGTTACACAGGGTCTTATAATACGTCTGTGAACACCCTCAAGTTACTTTACAAGTAACTTTACAACCTATAAGTATTGTGGTCCATGTGTATGTGGGAAAACAGTTATATAACAGTATACATGGACAGATTATTGGCACTGTCCACTAGTTACGAACACTACAAATGGTTAGATGCCAAAAGTATTACAAATGATTAGGTGGTTTGTGCCCTGAATGTTTAATCCAGGAATCTATTGCTTTACCTAAAAGGCCGTTAGCAGAAGAAGTGTGAGTTCACCCCTCTCAGGATCACCCTTGTGCGCTCCTTGCAGATTGTGGAGGAGCACTGCAGTGTGGAGCAGTCCCGCCGGGCCCAGGCGGAGCCCATCAGCTTGGACAGCTGTCTGAAGGCCTTCACCAGCGAGGAAGAGCTGGGTGAAGACGAGCTCTACTACTGCTCCAAGTGCAAGACGCACCGGCTGGCCACCAAGAAGCTGGACCTGTGGAGGCTGCCGCCCATGCTGGTCAGTGGCACGCTTCTAAGTCTGTGTTGGCTCTTGGCTCCGGCCTCACAGGGATGGATTCTAAATGTGCCTTTCACTGGTATTTACATAGTTTAAAAACAACGCAGTACGTGTGATGTGCTTTCACTTCTTCAGATTGTCCACCTGAAGCGCTTCCAGTTCGTAAATGGCCGGTGGATCAAATCCCAGAAGATTGTCAAGTTCCAGAGGGAGAATTTTGACCCGAGCGCCTTCCTGGCTCCCAGAGACCTGGAGCAGCGCTGCCTCCACTCCTGCAGCGAGAGCGAAGACCTGCTGAGGGTCGGAGAAGGCAACCTGTCTTCCATCTCTGCCCCCGCGGGCTTCTGCAACCTTCCCAAAGGTACCGCACGTTGATTCAAGCCCGCTATTTAGCTTTTGCTAGCAGCTCATACACTGAGACTACACAAAGTTTCAAAGAGATATTTGCATTTTTTTTTTAAGAAATCAAGCATAAGGGAGCAAAGCAGCTGACCCCATGGCAGAGGGAATGTCTTCAACACATGTCTTTCCCAACAGTGTCCCCTGCGTCCACAAGGAAGTCCTCTCCGTCTCTAAGCCGGACCAGCAGCCCCTCCGGAAGCCCCAAGTCCGGTAACGGAGGCCGTAGGCCAGCCCGGCTCCGTCTGCCCCAGCTGGGCAGCAGACACCGCCTCTCTAATAGCAAGGAGAACCTGGAGGCAGCTGCCGATGCTGAGGCTGAGCCGAGTGACGACACGGAGGGCAGCGAGGCTCCTGGATCAGGGGGGGCGTCGGCGTCGGAGGCGTTGTGCGGCAGCGAGGCGTCCAGCAGCCACTGTGACGTGGTCCTGGTGAACGGTGACAGCAATGGGCTGAACTCCGACGGCAGCACAGAGAGCAGCATGGAGCCCGACCACCCGCCGCTCCAGCACCGAGACAGCGTGTGCCTGGACGCCATCTACAACCTCTATGCAATATCAGTACGTATCACACGTCAGCATCACTGAGAAGCTTCTTTCTGCTTTGAAATCAAGTCTAAAATAGGTCTCTGCTTTCTGTCCACAGTGCCATTCGGGAATCATGGGAGGAGGCCACTATGTGACGTATGCCAAAAACCCCAATGGGAAATGGTACTGTTATAATGACAGCAGCTGTAAGGTAAGGCATTAGGGCAGTCTTTATTATGTTGTAAAAACAAAAACATACTTTCCAACGACATCATTCTGTCTGGAGTCCCACAGTGGTGAATCTGCCTCCATTATTATCCTCGCTCTTAAACATTAGAGCACATCTATGATGGAGCGATAGCCGTCGGGTAGCGCTCAACATGGTGATGGCGGAAGCTAGCGGTGCTCGCTCACATGCACCGAGGACGCATTCTCCCTCAAATTGAACGTTGTGGTGGAAACAGCAGTCCCAAACCCCCGCGTGAGGGTAGTGCATCCAAGCGTTGGTGGTGGGAGCACAGGACGTGCCACAGAAATGAGCCAGTGGCTTGGTGATAATGGGCAGGAGCGAGCAGAAAAGTGAAAATAGTTGTTTAATGCTAAATGAATGCTCTGAATATGTGAACCTTTAAATATATAAGGTGTGTCAATAAAAGCTCAGTTGTATTATAGGGGTTTTATTTCTAGACCGAATAAAGGCTGGAAACGGATGTGAGTAATGCTTGACCTTACAGCCTTCTAGTGGAGGATGCATGCCACTACATATCTTAAATCTGCCTTCCCCGATTGTCTTAGTTGGTGTTGAACACATAACCGGTTCATTGATGGCCACCTTGAGAGGATCAATCACACCTACGCCCCCGTTTAAACCCTTTGTTCCCACAGGAAGTGCGCCCCGAGGAGATTGACGCTGACTCGGCCTACATCCTCTTCTACGAGCAGCAGGGAGTGGACTACTCCCAATTCTTGCCAAAGACAGACGGCAAGAAGATGGCTGATACCAGTAGCATGGATGAAGACTTTGAGTCCGACTACAAGAAGTACTGTGTCCTCCAGTGATCGCAGCTCGCCTCCCCGTCAGCCAGCGCTGCTCCTCGCAGGGAGCAGCAGAGGCTCAGGCCTCTGTGAAGGATCCAGATGGACTTCCAGTGACTCGAGTCCCGGCCCTTAGAGATACGACGCAGCCCTTTCTACACTTGATCGCAAACACATTGTACTGCAAAGGTTTGCCAATAAAACAATGAAGCCCCGCCCCCATTCCCCTCTTCTCCCATCGAGAACGACCCTCGCCATAACAAAGAAGGACCTTTTATCCTTGCATACTAAGGCATCACTGGATGTATGCCGGTATGGCCGAGTCATGGAGTGTTTGCTTTGTGCGTTTAACGCTTGTGATGTCGGAATGAAAAGAGTCAACACTTGATCTGAGCCTGGATGTTTGACCCGGAGAAGGAGAGCAGCGAGGCCTCACAATGTCTCGGTGTAAAGGTCAAAGCCAACGATTTGCTACAGGTTGGGTTTGAAATGCCAACAGCCTGTGCTGATGTCATATTCGATGCCACCGATCAACATGAGGTTCAGGTTAGGAGTCTGGTATATTGGGTACCAAGGAAACATAAGTCACACGCTACCTCATCGCTTCCTGCAGTCTGTCAGCCCTAAAAGTCTGTGACAGTATTATTGATAACTCAAAACAAATATCTCCCCCCTGCTTGGACACACTTATGGGTCCTGATGGAAATTATAGTAGGCGATTTTGTCAAAACTGTGTTTCATTCCAGAGCTGCCAAATATCAGTGGTGTGTGTGCAATGTTGACTCGTGTGTATCCATAACTTCTTCAAACCACCATCATCATCTCGAGTGTCAGTCCGGGTTTTTTGAGGACACGTGCCATGATTTCAAAAGAGATTTCCTTCAAGATCAATATTTAGTATACGTTTAACACTTCCCTCAGGGGGGATTCTGCAAATGTGTTTGGTTGTAAGACGTTTATTTTATTGTTAATTTTTTTTTTTGTTGAGGCCAATTCAGGTTAGCGTTGGAAATGAATCACAAAGCTTTGCCAGAGGCATCAGGCTTGTTTTCACACTGTAGCAACATAAACTCTGACTGCTTAAACTCTTAACTCTTAAGATACAAACTCATCTGTGATACCAATGTTCAAATGCTCCCTTAAAAGTAGGGATATCGAGGATAACTTCATTGCACTCACAAAATGATTTTACCTTCTACTATTTAAAGCGTAACTTAAGAGTCCTGCGCTCATGGAGCAACGCACTCCCAGAACCGTGTCGCAGCCACGAAAGCCAGTTTAAAAAACGGATCAAAATTGATGTGGCAGAACGTGAGCAATGGTCTTCTCTATTCCACATATTCATTTTTCTTGTCGATTCTTATAATAGTAGCGGTTAAACCGCTTCAGAGGTCTAGTAAGCTCACCTCTTTTTAATTCCACCCCCCCCACCTCTAATGGGTCAAATACAAAGGTGCACTCTACCCTACGTGTGTCCCAGAGTACAATAATGAGTCCCTTATATCATTTGCTGCTAATTGGAGAGGGAATGAAGACGTTTTTAACAAATACACTTTCTAACAAATTCAAGTTAATTGCTCGCCTTATTTTCTAGATGGCAAGCATTCCTTTCAAAATAATGGAGTGTAAAGTGTCTGCTATTAGATTGCCAAAGCATCAATATGTGTTTAATATTTCATCTATATTGGGGTTGTTTTCAGGAAATTCCTCTCGATGTCAAACGCTAAAAACTCTCTTGGTAAATTTCACACCTTTTACAATATGAGGTTACCAAAACATGTGCCCATAAAGCCAGTGCTGTGAGAGGGTTTCCCTTTACTGTTCGTTCTTCAGAAAGAACCCGTAGTCAGGTCTGTAAGAACTAAACTGTCACATGTAGAATATGGTTTGTTGTCGGTGTTGGTTCCTCAGTGCGATGGTTTGGCTGTTTGGTGTGACCTGTCAGTGGGACATGCTGTGCCTGTAGTCCGTTGGCTGAGCTCTGTGTAGCAGCACGTGTGGAGGTCCTCCTCCGAGGGCTCCGGCTGACCACTGTGAAGAGGCACAGGAGAGGAACCTCTGTGCTCACCTCTTTTTAGCTGCTGTATTTATGAGATGATGCCTTTTATGGGTGTATTCAGAGAGGAATCGGTCACTGAATGGAACTTTATTTTTGCTTTGCAGAGTATGAAAAGTGTTTGGATGAGTGCTATTTATGTTTGCTCAGCTGTTTTTCCCCCGCCCTCCTGCCTTTGAACCGAGCTGTCGACCGCGTCTGGTGTTTTTCAGCGTTTAAAACATCACAACGTGGCTCAACGGTACCATTTTCCTAAGGCTGGGTCTCTTGAGGAGCCGGTTTGTAATGTTTGCTTCATTTGAGATTTGAAATAGTTGCCATCTTCTTTTGTCGCTGTGAGTATTGCCCAAGACCACTACTTGGGATGCTGAGCTTACCCCCACACCTACGTAGCAGTCAAAGTTTTGGACTTTCAATTGAATGAGAAAATGTGTCCAACCATTTGACTGGTACTGTACGGCTTTGACTGTGTGAGCAGAAACACGACTTCCAGTTGCGATCGGCACATTTGGGTCCAAACAGATCCTGGGCCCGCGTAAAATAATATATTGAGACCCCCCCCCCTCTCTCTCTCACTCACACACACACACACACACACACACCAGAAGAGTAGGTGGGAATATTGGCAGGAAGTGCAATTTACTACTGAGCAGTCTGTCTGTGTCTGTAGCCTCATTTTATTTAAGTTCATTTCTGTTGGATCTGAACCAGACGTGTTAATTTAAAGAACTTTTTTGTAAGATGTTTGTTGAAAGAAAGTGACGTTGCACTGACATGAAAACATGTACATAAGACAAATGTGTTTTTGTAAATAAGCCAATGAAAACTGTATTTCAGTATGAACTGTACAAAATAATGTACTTGTAGTTGTATATGGAGTGATGCTGTTGATCTGTAACAAAGTACCCAAGCAACAAATTAAATTCTGCAGAGGAAACGACAACACCAAACTCTGTCTGTCTGACTGTCTGTGTTGTGATCAATGCAGTTAGAGCTTTTAATGGAAGTTGGTCCATTGAGTAGCTCCAACAGGATGAATTGTTTAAATGCAAATTGGTCTCGTTCAATCAGACGTTTTATGAAGTCCAAACGGAGGACCACGTTAGTTCAGACTTGCATCAGCTGCTTCCTTCATGCTTCATCTGATGTTCCTTCTTGGCTACCAGCTGACTGCTAACATGCTGTCGTATGCCGTCAGGTGTTCAGCTTGGTCATTGGCACAAAGTCAGAACACCTTTCAATAGAGGACATTATTATGCTTACTCGCTAAACAATATTTCTTACAAAAAAGATTTTTGGGAATAGACGCTCATTTCAAAACAAATCTCACGTACTCTCTTGGGTGCTTTCACGTCCCCCGAGGGGTACACCTAAACCCATTTGAGGACCACTGCTCTAATATTCAGTAGTATGCTCGTCCTTGACTAAATCCTGAATTGAATATCTTTCATTAACGTTTTAAATTTACCTCTTGGCATGTATGTTAAACTGAAAGCACCTGCACATTATCAGTTTTCTTGGGGGTTAAATCATATTCATGCACGTGTACAGTGCAGCCATTATAACTTTGTACTTGTCATTATTCCTCTGCTTAAAAAACAAATTTAGCTATTCCTTCATCTCACATTTCTCGTCATGTGCTAAAGGTTTGTAAACGTGGATTTAAGATCTAATGTGGTTGAAAATCGGTTCCCCAGCACAATCCTTCACTGCCACCCTTTTCTAAGTGGTCAATGAACTGAATGCGTCTTTAACTAAAGTTTTTTCTTCATGACCAAACACCTGACTCCTGTCAGCCCCATGGTGCTTCGCTCCCTTTCTGTATTGTGGTTAGAGGAGCATGTTGCTGCTGATGACAGAGGTAACCACAATGAGGGCGTTTGCAAAGAAGAAGTAGAAAGAAAGTCAACCCTGCAGAAATCTCTCATGTTAGCAAACCTTAATGTGATGCTTACTTAACAAAATGTATAATGAGAGAAAAATCAGTTGTTATTCAATATATTACTGTCAACCACAGTAAATAAAGAGGGTAAAATGCTGCTAGACTTGATGGGACTCCAGGAGAAAGATTCACTGTGCACATTTAACAGAAACAGGGACAATCTGTTTTAAAGTCTGACAATATAGATTTTTTTTACTGAATCCAAGATTTCATCTTCTATTGGCGTATTTTTAGTGAAACTGTTTTTTTTTAGATTATGGTTCTGAATAGGGCGGCACGGTGGCGTGGTGGTTAGCACTGTCGCCTCACAGCAAGAAGGTCCTGGGTTCGATTCCGCCCAGTGGCCTTTCTGTGTGGAGTCTGCATGTTCTCCCCGTGTCTGCGTGGGTTCTCTCCGGGTTCTCCGGCTTCCTCCCACAGTCCAAAGACATGCTCTGGGGATCAGGTTGATTGGGGACTTTAAATTGCCCGTAGACGTGTGAATGTGAGTGTGAATGGTTGTATGTCTCTGTGTGGCCCTGCGATTGGCTGGCGACCAATCCAGGGTGTACCCTGTCTATCGCCCGAAGTTGGCTGGGATGGACTCCAGCCCCCCCGCGACCCTGAGTGCAGGATAAGCGGTTTGACAATGGATGGATGGATGGATGGTTCTGAATACAATACAATGGGGTTTAAAAATGTCTAGTAAATAAACATTTAAGCTTTTTCTAAATTCAAAAACTTTACATGTTTTACATTGATTCAGGGTTTAAGGCCTAAAATGGGACACTCATGTGCCGCGTTTTCCAGTTTTGATCGATCTGAAACCTTTCAATCCCTTTTTACCTAATCAGAAACCATCTATTGCTATTATTTAAGCGGCGTTTAGGATTAGTTTGAAAGAGCGGATATGATCACCGTTTCTAGTTCTTGCTCAACATCATGTACAATGTGCCCGTGTCGGCAGCTCAAAGCGCCTGCTGCTTCTGTTCATTTCCTCTCCTGTTGTGGTTGACACGCAATGAGAACTCTTGCTCACAATACACACAAGCTGGAGGTTAAGACAACACCCGTTTGAATCCTTGAAGGGTTCTAGCATTCTTAAGCATAGCTTTAGACCAAATAAGCACGGAACGGAGACACACCGACTGCTTCAATGTAACAATTCTAGCTCGCTTATTTAAGCGGTAACTTATCGGACTGGTGTTCATCAGAATACAAAGGTAAGGCGGTTAAGTAACTTGATGGAGCATTACAAGTTAAGGTTTGATCTTAGGTTGTGTTATTGTCCTTTTGCCCTTTTGGGTTGATGTAGGTAGGATGCACTTACACCCAACTTGTAAAACGTTGGTATTTTTCTTCTGGTTGTGTAATAATCTAAAAGAAACGACGAATTCCCTTTTCTCCTAAACGCTTCATTAACACTTTTCAGACGTTGATGCTGTTGGGCACCAGGACGGTGTTGCTGTTGGTCAGAAGAAAGAATGTCAGATGATTCCACCAGTGGAAATGCGTGTTCAGGTGACCTTTGGGGTTTTACATGTACTGGAGTTCTGCAGCGCATTGTGAGGTCATGTCGGAGCTCACTGTCTCCGTCCTGTTCTCCCTTTTAGGTCGGCTCTTCGACCTGCTCGTCTACCCCGTCATTGGGGCTCTGTCCTTCACCGTCCTGCTGGTCATACTGCTGGGAACCATGTGTCTGAGAAAGTAAGGCAGGCTTGAATGATATCCCAAGGAGTTTGCAAACAATATTGTGAGCTGAAAAGCAACCCATTATAATAGCAAACTCCTAAGAGCTAAACCTCGAAATATGTCATCAACTGGAAGAAATTGTCATGATTTTTCAGACAGAAATCCACTGAAATGTTTTTTTTGTGTGGTACTGTGACCAAGCGTCCTGGTCCTGATGATGCACTTATTACACATTAATCAACAGTTAGGACACCAGACATGTCCTTCAGCATACGACTTTTTATTCTTTAATCTCAATCTTTCACCCCAAAGCGCCTTTGCCTTTGTCATATACCTACTATGGTTTATGACCAAAAAAAACATTGATTTTAAAGATAATAGGCTATAACCTACTAAACAAAGTTAGCATTGTTGATGTAAGCAAGTTAGCATGCTAATGTTCCCATTACCAATGTGCTATACAGCCCAAATAAGCTGCTAAGTGTGTAATCACTGCAATGAAAGCCCAGTGGCTGAGCAGCTGTCCGCAGGTCAGCTTGCTTGTTCCTACATGCGTTCTTTACTTGTGAGTACAACATCAGGCCATATCTTCATCCCTTGAATAGTTTAGCACACTGGTAACATTTCTTTCTACTCGTAGTTGTTTAGCCTTCTGCAACAACGTAGCTCGGCCCTCAACAGAGCAGCTTTCATGCCGTTCTGCTTCCTGCAGGCTGGTGGCCAGTTTTGGGGCCGAGCCGCTCCACCTCAGACCACAGAGCTTCACTGGCGGGAGAGCAGGCGGAAATGCCAAAGACTAGTTATTAGCTAGCTAACTAAGGCAAGCTTCCGTCTTCTCTGCTCAAGGCAAGTCTGCCAGCTGGGCGGCCATGTTGTATATTCAGTTTAGTCTTTCTCTGGCAACATATATGGTCCCGTAGAGCAAATTGACATATGGGTAAATACTAGGGGAAACTTCCTGTAGGCCTCCAACTGGAGATAGTACCATAGATTTTTGCATGAGGATTTAATTTATTTCTCCACTAAATAAAACCCGCTGGTACAGCTGCCTTCAACTTTTTCTGTAGTTTTTTACTGTCAAACCTTTGTGCAGTGTGAGGTCTTTTACATTATACACACATTTCTCTTTGCAGGTATCGGTCTTTGGTACGGACAATTCGAGAGCTGCGAGGTAGCAAGTTGCTGCTGGATGCTGTTCCTCGGCTGGAAGCTCCCATCGTGCCTGTGAGGCCAGTGCCAGCAGAGGGGGAGGAACAGCTGTCTCTACTAAATTCTCTGCAGCAGAGCACCACAGTCAGGTCCTCCTCCAGGAAACTGTGGAAAGGCCTGCAGCAGGTACTACCGATAAACCACCGACCTCATCTCGACCTCATGCACGTATTTTCTGCTATCAAATATCTAGATTATTTTAGAGGGGCCTGATTTACACACTATTCAGCTAAAGCAACGTAAGGAAAAATTGGGTTGCACCATGACGTTGCCTGCTGCACGTCATCTTTGTCATCTGTCCTAATCCATTGCTTTTCCACCCAGATTTGATGTTGCAACGCGCTCTTTTATGGCATTTGTTCAAGGGTCCTCGTGTTTCCAAGTCAGACCTGAACCTGCTCCAGCTGATCAAAGCAGGGAAGGAGGGGGTCTTCTACCAGGCCAGGATGACCAGAGGGACGTGCAAAGGCCACAACACATTCACCTGCAAGATCAGCAAGGAAGGTACATCCCTCTGTGGAAGTTTAGACGTTTTCTTTGGGGCACAGCTGCCGTCAAAAATAATCCATCAGGTTTTGAGGAAAATGTCGAGTTGGCAAGTCAGAAAATCCTTCATTTATCAGCCCAAGGAGATGGTGAGGTGTTCACCATGTTATACATGTTGTATACGACCCCCTCTTCCATATCTTCTTTTGCTAACCTGTAAATCAGAAAAGATTATTGCTACATATGTTTTAACAGGTTCATCAGTTTACACCAAGAATTGATAATGAATGAATCTCATTGAAATCAAATAATAAAACACATGCTATGACTAATTTAAAAGTAGTATCAACGCGAGCAGCTATGAATACCGAAATACCGCTCTAGTTTATATTTACCTTCCGTTTTAAGGAAGGATCTCTTTGTCGATGTTTTTTCATCCGAAAACCCACATGACTTCAAATGATTGCTTATTTAATGGGTCTGCTGGACGTACAAAGAAGCAAATGTTGGTGTAAACGTGATTAGTCGGTGTTGAGTCACTACTTGTTTCTGCGGTCAGAAACATAATTGTGGGTTTAAAGGTGCTATGTGTAGGATCTGGCAACAATTTGAAACTAATAAAAAGTCTATATACCCCTGTTTAAGATAAGATAAAACAGTTCTTTATTAATCCCTCAGCTTGGAAATGTACAGGATGTTTATGCTGTGGGAAGAACACTGACCCTCCAACCTCTCCTCCCTTGTCCACACAAATCAAATGCTGTGGCTTTCATACACCTAAACTGTCATTTCAAAGGTGTCCCTGTAAGTAAATGTACTTTGAAACCAAAGGTGTTCAGATGTGCCCTTAGTATTGCTGTGCTTTGGGTATTTCATCTTCTAGTCATATCAATTTCTCGACTCTGAAAGGTCAACTTATTTAGTCAGTGGGGACGGCATCCTCAGCCTTAACCGTCATAATGAGAGCAGTGCAGATGATCGGTGAAGCACACTGATCAACAACGACACACCGAGAGGTAGTGACCTCATTTACTGCTCTAGGCATGAGCCCACTGTCATGTCTCTACACTGTAGGCCAGACTTCAGCTTCTGTCTTTGTCACTTTAACCAGTGTTTGCTGCTGAGTCAGTTTGACAATTAAAAAAAAAAAAATGTATTGGATAATATTTAATTAACTGATAATATAAGTGACAGTGTGGGCCCAGTGAAATGAACCTTGGCGAGAAATACACAGACCGTCACACCGCACAGGCTTGAGCTCTACGCAATGTTTTTGCCACAGAAGTGTGGAGACCATTTTGTAGACTGACCAACAGAGAGAGCTATAAAAGCTAATAAATGATCAACCCTTTCATGTTAACATTTCAATCTAAATTTACGACTTAATTATTAAAATTAACGACTGTTTGTCGAGAAACGCCCTCAGGTGACGTACATAATGGTAATGAATGAAAGAATGCTGAAAAAGAATGCTTGGACTGTGGTCAGTCGTGCAAAAAAGCAAATTATTCAGGTAGTAGTTTCAAGATCAATATTTTTGACATGGTTGGAGCGGCTCCATGTGTCCGACTGTAAGTACCATGGTAACTAAAGTTGGTCATTTAAACTGAATTTCAATGTGAATTTAATGATGAGTTCATATTGTTACTAATTGTTATCGACACCTACCTCAAAGCGCCTTCAGACTTCACTGGAGAAGTTTCACATTTTAGTCCTGCTAGAATCAGCAAACTTTCCCAACTCTTCTTTCCTTTAGGTGTCCGTTCAAAGCATGTGGACACAGAGGTTTCCATTATGAGGAAACTGATACACCATAAGAACATCCTCCAGTTACTGGACTGGAACACCACTGATGGTGAGTCATTTCTGCACACAATTCTATTCCTAAATTTCTTGAAGATCACCAAAGAAGGTAGCTGACACCTCGGATATGTATATTCCTCCTCGGTAGTCCTCCATCCTTCTCTCTCTTTGTTTTCATTGGAGCAGAGCCTTACATTTTGATCATGGAGCATGTGAGCTGTGGCACTCTAAGGACCTTCCTGCAGACCCACAGGGTCTCCCTGAGTGCGAACCCTGAGCTGCACAGCCTACTCACCATCGCCTCCTACCACATCGCTCTGGCCATGCAGCACCTACGCTCCAAATTGGTAACAGCATTAGAGTACTCAGTTGATGTTCCACACCAACCGGTCATAGGCCCATGCTAAGCAGTGTCAATGTGGTCTTACCTGCAGATTGTGCACGGTGACTTGGCTTTGAGAAACATCATGGTCAATAAGTTCCCTTGGGAAGTAAAAGTAGCTGAGTTTGGTCTGGCTCGAGACTTGGCAGGCATCGCAAGCCGCCGCAGCAGCCGCTGGAAGAACCCACGGGTAAGACAGTGTCAGCCCACACACAGACAGAGTAAACGCTCGTGTTTATACGGTTTTCAGTTATCCTGAAAGTTGTCAAGTTCACATTGTGTAGGGAATAAATCAATAAATATGTATCCAAACTAACAGGGTTTAATCTTTTTGCCAGTAGTTAAACTTCACCTCGTCATATTTTTTTGACGTGGCAAAAACCCATATCAGTACAACATCATTTTGTTCACATTGTGGACATTTTTGTACCATTTTGGACAAATCTTACCATTACCATATGAACTTCTCATAGATGCAAAGCTTTTTTTTCAGTAAAGTTAGTGTTTCTCTAATGTCTGGCGATGTACAGCTGGCTGCCTGTATTTGCTGCAGACAGGCTGAGTCCTCATGTGGCTGAATGAAAGTTACCACAGCTATTTAAAATGAATCTATATCCTGTGTTTGTCGGAGGGAGGTTGAAGAAGTTTCCACCGTGAGCTCATTTTACTAAAGTGATCTAGGTAGTGCGGTTACCACTGACACTGTATGCTGACGACCTTTTCAATCTTACTTATGCAGCAGCGAGTGCCGCTGCGCTGGTACCCACCCGAGTACTTCAAGAGCAACTATTACGGCTTCAAGGGAGACGTGTGGGCATTTGGCATTGTGCTGTGGGAGATGCAGACATTTGGTGGGTTGATTTCACACATAATAACAGATATGAAATGTGATCTATGGTACAAAATGATTAAATATACAGCTAAGACCAAAAAGGACACCACCCACCCTAAAAGAAAGTGATTCGACTGGCCAAACGTTTTTATTTACAAAAGCAATGAGAACATGAAATGAAATCATTTTATGGTACATCTTAAAAAACAGAAGTTAACCTTGAGTAGAATTACATGACTGGTTTGATCAATATAACACTTGTGTGTGGTTTTGACTTTGAAATATATATTTTTAGGTACACTGCCATACCCAGACCTGGAGAGATCCGACGCAGTGGTGTACCACATCTGTATTGGTCATAAGAACACAAACCCCGAAGGCTGCAGACCAGAGATGTAAATGAAAACTGAACAGAAGCATTTGACAAGCGCTGTTCAAATATACACACCATTGTTTAATTCATTGGATTGCTGAGATCTACTGGCGCCCCACTTAGTCAATATGAGCACTAACGTGATCCGATGAGCAGCTGAAAACTCAGGAAGGCCCACGTCATTGGTTTTCTAACACAGCCAGGATTTAAACTGACCTCTTACCCCGTGGAGGCGCAGGCTGCACCACAGAAGCTGAAGTCTGAGAAAGGGAAGCTGCAGAAAACCCTTATTGGCATTAGTCAATTTTCCTTACACTCGATGCCAACTACAGAGGCTGGACCAGAGGCAGAGAGGGTGGACCCTCTTCTACGAGGGAGATCAAAAGAGTTTTTTAAAGCAAGTAATTGGTTCAAATAAACCAAATGTCAGTGTTATTAGAGTTAGATATCATGAGTTCTCAACATCAGACCTTGATCCTGATAGTTAGTATCGGTCCTAACTATGAGTCTGAATGTGCTCTCTGATTCTGAATGAGTTTAGTCCTTAATTTGACATCAGCACTATAACGTTGTCATCAAGCGTTTTTTGTCATTAGGTATGATCGTTAGTTCTTAGTAGTTCCTAACAATGTCAAAACCCCACAGACTCCATATCATGCGAGACTGTTGGCTGGACATGTACACTCTGAGACCCTCGTTCACGGACGTCGTCCGCATGTTGGAGGACATCATAGAAAACGACGCGGTAAGGAACTCCCTGCTGCGCTCTCTTTTCATTGGTTTACATTATCAGTTTTGTCATCATTAAAAATCTTGGGTCATTTGTGCTTCATCTTTCATGTTGTACTCTGTAAAGTACAGGAAATACATCATGTGACCGTCATGGTGCTAAAAATAGTCTCAACCACAACACTATTGTGGGGTCTAACAGCAGAACACGGCTCAGTTCCTTCTGTCCCTTTGCCCCGGACGGAGGTGAAGAGTCAGAAGAATCAACTGGCTTGAGTTTAAAAATTTCAAAAGAATTGAATAACTAGCTGAAGCAACACAATTACAAAGTGAAATACTCTATGAATAGTGTCATATTTTTCAAAATAGAGAATCTCCTTCCACACAGTTGGTTCTAACCTCAATGCATGGATCTCCCGAGATTCTGCCTGTCCCCAGTAGTCTTTTCGAATCTCACGGCGTGTGTTCATTGTGTTGCAGCCTTATGTGATTGGCTGCACATTGAAAAGTCGCCCCTGCCAGGTTGTCACCGCGACATTCCCTTCGGCCTCCGGGCATTCTATGACACTCTGGCTTCATCTGATGGCCGAGTCTGAGATCCCTCACTGACATGACCGATCCCTATTCACTTAATATTACAATTTGTTCAATGATCCCACCTTTGACCTAAAGCTTCTTCATGTAAACATAACGTAGCATTATATCATCATCTTATAGCTAGTACACTCTAATCATAACACATCTTATATCATCACATTTCATAACATCTTATCCATTGTGTTTTACTCATTTTATATGGTCCAAAATCAAAACGATTGCCTCGCAGGGCTTTCCTAGCATCCTCTGCAAAATAACTAACCAAAAAAAGCAGTAGATAGTTGTATTTTCTTTCTTTCACTTAACCTTTTTTTTTTTTGCAGGATTATGTGGATGTTGAGAGTCCTCCACCGTTGGTGAAAGATGAGGCTTAATATCAGGATGCTAAATGTCTGCGGGCAGCCAGCATCCTTTTAGAAGATAGAGGTCGTCTCTACACACCAAGGCATCAGAAGAGGTCCCACTCTGAACAATTATGTCTATTTAACTCCCAGGGATTGATGTGAGATGATCACAATAGAGAGTATGGTAAATTATGTATGTACATGTTCTTCATTCATTTGTTTGTCATGTTCTCTATTTCTTCTTTTACTTTGTAAATCGTTGTATTATTTTAGATATGCTTTTTAAAATCTATCGTATTGATTGAAATGTCAATTTTCTACTTCGTATGTCCCGTTTTTATCTAGGACTGAAGCATGTTTACTTTGCTATTTGTTATTAAAAGTTCATTTTATATTTAAACTATTGTTTGGTAATTCAAACATTGCGTTGTGTATTAATTACCCTCCCAAAAGAAGAACACATCGAACACATTCTTGGCAACGTATTATCAGCACAACAGAAATTACATTTCAACCACTATGCATACCAACAACATCTATAAATGTATGCAACATATGTGTCCATCTGTCCATATATACGTTATGTAATTAATAATGTATAATGAAATAAATGCAATTGAATAATTACATTAATGGATAACGCTCAGAAGAAAAAAAGAACAATTAAATAAAAAACATTTAGAAAAGCTGTTGTTAAACCCTCACATTTGACTTTCCATAACGACAAAATATTTGTATGAGCAAGGGCTACATTTACCAAGAGCACGTGAAGCAGCGCCGGGCTTTAGGGACGCCCCCTTTTCTCTGCGAACCAATGGGATTCTCCATTGTGAACACGCGTCCCTGGCTTCTGAGACGCGCCACTGCAGCGCACTTGGTCCCACTTTGATATCCGCAGGAGCGAATCATCCTGACACCATGTCAGTCCGCGTGTTGGAAGTTCTCTTCTTCTTCTACTTCGCCTCCCACATTCCGATCACTCTGTTCATCGACCTACAAGCGCTGCTGCCCGAACATGTGTATCCTCAGCCGGTAAGTGTCCCAATAAGCTGTGGATTCACAAAGTTGCAATAGACTGTTCTTATGACACCATGGATCTTTCCCTCCACCAGCTGAAGGACCTTCTGCAGTGGTACGCGCAGGAGTTCAGGGACCCCATGGTGCTGGATCCGCCACAATGGTTCCAGTCTTTCATTTTCTGCGAGGCTTTGATTCAAATGCCGTTTTTCCCGGTTGCAGCCTACGCTTTCCTGAAAGGTCGGTTCAAACTGAACGAGGTCGAGGAGACGCACCTGAACGCGTCGTCACTGCTTGTTTCACATTAGCCCGCATGGATCCATGTTCCCCAGCTCTAAATCTTCATAAGTTGACATATTATGGCGACATTTAACATGAAATATCAACAGCAACATAATTTTGTATGATCCAAAGGCTTGTCTGTGGAGTTACTGCAGTGACCTTTGACCCCAGAGCTTCTCTCACTCACTGGGTTCCTTGTGTTTCAGGTGGCTGTAAGTGGATCCGGACTCCTGCCATCGTGTATTCCACACATGTGGCCACCACGCTGGTCCCCATCCTAGCTCACATCTTGTTCCACCAGTTCCCTACGAAACCCCATGCTGGTCCCCAGACCCCGAAGGAGCGCTGGCTACTGGTCTCCATATACATCCCATATCTGCTTGTGCCCCTGCTGCTGCTCCTCACCATGCTGCTGTCCGCCACATACAACTCCACCTCCACCTCCACCTCCACATCAAGACACAAGTCAGCCAAATCCAAGAAGAACTGACAGCACCACCATTGAATCCACCCTTCTGTTAGGAAGAGGAGTCAGACTGCAGCCCACTATTATTAGAAACAACTTCCCTATTGTTAAACCAGCCACATTTATCACTACGTGCCTTATACTATTACAAAATAATGCATAAAGTGATAATTTACTTTAAAAGTGAACGTTTGTTGAATTTCTTGTGTGTGTTTTATCAGTACCAAAAGTAAATGAATAACCTTATAAAGGCCTGAATGAAATCAGGATATGCCAGTAGTTCTCTTGGTATGTACTTGTGCATATATATATATATATATATAAGGTATAAAGTAAGTTGCCCCTGGTTGTTATTCAGAAGGACTCTGGGACCAACAGCAACAGGTCTGGCAGCCTGTTCATTCTTGTGTATATCTGATAACGGTAGAGTTGTAAAGTCTGAATATTCTTTGATGAATCAACATGAGTTTAAGGGAATTTCAAAACCTCTATGTGTACAAATATTCTAGTTGGTGATTGGCGCATGCCAGTTAACAAAACCATGAAAATGTATCTTATTAAAATGTTATAAAAAGAAAATATTGATGACCTTTCCGAGTGCAGGAAAGTAAATTCAGTGAAAGTACAGAAAACTGATAGAAATGTGGCTGATCCGCCGTGCTGTGGGACGGTTGACAACAGTTCTGTTGTTTTGGAGCTTTGTGAAGCTTATATTAAAACAGAAATATTTTCAGTCTAATGCAATTAACATACTTACTCGCATTTAAAGGTGCAATACTCGGGATTTGGAGCAGTGTGACAATCTTAAAGTAGCTCTCGTCAATTTGATGGCCAGTGGCTTATATCTAACGACACACTACAGCCCGGGTGCCAAGAGGGGGCAGCATTATAGTACCATAGCACGACGTATACAGCAAATAAATCATCTTTAAATGGTCTTCTTTACTCATGTTGATCACATAAGGACACCAGTATTAAATTGAGTTTCACAGCAGTAAACTGTTTCTTTAAGGGACTTTTAAGGGATCAGGAATAGGTATATTCATTAAATTCATCAGCTTATCTACTCCCTCTCGTTTTATCTTTCCAGTCACTAACATCTTTTACTTTTATCACCAGCAGATTAACACTCATGCGGTTAAAGTTGAGTCACGTTGATATTGTACCAAGATTAGCTTCAGAACTTGAGTTGAGGTTGTTGGTGCCCGTAACTCACAATGTATGGGGGGGCTTACGCTTTGGTGTCCAAAGGGCCAAGAGAATTCTTCCATCATCCCTCAATAACCAACCACATGTTTCTGCAGGCCTGAATAGCAATGCTTTGAAATGGTAAATTGACCTTTGTAGTCTTCTGGCCATTCAAAACACTTTAACACTGCGTGTCATCCTCCAACCGTTCACACATTTATGACCGGAGCTACTGAGCATGGTGCCACCGGCCCTTCAGCACTCTAACAGACCATTCACACTACTAACACGCAAAGCTTTCAGGCTGCATGGACATGGCCTGAGGATCTGGGGATCGAACCACTCATCCTCTGGTTGGATTCCACAGTGCATTTGTTGATTCATTTGTGGATCATTTGAATGACTTTAGGAAATATAGTATTTGTGTATAGTACATACATATTGGGGAAGTATATATATATATTCTGTATTCTGTTATCAGTTCACGTTGTGTTCATAATCTACTATTGTAATTGTGTTTTCAGCCACCAGAGGGTGTCAAATATCTACACTGGTTCCGTTATAAGAAATGGATTTGTAATGTGTTCAATGCTCTACTTTTTTTCACGGTAAACACGTATTTTCATGATAAAGGAGGATTAATGAAGATATTTTCTCTATTTTCAATAAACGTATGATTCTCCTAGTTTACCAGAAATGCTGTGGTGAGCAACGGCTTGAGTGTGCTTAAACTTTGCACATTTCGTAAGGCTATTTTGGTCGATACCCGTGTTTCAAGCATTACTTAACATAGACTTAAAATCTCTTTAAAAAAAAAAAAAGTCTTAAAATAGACTTTTATCATCTGAGGACGTTGATTGCAAGTATTAGCCACTTTCTCTCCAGTTCTCTTGTGGAAAATTCTATTTAAATTTAAAATTCAGAAGTAAACATCTTATATAAAAACTATACATCTAAGATAGTATTAGGTACTTTAAGTTAATTTCAATCTTTTCTAATTGATTCTAATGAAGACCTAGCAGGACTGCACACATCCTTCAAACACTTAAACCGATCATATATATTTCCAATATACTGTATATGATATATGAATATGATATTTATTCAAATATAGACAATCAACTTAGTTCACGTGGCCAAAAAAGCGTCAGAAGTCAGAACGTGTATTAAGAGCGTGAAGAACCCTCCACGACCGGACTACCTTTTGCAGCGGAGGGAAATGTCTCCGCGCAAGGACACCCCTGTCCTTGTATAAACCCGCAACACGGGACTCGCTTCCAGTGTTGTTGAAGTGAACGTCCGAATGCTCACGTGACGTGACGAAGCTGCGCAGAGCTTAAAACCCGAACGCTTCATCCAGCAGCTTCGTGTGGAAGTCAGCTGTTATTAAAAAGCGAGCCGGGCTCTCCGGAGCTAACATTACGTCAGCTGCTCTGTAAGACTTGACGCCGAGGGGAACCGCTCGGAGCTCTTTATCGTCGCACGGATTCGGCCGATGCCCTCTTCGGCTCTGTTGCGTGTGTTCCCGGAGGAGAGGACCGTGTCTGCCGGACGTCTGGCCGTCGGAGGGGACGGCTCACCGGGACCAGCCCTGCACACAAACCGCAGTCCTGTGTTCCCGGCCGCCTTGGTCAATGCCAGCCGTGTCGGCGCACTGGTTCGCGGGTGCTAGCTAGCCGCACGGGCTGCTCCGACGTGTAGGAACCGATACAAATCCGTCTGGGTCGACGAGCCGGAGGCGGCGTTTAACGTAACTTGACGTGAATTGTTGTTCGCGCGTTAGCAGAGAGCGGGCAGCAGCGATGACGCGCGGGGCTGTCACGGTGCCATGTCACTGTCAGGCTAACCGATAGCTCGCTGCCTGCAGCTGCCTTCCACCTCTGCATGGCCGTCTCCAGCAGGGTTGGCATCATGTAGACTGCCCCCCCCCTCCTCCACCCCTCCGCCCCTCGAGACCGGTACGGCGACCGGGGACACGCAGCGCGTCAGTGAGCCTCCTTGGAGAGTGACGCTAAACTGGATTGCAGCGATCGAACTGGGTCAGAGACCGTCGGGCTGGCGCTGATACCGTTTAGCTCCGGATTGCCGCGCGCAGCGCCATCTGCTCTGCGGGATAGTACCGATTCAGGGGGCATCTCAATCCGTTATGCCCCGAGTCGTCCCGATCTCTTACTCACGCGAGAAGGCACATGAGATCAAACCCGCAGCGTCGACCTGATCGAGAGCATCGTTCGCTCCAGGATTGTTTTCTGAGGAGCCCAACACATTGAGGCGACCCAGCAGTGGCCCTGATCGGCCGGACCCCCCCAAGCCTGCCACCATGGAGCCAGTGGGAGACTTTGAGTACAGCAGGAAAGACCTGGTCGGACATGGAGCCTTTGCTGTGGTGTTCAAAGGGAGACATAGGAAGGTAAATAAACGGTCCGTAGAGTCTCTCCCCCTCTGCTCCTGCGGGACAGAAGGGGGGTAAGTGGGCAGCTTCATTGTAATAACTGGGTCAGTGCAGAAAGCTTTCGTGCAGTAGTGTCTCGGCGCTGTCACTTGATCTTTTATCTTTTTCCCAATGGTAATATTGCACATTTTTCTGGCCAGAGATTTTGATCAGGTTTCGTGATCCGATCAATCGTGCCGTGAAATGTGATTTCAGTGTCATTTCATCCTCCTGTTAGTTGTATAAGTGCAGCCATGGCCGCCTGGTCCATTCATGAAAGGGATGAGTCAGGCAGCACTGAATGACTCGCTGACGTAGTGAGGCAGGAGGGAGGATGGGATGCGGTGTTTTTCCTTTTGCCTCTTTTTAAATATACAAGCCTCCGTTATGTAAGAGCTGGACTCATTTATACTGAATCACTGCAACCAATTATATTATCAACACAATCCTCTGTAATATAAATAACTTTTCACTATGAAGGAATGGGGGAGTTTGTTTGTGTGTAACAGACATGAAGGAGATGACATCATGTTGCACCCACTGCTGTTATTGGCGTGACACAGACCTGAGTTCCTCAATGAAAGCCACACCGGAGCACGCTGCATGCTGTAGCCGGCACTGAGCACCACCTGATCCCTTTTGGCCCGATGGCCTGGGAATTGTAGACCTGCAAACATTCAGCCAGTCATCAGTGGAAGCCGTGCATCTAGCTGCACGGTGGTCCACCACGGAGGCCTTCCCGTCCAGCTCAAAAGCTCCTGGCATGTAATCGATGTGTGCACTTTTTAAACTCCTATCATCTGCTGTTGAGTCTTATTTGATAGGATTCTTTCCACCTCCTGAGGAACAAGACGTTTGCAGTCACCTGATTTGCACAAAGGTGTTGGATGTCATCTGCTTCTGTTACATGTTCCTCTGTATGTTCGGTGATTATTCATTAAGCTAGAAGCAGATTTGCAATTTGCATTGAAGACATTTCCCAGAAAAAACAAATTCGTAAAAAGAAACCTCAATGTTATTCAAATATAATTATGTGTCAAACTCTGGTTACATGAACCTCCTTTGCAAACTGTGCTTCACACTTTGCTTCACATATTAATGTAACAGCTGGACCCCTCTGCAAAAAGTGCAAATAATCAAGGATGAATATTAGGGCTTCAACTAAGAAGAAATGAATCAAGGTTCCCAACGTTATGTGAAAATAGTCTTTCTGAAGTTATTGCACTGGACAAACTTGAATATGTCATGTTGGATATAATGTCAAGCTCAAGACCAAAAAACATAATATAAAGACAAATCTGATGCAAATATTTCAGCTCCTTCAGTATTTTGAGATGCATTCGTAGTGGCAATGCTTCTCAAAATGCATTACATAACTCAAAAGTTCAACTCTTCACGCTTTGTCCACATAATTCCTCTCTTTTGGAAATGTCCGTCAGCTGAAGCTTCATGTGTCTACTTTTTTGTAGAACATTTTTGAGGATGCCATCGACTGGAGTCTCTCTTTAAAGGCCCAAACGAGACATTAAGCGTGTAGCCGCTCCTTTTTGTGGTCGTGGTCCTTTTGCAGCGATGCTGATGCTGGTCTCTCCGCGCTGCACCCGGCCAGGATCCATACATGACATCATGCCTTATTCTGAAGAGACGACATGGTTCCTCCGTCTCTGCAGCATGACTTCCAGCAGAAGAAAAGTGCTTTACTCTCCATTCTGCGGTGCACAACCTAGCCGTTAGCTCGTTATATGATGGGTCAGTGGAGGGGGGGATAAAAAAACAAAAAACAAATATAGAATTTGTTTTTTGGGTAGTGTTTGTAGCTCAGTCACACTTGGCTGGACAGGCTGTCAGTGAACTGGGTACGGATGCGGCTCAGCTGACACACACACACACACACACACACACACACACACACACACACACACACACACACACACTTACTCATGTGCTAGATTCTCTGCCAAGCTTGAGGCGAAGTGCAACCGCAGAAGAAGAAAATCTTCTTTTAACCCAGATTTGTTTTCGATATCACAGCCTTTTATTCTTAGTCTTCCGTGGCTTCCTGTCCAACTGAGCATGTTGATTTAATTTGTCCGTACTATAAGTGGGTTTTTCCTCATGGGCGTGGAATCCAACCTCCCATCACTGTGTCCTGAGCGTGTGCAGCTTAATGTCCTGAGAGCATTTGAGCTCACGCCACCTCCAAATCTTTAAGTACCTGCTTCATGAGCTCGTCTCCAAGGCGGTCATTTGGCCCGTCTCACTTCGCTCCTGCAGGAGGCCTGGCTCTCGTCTAGCTGTCATCTGAGCGCCTCGTCGGTCAGCGCCGGAGGCCGCCTGGGCTGTCAGAAACCCAAGTGACCTGGTGTCATTGGGAAGGCTACAATTTCCTCCGTCTCTTGTCAACGCAGGTGTAGTCCTGCTGGCAGTGCAGCCTTTGTTTTAAGCTCACACACAAACCATGTTTAAAAATAAAATGCACTCAAGCTTTGTTGTTTTTAACCAATAAGAGGCAACTAGGCCCGTATGATGGAACATGTATACAACCTGATAGATTGCTTTGTTCTTGGTTCTTGGTAGTGACTGTTTTACTGTGAAAGCTCAGGAAACCTCTATCACAACTTCTAATTTTTATTAAAACCTCTTTCTTATTATATTGTAACTCAATGAATCCTGAAGTTCCTCGTCTCAGCCTAAAAGCTTTTGGATAAGATAAGAAAGGCAAGACCCTGAAACAACTATATCAGGAACACTAGCCAACGAAATCTAAGAACCTGTGATGCAGGAGCTACACGGTGCAGTCCAGCTGCAACTCGGGAGTTCACTGCACAGATGTTAATGAAAAAAAATATATATATTATATTCATTAACTACATGTCACTTCTTCAGTACACATTTCGATATTTCAGGTGTTCCTGCCAACTGAGAAATGATTAGATATTTAACTATTCGCTATGTGTAAGTTGATTAAATTCAATTTTATATTTAGTACGCTATTATATTTCATTATCATATTATAATATTGTTCCCAGCTGATCAGAGGCAAATTAAAGAGGGCGTTTCAGACAGTGTGCACACTCATGTGAATATGTTTGACATTATCAGAGTCATGTACACTCGATAAGAGCAAATTTTATGCGGGGATGGGGATGACGTTTTTGTCTTAAAGTTGTTTTATCTTTATTTTTCAGAAGACCGATTGGGAGGTGGCAATAAAGAGCATTAATAAGAAGAACCTGTCAAAGTCCCAGATCCTTCTGGGCAAAGAAATCAAAATCCTGAAGGTAAGTTAATGCCTAATAGACTCTGACCTTTCTGCTCAATGTATTTAAAGAATGATCCGACTCTTTGAGTCTGCACCTTCGACAGAGAGGAACCTTCCTTGATCGAAATATTAAAAGATGATGGTGAAAGAGATTCCATTGGCAAGTTAATGTTTTTCTGTTCTGTTTTTGCTCAGGAGCTGCAGCATGAAAACATTGTGGCACTTTATGATGTCCAGGTAAGTCATTATTGATGATTTTCGAGCTTAGTAGAGAATGAAGGAGTCAATAATGTTTCCCCTACGTTCACAACTTTGGGGGGAGGTCCCAGTGTATATATATATAAAAAAAAAGGCTTTTATTGATGATTTCCGGGGGCAGAATATTTGATTTTGTGTCTTTGAAAGATGACCGTTTCCAGCCTTTATCAGTGGTCTGATGCCTGGGATGTTATTTGTTGCTGACTTACTCGTTCTGCACTGACGGCACGCTCTGTTAGAGATAGTTGGGGGAATCTTTGAACAGGTAATGATTGGATCCTGGGTGCTCAGGGTTTCTTCATGCGCGTCCTCTTTCTGTGTCTTCTGTGTCATTGTGTTTGCCTGTTTATTCTCCGTTAAGATTGACTTTGCCACCCTTTAGCTGCATTGATCCCCTGTGTGCTTTCCTTAGCAGCTGCTTCTTTGTTGGTCCCCTGCAGTGGTGGTCTGTCTGTTGCGTTGTGTAACCATGTGCGTCTCCTCTCTGGTGGACTCTGACAACAGAGCCTGCTGTGTTTCAGCTCTTTGGAAGGCAACCGGCAGCTGCCTTTTTCCTGGTTTCCATCCCTGCATTATTTTGTACCGTTGTCTCCCTTTTCCAGTTTCTTGTTGCCACACGTTGTTATTTCTGGAATCTCCAGTCTGTCTTCTCCCAGCCTCACCAGCTGGGGTTTCTGTTGGTACTCTGTGCTGCAGGCTTTACCCAACCAAACAGGAAATGTAACGTGTCTGTGTGTGTGTGCACACATATACACCTACCAGACATTTTGTTAGTTACACCTTGTTGGACCCCCTTTTGTCTTCAGAACTGCCTTTAGTTCTTGGTGGGATACTTTCAGCTGGTGTTGATAGCATCACACAGTTGCTGCAGATTTGTCTTCTGCAAATCTATGATTCAAATCTCCCGTTCCCTCACATACCAAAGATGCACTATTGGATTGATATTTGGTGACCCTGGAGTACAGTGACCTCATTTTCATGTTCAATAAAACAAGTTTGAGATGTGGTAAGAAAGGATGCCACACAAACATTAAGTGCTTCATTTGATAGAAACCCCCCAAAGGTAAAACAAACTATGTGGCCGGCTACTCTATTTAGACAATTCTTAATATCAATATCTTGGTCGGCCGCCACATGCTCGTAGGCACGCTGGACGGCGTTGTGGCATGCTCCTAATGTGATGACGGATGGTGTCTGCGCTCTTCGTTGAAAAGCACAGGGCGCCAGTGGCGGAGATGCCAATTCTCATGCAAACCCTCATGAAGTCTGTTTCTGATTGTTTGTGGCCTGCTGGAGGGTCGTCTCATTGTTGCCCCTCTAGTGAACCTGTAATTTGTTCTTAGTACGAGACAACATGGACTCATAATTATGTGTATTTTGTCTGGTCTATTGCTAGCTCTCTTTCCTCTCTGTCCCTTATGCTGCACCGGGCAGTTCTGCAGTCTGGATCCTTGTGAAAGGACAGGAGGTCTAAATTATTTTCGTTATCATCCCCATAGAGGAATAATTTTCTATGAATCTATGAAGAACATTGTGCTCTTAATCATAAACACATTGGTTACATTTGTACACAAGTATTTATATGCATCTGTATTTAACATTCACATCATTAAAATAACAGCCGACAAGTATTTGCTTGTTGGTTGTAAAGGCAATATCCACAGTTTGTGTGTGTGTGCGTGTGTGCGTGTGTGCGTGTGTGCGTGTGCGTGTGTGTGCGTGTGTGTGTGTGTGCGTGTGTGTGCGTGTGTGTGTGTGTGTGTGTGTGTGTGTGTGTGTGTGTGTGTGTGTGTGTTACACAAGCTATTGAAGCTGGACTGACATTTAAGGAGGCCTGAAAAGAAGTTGAATTAGGTGTTGTTGGATAGTTTCTATGGGTTTTCTGGAGCTTGGGAGTTTTCCTAGAAACATGCCGTGCGTCAACCTCCCCCCCTGTTCCTTCACAGAGCTTTGCTTTCCAGACATTTAACAGCCTGGGACAGAAGCTCAGAAGAAAAACACCGTCACTGCTCTGGGAGCCAAAGAGAGAGAGAGAGAGACACACACACACACCCCTTCTGAAATGGGACATGTACTTAGGCAGGGTTGCAATAACAATGCTTAGAACTGATATCAGATTAAATGACTTGAGTTTATCATAACTAGACTTAAACTGAAGTACTTGAACGATGGACACAAGCGAGAGTTTTTTCGCACAATTCTCGCACAAACTCTCAATTTGTCCAAGTTGAATCAGTATAAAGATGCAATCTTACCCACACAAAAAAAATGCCTTCAGTTGAGGCCGAGTAAGTAAACTGTGATACCTGCTCTGTATTTCTTCACAAACCATTCAATAGTTTTCTATCATGGCAGCTTAAAGTCTGTTCGTTAGTCTTTTAATTTCTCCTTCTTTGAGAAAAAGCTTAATGAGCATGTGAACGTCTGCCTATTGATCCAGCAGCAGCAGCATAACACTCCCTTAGGTTGAGTGTGGCTTTGAGGAATGTTATTAAGTTACAGAAATCGATCTTGAAAGGGCTCCCACTTTAAAAGATTTACTTCCGCGAGTGTATGGTTGACGTTAATACTGGAAGAAATTGTAAATTGGAGTTGAATCTAGGTTTAGAGTCAAATAAACGTTGAAAGAGAGGTTCAAATGGAATCAATCTTAATTTTAAGCCAGTTTTAATCAAGTTAAACCATGATCTAATCGGGTTTAGAAAGTGACTTGTTGTAACATGTTTGATCAGCACACATTATCTTCAGTAGATGTGTTTCTCTTCCAAAACACTTTTTCTTTTTCTGACCACAACTTTGAATATAGATTAAATCCATAAAACTGGCTTTCGTAGTCCATGTGGAGGACCGTTATAGCTATGACACGTGCATTCTGCCATGTTTACGGGACATTATGTTCCTTTGTCTGCGCACTGCTTTGCGCGTGTATTGTGTAAGTGGCCATCAGCACATCTGTTAAATAACAAACTACACCTACACAATAACAAACATCCTCCCCTCTTAACCCGAGATTGAGCCACGCGGTTCCCTCCTTGCGGCTTTGATCCTGTGAGAGACGTGGTGTCAAAGCCCATGTTTATCTCCTAAATGAGACCAGTTTACCCAGAATGCCCTGGATTACAATTCCTGCTTGCGTGACAAAAAGCTCCCCCCGCCCCATTGCGCTCGCGCGCACACACACACACACACACACACACACACACACACACTCTATGTCCCTTCTCCACCCTCTCCAACTTGGCCATATCCCATCCCCCATATTGTTGCATAACAAGATCCTGAAGCTGGAGTGTGACGCAATAACTCAACGACTAACCGTCAAAGTGCTTATTTGTCTCACATGGACTCTTGGCTGTCCCAAATGTTTGTGTGTGTGTTCTGCTGTCAGTTCTGGATGATGATGCACTCATTTCATCCCTCCGTCCATCCAGCAGATTCTATTGCTACATGAATGTGCGGAGGTTATGATAATAGAGGGGCTATTTATATCATGGTTGTTTTGGAATATTTTGTTCTGTAAAGGAATGTTTTGACGCACAGCTCTCATCCTGCACAGAGCTATAAATGTCCAAAGTTCAAGAGTGGGTTTTATTTATCATGCAGCCAATGTGTACCTTGTAGAAAAAAAAAAAGTTGTTATTGTAAACGGTTCAAGCGGTCACTACTTTCGTAAGTGTGCACTTCTAGCTCCTCAAATACCTCAAACACAGGCTGCCCTATGTGCTGCAGGCAGCACCTGCCTCTTGAAATGCAACTCACTTCTTGGCAATTAGGCAACAGACCAAAGTCGGGAGACTGCAGCAGCCAGAGAAAACGGCTAGGTAAATAGTACCTAGTGTGTAGTAAAATGCACCAGCTTGTCCTAGTACTCTTGTTGCTGTTATTGGTCCCCATCAATTTCCTGTAACGTTGGGTAAAGGGGACGCTCTCGTTTGTGGTTGTGTAAGAGTGTTGTTCTGTGACAATGGCCAGTCCTCCTCGCTGTCCTCTAAAGTCCGTGTGCTCTGTCTCCACACCATCGTCTCTTGATTGGGCCGCAGAATACATTCGTGTCATAATGTAATCCTCCGAGTGTCCCTTCCCCCACAACCAGCTGCCCCTAAAGCGGAGAAAACAATGTATAGGATTGGAAAAGAAAGCAAACAAACAACCAAGTACCGAGGGCTCTCACATTGATTGAGCAGCCTTATGGCACTGGGCCGTACTAGTGGCTGTAGCTAGCAGCTGTTGCTAGTGGCTGTAGCTAGGTTAGCTTTAGCTAATGGTGGTGGCTAACTGCTGTGGCTAGTGGCCTCAGCACTATATAAATGTATATTCATATAATCAAAATTGTATGTTGATTTAGAGCAAGTTTTAGGTAGCGCTGTTATCATAAACAGCGAGTGCTGCATTTTATGTCCTGTGGGTTGTTTCAAGCTGCTGACCACTGCTTCAGGATAATTTGATTCTGTGTCTCTTCTCTTCCAGGAAACACCCAACTCTGTTTTCTTGGTCATGGAGGTATGTATAGAAACAGGACGGTCTGGGTATTTGTTGATTCAAAGCTCATATCCTCATACATTTTACATTTTTCTACATTTTAATATAGTATAACCACAGATTCAAATTGTTATTGTTGGGTATTATATGTAATAGACCAACACAAAACGGATGGATTTATGTGGATCTCAAAATGATTTACAAATATAAATCTGAAAGGTGTTGACTGCCTAAGTATTCACCCCCTTTAGTGTAAAACCCCTAACAAAGATCTGGTACAACCAATTGCATTCACAAGAAAGGGCGCCCAAGGAAGTCTCCCAAATATCTGAGGGAAAGATGGATGGAGCCAGATTCAGGGCAACCCTTGGTAAAATATGATGCAGTCTGCAAAAGACTTGAGACTGAGGCGGAGGTGCATCTTCCAGCAGGTAAATGACCTCAAGCATACAGAGCTACAATGGAAGGGTTTATATCAAAGCATGTTCATGTTTTAAAAGGGCCTAGTCAAAGCACAGACCTCAATCCAATTGAGAACCTATTGCAAGATTTGAAAACTGCTTTTTACAGACTGTCTCCATCCAGTCTGAGTGAGCTTCAGCTTTTTCCCCCCAGAAAAATGGACGAACAATTCCATCTCTACATTTTCAAAGCTGGTGGAGAGTTCTACCAAGTATGAGGGGGTGAATACTTATGCATCAGATTTCAACCTCATTACTGTTTGTGTCACAATAAAAGGGAATTTGTACTGTGCATGTTGTGTTGATCAAATTAAAAAAAAGTCTATTAGAGTTCTAGTTTTTAATAGTACAAATTAGGAACAAGTCCAAAGGGTGGGACAACTGTCTGTCAGTGCAGTGCTTTGCCCATAAGGCCGGCCGCTCTATCCTTTTCCTCCCCTTTCTCTTTTCTTTCACAATAAAGACCTGTCAATAATTTCTCTTTCACAATAAAGACCTGGGAATAATTTCCCTCTACGTTCTTCTCCCACTTTTTATGATAACACTCAAATAGCTCCATGGTAGAAAACCAACCATGACTGCATGTTAAGTTCCTCACTGAAAATCCACCAGTCTTTTAGGAATCCTATTGCCTGAAAGCCCGTAATAACGTCTTTTGAACCATGTTCAGATTCTCCATCAACAACCTTGTGAAAACTTGTTTTTCTGGATCAGCCGTTAGGACTAGACGTTCATTTGTGTCACGCATTTTGTTTCATAATAAAGACGTGACAGGTAGCTCATTATATTGATGTTTGCATATACATGATGTTTGGGAACATTTAGGTGCTGCACTGTGGCGATCAGCACGCCTGTGACAGGACAACATGTGAAAAGGCCTGGTATTTGCTCCCATATGCTGATCCTTAGACGTAACCTAGGAATCACACTTCTGTTTCTAAGGAAGGAAAACAACCTAAAATAACCCAGAGCCAAAGCGCCCTACTTCAGGAAGGAATAAAATGGATTAGACAGCACTTTACTCCACCATCAGCAAAAGGCTTAATGAGGTCATACGTGACTCAGGGAGTAAACAGGGTTACACTGAGGAGCCGTACGCTGCACAAGTGGAATATAACTTAATTATGCCTTTCTTGGCTTTTCCGCTCCCATTTTTTTTTCCTCCCTTGAACGCAACTGTTGTTTCATCTCTTTGGGCTGTTCCTCCTTAGAACCCACTAACACAGATAAAGTCTTAAGACGATTAATTGGTGAGCCATAATCTTGGTGAGGATTAGCGCTAACACTCATCCCCAAAGATAAAGACACTCAAACACACACGCATGCATAAAACCAAGATGTGCTTCACAGCTTGACGTTGTTGAACCTGAACTTAGTTGGTTGGCTGGTAGTGATTGTTTGTCTCCCCACGCAGTATTGTAATGGAGGGGATCTTGCTGACTATCTGCAAGGTAAGCATCACACTAATCGCTCTGAGTTATTTTTCATCAAAACAAAGTCACAAATACAGCAGAGGAGAAGCCATGACTGCAGCTCCTGTGCTCCAATGAGTGGGAATCCTTATCCATGTGTGATGGATAGTTTGTAGAATAATGTAACTCTGTATTATGTGGAGATGTTACTGTGTGTGTGTGTGTTTGTATTTCTCCATGTTTTCCATGTGGGGGAGGTGAGTGTGGGAACCACTACAGCTTTGTACAAAGGGTTCCTTCTCTGTTACCGAGCCAGATCGCAGTGTTTATGCCTTTCTAGTCACAGATCAACAAGTCGGCTCAAGCTGGATATGTACTGTGTCCAATGGACAGTGGAAGGGATGTTTGCAAGTTCTGTTTTGTATATTTTAGACAAAAGGGTATTGGTAAAAAAAACACCGTTGGTCAGTCCTAATGCCTCAGCGACAGTACAGTCCTCTAGGCCAAAGTCTGACATGGAGCAGCAGTGCAACTCAACAGGCCCCAAAGAAAAGTCACACTCGCTCCAAGTTGGACCACTAGTTTTGCATTACCCCGGAGTCGTGCCATCTTTATGGGTCAGTGACCTCAGTACTTGAGTAGGCGTCATCAAAAATATTGTTGTTTTGCCCCAGCCATGCCATATGGACTTTGAACTGTGGACAGCATCACAATGTCTGCTTGTTTCATGTTTGGTTGCCTGAATCGAACAGCCATTGCAGACCAGTAGGTGTTTCAGTGTAACAAGTGACCATGTTAACTGTTGACTTTCAGCACAATGCTTGGTTGACAGAGATTATAAACAATCAATAAATACCTTTTATGCACTTTAATTATCAGCATAATTGAGCTTGTGGGGTTCACTCTTGAGCACAGAAATGGAGATTGAGTGTAAACATCTCTGGAGGAAAGTCAATATTTTCACACAATCCTTATTTACACATGATACTTCATTAGAACACTAAACTGAACAGTTGTCCCGTCACACCACACTCCGAACATGTTGCAATAGTTGTTGTGAATTGGGTCACAGAGTTTAAATCAGGTCGGCCTCTCGTGTGTTTGCCAATACATCTGTTTGATAACCACAGGTGTTTACTCTTCTGTTGCAGAGTAACTGATTGTGTTGCTGGAACAGCTCACTTATCACTCTACTTTTATATTACGTACCTGCTCCACATGAACAAACTTGCCGGTTACTAAATGGGCCGGGTGAGACCTGTTGGTGACAGGGGAGTACCAGGAGTCCCGAGGAATATTAAAGAACTCCTCTGACCCCATCCATGTCTTTTTAAATCCACCAGTGTTGCTTTCCTCTGGAGACCCGGCTGGCTGCCAGTCTGGATCTTGTTAGTTGTTGTGACATTGATGTCATGAGTGGAGAGCTTCTGTGTTCACGTATCACGTTCCAGCCTGTGAATGTGTGGATAACATCCATCCTCCATTAAAGAACGAGACTTCACTTTTAGTTGGTCCACTGGGGTGGGCAGCAAGGCGTAAACCCCCAAATACTAGATTACTGTAATGTTAAGCTTCCTGGATCCATGCCCGGGCTGCACTAACAAAGACTTGTTAGAGGGAGCGAGAGGAATCCGCTTAGCCTCACATTGGATTGGATTTGTTTCACTACCACCAGGGAATGGGACCTTCACTGCCTCAATTTACAGCATTTACCTTTGGATTATTACAGTAATATGCTAATCATTGCCTTAATTTAAGTAAGGCGGATGAATAGTTTTTTGGAGTTATGGAGGACGACTCGAGTCGCAGGTAGTTCATTTACAGTCATGGCTGAAAGCAGGCAAGGTTTGGTGCACCGAGATTCGTAGAAGCTGAAGTACAAGAGGGTTTAGGCGGGGACAAAATCCAAAGACGTGACAACGGTTTGTAGACGTAATCAAAAAGCTAACTAGAGTAAGAACAAAAGTGCAGGCACGTTTGGCAAATAGCACAAGGCGAACTAGCACGCCACTTGAGTACACAAGGGGAGGGTGAGTCAACAAGACACGTTCAGGAGGGGCGGCTCGACACTGAAGACAAGACGGCAGGGAAGTCTAGACACCTGGAACATGACGGAGATATTAATAGGAATAAATGTAAAGAAAAACTGGAATCATAATTAAAACAGAGGCGAATAACAAAAATGACCAAATTGTCTAGACAAGGCCTGGGAGCTTTACCAACGGCGCCGTGGGTTTATAAAAACAAACAAATGTTGTTTTATTAACTTCATTCCCTTCTATCTCCTTTAGCAAAGGGGACCCTGAGAGAAGACACTCTGAGGGTTTTTCTCCAGCAGATTGCTGCTGCCATGCGCATCCTCAACAGCAAAGGAATCATCCACCGTGACCTGAAACCACAGAACATCCTGCTGTCGTACGCGGGTCGCAAGAGGTCCAACATCAGTGGCATCCGCATCAAAATAGGTGACAGAATTAAATAGAAAAGGTCCTTTCAGAACTGTTGCCAGGGGGCCAAAATAAATAAATAATAAACTAAAAGAGGTCCTTCAAAGTTATGCTGCCTTTACTTGGTCCAACTTTTGAAGTCAAAAGGTAAAAAAATTGTACAGTTCAAACACTTAAACAAAAAAAAACACTCGGTACAAAAGGGAATTTTATTTTCTCCGTAAAAATCCATTATTATACAACTCCGGATAGCGGCTTTGCCATCCCCAATGAAAATGTCTTATTTTGAAACTACAGTATTGTAATTAGTGCATTTAAGTGAAAAAAATATATTGTGCAGGTGTTTTGTCTGTCTCTGACACTCTTCTCCAATGTGTAGCAATAGTGGTTTGTGTTCCTAGTAATAATAACACATGTCATTTTTTTGATGCTCCGGCCCTGCAGCTGACTTTGGCTTTGCACGGTACCTCCAGAGCAACATGATGGCAGCCACGCTGTGTGGGTCACCCATGTACATGGTCAGTGTGTTTTACTGTATTTGGTTTGTGTGTGAGGTTCAGTCGTTTTAAAACTAGCAGGGCGTCGGTCCAGATGGAGCATCAATGCTGGGCATTGATGCTCCATTGATCAGACGTTGAGTACATTGTAAATGGACTCTACTTGTATAGCGCTTTTCTAGTCTTTCGACCACTCAAAGTGCTTTAACATGTCCTTATTCGCCCATCAATAGCTTACATTAGCACATTAACACACCCGAGGCAACATGGGCGTAGCAGGTTAGCAGGGCCTCGGATCCAACCACCAATCCTCCGATTGGAGGACGACCGTGCTCGCCACTCATTCAGTCACCCCAGATAGGGGGAACAGACTTTTTAAGTGAATCGCTTCTTTCCCCCCAGTTAGACCAAGTGTACAAATATTCAGCAGGACTACTTTTACCTGGAGCCCCCACGTGATCAAACCTGTTCATGAACAAAATCACTGGGAAAACCGAAACTGAGTCAGTTTACTAAAGTTCACTACGGTGTGCTGATAATGCCACTCTTCACTTAAACTAAATAAATGTTTCTGTGCAGGACTATTTTTGTGAGGTAGAAATAGAAAACAGTCACCGATAGTTGATGGGTTGCTGCTCTTCACCTTCACCAGCTTTAGAATTGATTTTTAAGGTTCTGAACAATCTGCCTCCATCCGTGATCTCTCGAGCCCGTATGAGCCTGAGTGCTGCCTGAGATCTTCAGGCTGGGCCTTATTAGCAGTGTTAACAGTATTATTAGTGCTTTTTTACGAGATGAGCTGCAAATACCTGACGGATAGACATTTCTTGCTCTATAGCCAGACGCCCTGGCAGCTTCATTAACAGTGTGTTGCATAACTCCCTCTGCTCCGGATCTTAACGTGGCCTCTCCTCCCGCAGGCGCCAGAGGTCATCATGTCCCAGAATTATGATGCCAAGGCCGACCTGTGGAGCATAGGGACAGTCATTTACCAGTGTCTGGTCGGCAAGCCCCCATTCCAGGTTAATACTGTGCACAACCAACCAATAACAAATGTATTGGTGAATATATAGTCTCTGTTTGTTTTCTAGTATCTAATTTCTATATTTCTCATTTCAGGCCAATAGTCCCCAAGACCTGAGGATGTTCTATGAAAAGAACAAGACTCTACAACCGATGTAAGCCACAAAACCTCTTCCCCTTTTTCCTTTGGGCTTCTCTTTGCAGTGTGTGACTGTAGCTGTCCGTGATCTAAGGGGACAGTTATCAGAAGAACCCGTGGTACCGTTTTTGAGACCACTGATGATAGATGGCGTTTGTGCCAATGTCGGTCCATCGAGCCACCGCTATGGCTCCTGGCGCTGGAATCATGCCCCCAGTTAGAAACTCTTTTCATTCCCTGCATAAGGTAGATGACTGGCTAGCTACTGTAGCTAGACAAACAGTAGGGTGTACTGTGAAAAAGTAATGCTGGTGGGGGGGTTGCAGGTTTCTGTACAACCCGGCCAGAAACACTCGCACAAGGGAGACAAGATGGCATAGAGGAGATACACAGAGAAGCTGAAAAACAACTTTCCGCTGACCATCCCTCAGGTGGAATAACGTTTTTTGTCAAATACAACCTAGAGAGTCACGTCTTTGTGTGTGGAAGTCGTTGGTTTGTTTATTTATTTATCATAGACTTTATTGCGCCGTGCTTAGCCACTGCTGCTCTTCATCGCGGACATATTTGTCCCGTATTTTCCTCCACAACTTTGTTCCCCTCGACCGGCAAACCGCCGTTTGTGGAGATCCCCCTTCGTGAATCAGAGCGTCCTTATAGTCCGCCAATGACGGGTTGTAGAAATGGTCATATTTACGCATTTACTCCGACAAAAGCTCTTCAATCTGATTCATTCTCTCATAAAAAAATCTGGCGGTATTGTGCTATGAAACCGGAAATGTGATACTCCAGAAAGGATGTAGTTAGCAGACCAATCTCAGCCTTGTGGGCTGCAGGAGGCTTGCGTAGCTTTTGACCTTAGTCAAGAAAAATGGGCACGCAAGGGACACGCAAGGGACTGTTGCGTCTGCGTGTCCTTGCGTCTCTCTGAAAACCCGGTAGCATAAACTAGGCTTTACTAACCACAGGCCCCCTCTCCTCCCCCACTGTGGAGAATCACAAACTGGCTGACGACCTGAATGTTACCTGAAAGCTCCGATGAGCCCATTACATTACATTACATTTAGCTGACGCTTTTATCCAAAGCGACAATCATTTCGTCTTTGAGTGGGCAGTCAGAAACAGATAAGTTTGGAAACGATAACACCCACACCTGCACGTACCATTTTGTTGGTTCTACTTGATTTGTTCGTAGGATTATCCTGAAACAATCGAGTATCATGTGCAATTATTAACCCTACCAATATGAAGTCTTTGAATAAGGCCATGTACTTGCTACTATCATAAGGAACAGAATGGGATGGGTCTTAGTGAAATGCTGTAGAATTCTTGTTTTTGATCTCCACATAAATATTAATGCTTCAATGCTTTCATTAACCAGCATCCCAAGGGAGACGTCCCAACAACTTGGCCACCTTCTGCTTGGGCTGCTGCAGAGAAATCAGAAGGATAGGATGGACTTTGGTGAGTGAGTTTGTATATAGCAAAGTGATGAATGTGTAAATCACATAAACGGAAATCTGTCGGTTCTCTCTAATCTGATCTGTTGCCTCACGCTGCAGACGCTTTTTTTAGCCATCCTTTCCTGGAGCCGTTGTCCACCATTAAGAAATGTAAGCACAAAGATCACATTCCAAAGCAAGATAACTTACAGCACAATATATTTGCATTATACGGCCTGAAGACATGTTAAATGATCTTTATTTTTTGCCCTCAGCTTGTCCAGTGCCGGTCCCTAGTGCTTCCAATGCAGTGACAGACAGTTCCTGTGGCAGCTCACCAAGCATCCGCTACAACTCCCCTCCTGTGAGTTTGCTTACGTTGTAAAAACACTACTATTGTGTTATACAATTTCATTAAATTTCCCCTGCATAGGCCAATTTCCCAAATTAGCCTCAGATGGCTGAACAAACTTTACACAATCCGACAATCACTTACAATAGCATAAATTATAATATACAAATGTATTATTACTTATAACGTAGGTAATAGGAATAGAATTGTGACTTTTAATAATGAATATAATAAAAGTGGCAGTGGGTGTTGGCCATGACCAGGCTAGCAGTCACAAATCACTCCAGAGAAGAAGCCAAGTTCTTGCATGCATTGATGGAATGTGAATGCATGGAGATGGGGAGGAGCTTAGTGTATCCTAAGAAGTCCCCAAGCAGCCTACGCCTATAGCAGCATAAGGGCTGGTCCAAGGCAGTCCTTAGTCAGCTCTAACTATCATCATTATTAAAGAGCCTTTAAGCGTACACAATCTCACTACACAAATGTAGTGAGATTTATCTGCCGCTGCTTTTGAAGACATGTGATGCCTTACCCTTTAGGAATTTGTAGGTGAAGAGAAAGATTTTATGATTCTTCAGAGTAACTCCTTTCTTGTGACTTTTTGTTAGAATAACAATAGAATTTCAATAATCGAGTCTAGAAGTAGTATGGTTCTGCCTGCTTTTTAATATTATTATCAAAGATAACTTTGGTTTTGTCTTTTGCTGGTGTTTGAGGCAACGCCATTTAGAGTAACTATATCTTTTAGATCATTTATTTCCATAGTATTCAGGGTAATGTCATTCTTATTGTATGTCTTTTAAGGTATGCTTTGATTCTGAGGTAATGAGCTGCATTGCAATGAAAATGTATGGTGTTTTCTGATAATGTTGTATAAAGGAAGCATATACTGGATAGGGTGAATCTAATTGGTCCAAGCACGGGACCTTGTGGAACTCCATGACTAACTTTGGTTTGTATGGAGGATTTAGCGTTTGCATAGTGACTTTCATTGATCAGATAGATGAGACTTAAAGTAGCCTCATGCTATTCCTTCAATGACAATCAAAGGTTCAAGACTGTAACTTATTGTAAGTTGCTTTTATCTTATGGGATTTACAATAAACGCATTCAATCAAGATGGAACAGAACAAGAATCAAGAAAGTACAAATTCTGATTTGTCCTGTCCTGAAGCCGCACGGTACGCAAATACCAATGTTTTGAAACTGATGCAGTCACTCACTGGTAACCAGTTAAGGAAGCGGAGGAGCGGAGTAGTGTGGGGGAATTTAGTTGGTTGAAGACCAGTTGGTCATTCTGGATGAGTTGAAGAGGATGGATGGCGCTGACAGGTAGACACAAGAGAGTAAACAGGTACTGTCATCCACTGAGAGATGTCGGTCAAAAATAGAGATTCAAGCTGTTACCTGTGTCTCAGATTGTGGAAAAGACAGGATTAGTTTGGTGTAATCAGCATAGCTATAGTAGGAGAAGCCATGTGAGTGGATGACAGAGCCGATACAGTTGTTGTTCAGAGGGAAAAGAAGGGGACTCAGTCTGAAATGTGACTGGTGAGGGTCAAGGAGACAGTTATAGTGGCGATAGGAGGAAAGTTGTTAAAGCAAAGAAAAAGCAGAAGAGAGACAGACCTGTAGTTGTTAACTTCAGATACATTAAAGTATATGTTTCTTCAGGAAAGGGTTTAATCTTGCCTCCTTCAGAGAGTAAGGCAGTCAGAAGCAGTGAGTTGACAGGGAATTGTTAATAAGATGGGAGAGAAAAGAAAGACGGTCAGGAGCAATGGACTGTAAAATGTGAGACGGGATAGTGTCAAGGGGGCAGGTGGTTGGACGGGACCTAGAAGGTGAGAACTTGGTTGGTAGACAAGGGGGTGAAAGAGGAAAGTGATGTAGCAATTGATGTCCGTCTGTCTGTGTCTATGAACTCAGTCTCTCCCGGACATGCAGACATTAGCAGAAGATGGTCTGTCATCCCCCCCACTCGGACCGCCCAACTTCCTGCAGCTGTCCAAAGAGTCTGCAGGAAGCACCAGCAGTAAGAACTCGTCCAGTGACACTGATGACTTTGTCCTGGTGCCTCACCTCTCTACTGACAGCTGTAAGTACCAACACACACACCGTACTCTGCTGTACACAACGTGAAAGGGAAATCACACTGAGCTTTTTTTCCCGTGGGAGAGGCTCTGCAATTAAAAAAGTCGTATTGTAATGCCACGATGTGTACATTAGCAGAAATGTGGCACACCATGGAATCCAAAGTCAAAATCATTTTGTATATAATCAAACAGCCGCACAGTATTACAACAAGAATTAGTCACAATTTCTGCATCAAGTTACCTTCCCATTGGAAAGAACCTCTCCTCAGAGGGAGTGCTTGTTCCTCCATAACAGCATAACAGCTTTTCACGTAACGTGTTTAGCAAACTCAACTAACCCTTTTGTGCCTGTCTTACAAAGGCGGATGTCAATCTTGAAATACTTCCATGATTGGTTAAGTAGTTTTGTTTCTATCATTTGATTTGTTTGTTTGTTGTTTGTCACCTTGCCAGGTTCAGCACATAGACTCACATATATATATATATATATATATATATATATATATATATATAAATATCACATGTTACCAAATCCACAACCAGTAAGTTAGACTGCTGCTCACCATTTAATGGTGTAATTGTAGACATCAGTCCTCATGCAGTTGATACACACACTTGACTGGTAAAATGTCCATCATGTTCTATACTTGCACACACACACTAATCCACCTGCTAGTCAGGAAGGCGTTTTTTACTCTATGTTAAGTTTTTAACTATGTTTTGCTGGCTCTGTCACACTCTGAGATCTCTTGACGAAGAGTGCGTTATAAATGAAATATAAAATTATTATAGTCCTCCCATATAAGCAGAGATAAAGTGTGTCATCTGAGTGGCATTCAATCTCCTAATAACTAAATAACACCTTCATTATTCTCATTCTGCCCCTCAGACGACCAGCCAATGGGAACAGGCCGCCGGACGTCCACGGAGTTCCTCATGTATGGAGGGTGAGTACGATGCTATGAACCAAAAAGCTCCGGATAATGTTCATTAATGCAAACGTGACAAACCGCACGGCACATATTGAACGCTGAAGAGGACTGCAACTAAGAGAAATTAAGTTCTAGAAATATATACAGAAACTTTGTATTAATGAGCAACAAAGCCATGGGAGACTAAATACTTTTTGGTCCTATTGTGCTTTGTTTTTCATGTGTGCATCCCTTTGCTGCATAACCAATCGTCCAATGGGGAAAAATAACTTATTGGTTAATTGAGGGATTGATTGAGCCTTTTGAAATGTTACTCTGTTAGCTTAGTTTAGCATAAGGGGTCGACGTGGCGCAGGGGCAGAGAGGGTGCACCGGGAACCGCAAGGTTGGCAGTTTGAGTCCCGGCTGCTCCATGTCCCATGTCGAAGACACCTAACCCCTAATTGCTCCCCGGGCAAAATGTAAAAAGCTATTGGTTAAAAATGCAATGTAAGTCGCTTTGGATAAAAGCATCAGCTAAATGACCTGTAATGCAATAAGACTACTGGTCTGGCTCTGTACAAACGTAAAGAACCTGCATAGCAGCAGCTGTAAAATGAATTGACCCAAAACATGTAAGAACGTTGTTTTGTGTGTGAATAACATAGACATCATATATGCATTTGTTAACGTTGTTAAAAGAGTCTGTAAAGCCTCTGAGAATGAATCAGAAGGTGTTTTATTGTTTTAACATGGTCCTTAACTTATCAGGATACACTGGCAGCCCGGTGGAGGTGTGAAATGCGGCTGTGAGGTTTCATCTCACACTGCGCCTTGAGTGTGTGTGTGGTTGAATCATCTATTCTTTAAGCGTTGTTACCTCAGTGAGGCCTCCTCTTTTTCTTCATTCTACTAATGCGCTCTGGCCACCAGTTACACCCCTTCCTCTCAGCCTCACACACTTATAGATATTACGCACACTCAGTGTTGTTTTGTCACTGATGCGTAAGTTCTGAATCAGCCGTGAGTCAAGCGCCAAGGTGGTGCTGTGTGTGACAGCAGCTGACCCATTCAGGGTGGTGTCGTATGAATAGACTCACACACAATTTTTGCCCACAATGACAAAAGTGAGTATTAGTTGGTCTCAGCTGTGTTAAAACACGCTCACACGTCCTGCAACCACATTGTACTCTAGACACAACAGCATTTATTGACCTCTCTGATATCAAACCTTTTGTTTTTAACTCGCTTATCAGGTTATAACATAATAAAGTAACTAAATAATAAACTGTGAAAGTTGGAGGCACCCTGCTGTTATTCTCTGTACATTTCCTTTGTTAATGAAGGGATAAGGCTATAATTGCACATATTTCCGAAAATACTATAACTATTGTCCATTCGTAAGACCATAATAGGTGTAATAATAGGAGTAATAAGTGAAATATGTATTTCAAATAGTCAAAATGATGCAGTTGTCACGTTAGGCCTGGAAATGGAGTAACAGCACGTCATCACGTGCAGATGTGTGATGTGTTTCTAATAGTTTTTGGACAACAATTGAGCCATATGGTAGAGTGGGAGAAGATCGATCACCCTTTGAAACACAAACACACACACACACACACACCCACGCACTACTATGATATGAGAGGAGATCCATCCATTGTTGGTTTTGATTTTTTCATGGATGTTGTTGTAAAAAAGAAGAACCTCACAAAAGCCACAAAAGCTTTAAATCTTGGTTTAAAAAAAAAAAATAGTCAGCATACCCTCAACTGGGCGTCATGTGTAGCAATGACTTCTAGCTATAAGTTACTATGACTGTCGACACTATGAGTATCCCTGCAGTTTTTATGTTCATTTTTTAAAACGCAACCGGCCGTGGGAGTGTTTTTACACCACTTGAATATTCGGCGTATTGTAAAACGGCAAACGATGTGCATGTAGTAATGTGGACATGGCTGTACCGTCCAGTTAAAACCCTAGACATACATTACACATTATGCAGGCAAGTATTTTGGAATTTAATTTTATCATGCTGCCAGTTTACAAAGGCCTTTTTAGAGAAAAATGTAGGTGTTAAATAATGATGCGTGTTTCCCCCTGAAACTCCAGGCAAAGTCTATCACTCTTTGTTCTTGCTCCCCCTCCCTTTGTTAATCACCAGAAAGTGCAAAACGCCTCGAGTAGAACCGTTGCCTCTGCATTTTATGTTTTGTCTTGTCGTTGTTCTGTCTAAAGCCTGGTTTATGCTTCTGCGTTTTCAGAGCGACGCAGACACAAGAGCCCCTTGCGTGTCTTTTCACACCAACTTGCGTGCGTCGAGCTACGCAAGCCTCTCGCAGCCCGTGAGGCGGCGATTGGTCTGCTAACTACATCCTTTACGGAGTCTCACATATCCGTTTTCATAGCACAATACCGCCATTATTCAAACGAAGATTATTTTTATGAGAGAATGAATCAGACTGAAGAGCTTCTGTCGGAATAAATCTGTAAATTTGATCACTTCTACAAGCCGTCATTGGTGGACTATAAGCACACACGGATGGCCTCCGATTCATGGAGGGAGATCGCCACAAACGCCGGTTTGCCGGTCGAGGGGAACAAAGTTGTGGAGGAAAATACGGGACAAATGTGTCCGCGATGAAAAGCAGCAGTGGTGATGCACGGGGCAATAAAGTCTATGATAAATAAATAAACAAACCAACAACTTCCACACACAAAGACGTGACTCTTTAGGTCGTCTTCAACAAAAACACGTTACTCCACCTGATGTTCTGGCGGTGAATTGCTCTGCAACACACGCAAGACTTTTAGAACCATGAATTGAAACGAGTGCATGCGGCAGCCTTAAGCCTCCTCTAACCAGCTTTACTCCATCCCCCCACCGCTGTGCTTCAAACTTCCTCCTCCATTGCAGTAACTCTTTCTGCCATTAGTTAACCTTTGACACAAGAACAACCAATTCCTGTTTTTCACTGCAGGAGTGATTCCTGGCAAATCACTTGTTTATCCTCTGTGCCCTGTGTGTGCTAGATTGATTTGGAGTTGAGGAAGAAATGCTGTTAAATGGATTATTTATGTCGCCTTTCTAGTCCTCCGACCGGTCAATGACTACGTGTCATCATTCACGCATTCACACATTGATGGGCGAGGCTACCACGAAGAAAACTATTGAACAATGTTCAACTATCTAAAGGCTGGAGGATCTGACGGGATCGATCCTCGATGATCATGAGCAGGCGCCCCGCTTTGGCCCTGAGCCACGACCAGTGTGTGGGCTCGGGAGCTTTGGGAGATGTTTGGGGAGGGATGATTGTGGTAGATAAAGCACAGGATTAGAAGAAGGAAGGGACAGAAGGGATTATTATAGCGAAGATTATTAAAGAGAAGCCGGAATTGCTTGATTTTATATATAAAAAGTGGAGCGGCAACTCGTATTCCGATCCAGATCCTCGTTTCACGCGTCCTTCTTTTAAAAAGCAACTGATTGACCTACAAACTTGTTTCTTTCTGTTTAACAAGGAAACGACCGCGTAAATCATCCTCCATATTAAGCCTTTGCTGGGATCAATAAAGCTTTTAGCAACCTGGTGAAAAATAAAAAGCCTTCATCATCGGTTACATTATCCGATGTCTTCGTGATCAGCGTGAAGTGTGTGGAGAGGAACAGCACCCGGTCCGTTTTATATGACAGAAGTGCAGAATTTCGACAAAAGCACTTCTCCCTGGTCCTTTGTCTGGTCTAGTCTTTCCCTCACGTGTCCCCCTCTCTCCCCCCCCGTAGGCCCTCCCTGTCTCCACATCATTACATAATGCGGGTTTTTCAACTGTTAACACTCTAACGGCCATTTCCGCAACTCCTCCTCTGTTTTGCATTCTATATGAAAGCAGGGCCCTCTGCGGGGGACTCGCTCATGACTCTTTGTTCGAGAACATTTTGTCTCCTCTGGAATAACAAAAGAATGCAAATGAGCTGCGTCTCTCTGCACCTCCCCTCTGCTGAAGGCAGCAGGCCGGCCTTACGTGTGTCACTTGCCGGCTCCGCCTCTAGCCCCGCCCCCAGCAGAGCAGTCTGTAAGCTGATTGGTGTTGCTTCTGTGTTTACATGGAAGCCTCACCCCCTTTTTTTTTTTTACCAGCCCACTCGCCTCATGATAAGCCAGGCTGAACTCAAGTTCCTTAACCTGCCTCCACACTGAAGTAAACAGAAGACCTGAGGCTGTAGAAACAAAGGCTCTGTAATTAAGAATCGTCCTCTGATTATAACACAAGCAGCAATATTTTGGAGATTTGAATGATTATGGTTTTTAACACCCCTGAAGATGTCCCGCAGATGTGGACCCAGCAGCTCCCTCGAGCAGACCGGCTAACGGCCCTCTTCTTCCCCTCCAGACAGCCGCATCCCACCCAGGGACAACCCGCTCCGGTGTCCCCACGGGCGGAGACCACCCCCATCCCTGTTCCCACCCAGATCCGCAACTACCAGCGCATCAAGCAGAACCTCTCCAGCAGCCCGACAACCATGGTGTTCAGCTCCCCCAGGTAAGAGCCGTCTCTGCTGGGTCCCAAGGGAAGAGTTCACACACATTTTTACAAATCTCCATCACTGTGTCATCTTCCAAACAAACTTTCATCATTATATATTCTTTGAAACATTTGTGTATCCAAGAAAGAACGAATGAGAGGTTTGAGTCTGACGCCAACGCAGAGACAAACTGTTTTGTGTGTTTTTTTATTGGTTGGCTGCAGTATTACAACAGAAAGAAGACAGGGTACCTCACATGACAATAAGGCCTTTGTAGTACATATCACTGCACAATCTGCTTATCGGTTATTCAGATTGCAAAAATGTAGCTCATGTGAGGCTGTAACTGGCATGAGTTTGGTCCAGTGCTACAACCTGCTTGTGTCTCTCTCCTTCATAAACTATAGTTTAACCAATACAGATTGTTCTCATTAGATCTCACTTGAGCCACATACACTCTGTCATACAGGTATTCGTGAAGCCTACCTGTATGATATGAGTAGTATCATGACGTAAGAACCTTGTGATTAATGAAACACTTGGAATGGACCTTCTTTTGTTGACAGCCACTTGTGACTAATGTCTTACTCACCACTGGAAACAAACTTTATGGCGAGGTCATGTAAATGCAGGCTGTCGTAACATCAACCATAATGTTTACTGAAATGACATCAGATACAGCAAGTGCCTGCTTGAGTGCGTCCCGACCTTGTTGCTGGGAGGGTTTGTTGGTGGTTCGATGTGAAGACAAAGCATAGGAGGAAGAGAGAAGGGTGGCACCGTGTTCCACCGAGAGATTACTTCTGTTCTTCCTGTAAGAGGGTTGCAAGTCCTAAAACCACTCAGCATTTTGGCCCTTCCAGTTCCCTCGTCTTGAAGTCAAAGGTTATTTAATGGGTTTTGTAGCTGTGAAAATGAGGGTTTTCATGTGTTTCGTGTGTTTGGAGCTTGGTGAGGTAGATTCTGGAGGATCCTCTCACCCATAGCTGTGTCTTTGTTCGGCGTTCCTGCCCGTCAATCGGTTTTGGGAGGATTAGAGCTTTGATTAGAGCTATCCTGTTGACGTATTAGAGGCCCCTCTTCATTTGTATTCTTTTATGGTCAGTAGAATTTATTTGTCATATATTCAATGAATCTTTACTGCTTGGTTTCAGATAATAACCCTGCAACTAGAAACAAAGATGATATGTAATGGGGTCATTTAATAAGATATGTTAATATGAACATCTAAAGCGAGGTTACTGCGAAGAGTTGGCCTTGCTCTGGTATTCCTATGAATTATAAAGCAAATCAAGACAGGTAATGCACAAATTGACACTGTAATACATTTTCAATATAAACTAAGACCAAGAGGACAATAGGGCTGTCAACAAATATTCTATATTCGAATATATATTCGAATAGTTGTTGTTGTTCATTTAACCCGTTACGCGCAGAGAGCGCGGCAGTGGGAAAGAGCGAGAGGTCTGCGGTCTTGGCTGTTAGTTAATTTACTTATTTTTATGCAGGTAATATGTTCTTGAATATGTTTAAACTTAAATAAATTACCTATACAAATAGTTATGTCTCGTTGTATAAATTTGTCTTGTTGTTGATGTGCCTGATGCGCAACCAGATAGTCGAATACATGTCTCTTTTAAAGCAAATATTGGAACGTCCTTTTTGAGCAATTTTGACAGTCCTTGAGGACAACCACAACATCTGACCTGAAGCTTCAAATCCATGGTCCATGCGACACACACAATGTGTTCTGGTGTGAAACACTAAATGAAACATTTCAATAAAATCAATTGATTTGTAGTAGAACTAATGCTCTGTATATCGTGTATCTCAATAGCTAAATAAGTTAAAAGCTCCCACACAGGCCTGGATCTGTGTGACTCAAATCTGTTTCGAGGATGGAGAAATTGGCTGGAATGAGCCAAAAGGAGCAGGCCAACAGTTGCATTCATGGATTTGACTGAGCCGTGTTGATTAGTTCCGTGTTGCCTGAGGCAGAGCGTGTTCCTCACAGCTCTGAAAGCTGAAAACATTCTTTTGTGTTTTGTAGGTCTGGCACTGTGAGGCGTTCCAACACTAGTCCCATGGGTTTGGCCAAGATGGGTTCGGGGTCCCCGAGTTCTGCAGACGTCCCTCAGATCGTGAGCAGGCGTCTCTCCACTGGCAGCTCTCGGCCTTACTCCCCCTCACCTCTTGGTAAGGAGACGTCCTCTCATGTCTCTGATCACGGCAGCTTTTTAATAAAAACCTTTCGGGTGTGTTTTTCATTCCCGATGCCTAAATCTGTGTTTTTACTTTGCAGTGGGCACCATCCCCGAGCAGCTGGGTCACTGCTGTTGCCACCTGCAGAACCACGAGCCTCGCAGTCGCAGCTCTTCAGGAGGTCAGTTCTCAGGCAAAGCTCCAGCCTGGTCCCCCCTCCCCGAGCCAACCTGCTCACTTAGATTCAGCTTGCGGTCCCGTAGGAAACGTGTTTTTTTTCAGATTTGAATGTCAAAATGATAAATGACACAAAGTATTCGAGCCAGCGATACTTCCTACTGCAAAATGTGTTTCCCTCATGCAGAATAAAGCATGAGCTGGCCTCCAGCTTAAAGACAAGTAGACATGGAGCAATTTCTCCTCTGATCCGCCAGAGAGAATTCACAATTCACACCATACATTACACGCTCTGCAAACTTGAAATTAACTCTAACCCGGCCCCTCTGCTTTCTCTAGGTTCCCCGGTCCCATCTTCCCACCTCCTCGGGCCTCGACTCCAGAGCGCCCCGACCCTGACCGAGTTCTACCAGACCAGGCAGAAACTCCACAAGCAGTTATCAGACCCGGTGCAGCCTTCCTCCTCCTGCAGTCATTCCCCTCAGCTTGGCCGCCCAGCCAGCCTGGGCTCCTCCCCCACCAAGCTCCTGGGCTCCTCCCCCCGCACATCTGACTGGCTGCAAAAGTCCCCGCTGCCTACAATCATTGGCTCCCCGACTAAGGTGAGTGCAGATGTTATCAGGGTTCCCGCGGGTCCTTAAAAAGTCTTAAAATGTCTACAATTAAAATTTGTGTAATTAAGGTCTTAAATTGTCTTAAATTACACGTAAAGTTGCTGTAGGTATTTATTTTTTTGCCGGTGCGCTTAATGACGACGAGAAAGCACAGTGGCGCATTGTAAAACATCTAATAGTTGATTAATTTAGTATTGTGCGAAATGAGTCTCCGCAATTGAATAGCTGTTTACGGTACGTCGGCTACAGACAGCTGCGTGACACCATTACGCGGTTGTGAGGTTGAAAATGCAAAGATGGGGAAGTGTAAATTTAACGACAAGTGGATGGAAGAGGATGCATTTAGGAGGCAGTTGGCGCCGGTTGAAAACAACAATGAGGCAATGTGTAAACTATGCAAAAAGACCTTTTCATTAGGGACCACGGGGCTCAAAGCCGTCGAGTCGCACATGAAAGGAGGAAAGCACCAGCGATACGTTACCAGGTTAATCCCTGCATTGTTTGCAGCACGACCCAACGACGTTACAAGTTCAGACGCCACCTCTCAGTCGGCTGTAACAAGTGTGTGTTAAAAAGTTTTGATTTCTATTGTAGGAGGCAATAAATTGCGTATTCCAAAGAAATTGATACATTTTGGGGTCTTAAATTATATTTTTTGAGGTCTTAAAAAGCATTAAATTTTACTTTTGAAATGGTGCAAGAACCCTGTGTTATTGAGTGTGCACATAAGCAATACCACTGTGGGTTTTTTTAAGTTTCGCTGTTTAATGTTTCTTCCATTCAGACCATTTCGGCACCGTTCAAGATCCCCAAGACGCAGGCGTCCTGTAACCTGATGGCACTGGTGGACAGTCCCGTACCCATCAAGACGCTGTCGGATGCCCGGGATATCTGCGCCCACCACTGCAGCCCCTACCTCACTGGGCGCCCAGCGGCCCCCGAGGCCAGTCGGACCTTTGGCAGGTGGGCCTCACTGAAACAGCTTTGCTTGCCACCCCCCTGCCCTTCTGTTATTCTGCTTAATTACTTTGGTGGCTATCAGGTCTGGGTTATCATGGTTTTTACATAAAGTATTTATAGTACAGTTGATCGGAATTCAATTTACTTACTTGCATCTTGTTGATGTTTTAATGGCATAAAGAATGAAGACATTTGTGTTATTTGCCACGTTTGCCACGTTTTTTTATTCCTCTAAGACCCATGGCGTGTATATTAACATGCATGTTGAGCAAAGGAACTCGTTGCTTTGACCCACCTCCGTTCATCCTCTACCATACGACGTCATCCCGTCGGCTATTTGACACGTTATCTGTGCTCTTTCCTGCAGGTCTGTGAGTACAGGTCGTCTGTCTGAGCCGCCAATCAGAATCAGTCTGGGTGGACAGGCCTATCAGGGCAGCACTGACAGCTTGAACACAGAGCGACCGATGGACACAGGTAGGGTACACTGCTGCACACACAATAAAATAGTTTACGGCAGGCGGACATATTTTAATCACTTAAACAGAAGAAATTAGAAAAAAAATTCTGCATTCTTCAATATACACAAATCTGTAGGAATTCAAAGTTTGAAGAGTGATTCCGTCATTTCCTATAGTGCACTTTTGATGCTACATTTAAACCACAGCAGTGTATGACAGCGAATGAGACCACTTAAATGTCCTCGTCCCAAAGCCCCTGCAGGTCCCTGTGGGTTGATTCATGGTGGGTCAGGGAGCCCTCGTACTGTGCTGTTCACTGTGGGTTCACCGCCTAGCAGCAGCACTCCTCCCACCTGCAGCCACCTGGGCACCAGACCGCGCACCACCTCAGGTGAGGACTCGACCCCTGAGCTCAGCTAGTATGCAAGCAAACAAACTATGAACATTTGGGAGCAGGAAGGCTGTGAGGTGTTCCGAGTCAGTGTCAACGGTACTGATCTCACGGCCCTCTGCCTTCTCCTCTTGTCCTTGTCTCAGTGGGCTCCAACAGTTCTGCCGGCTCCCTGTGCTCCACTAGCGGCCGGGTCTATGTCGGATCTCCTCCAGGCATGGCCCTGGGCACCTCTCCTCCAGGCGGTTTTGGGGGCGGGCAGGTCATGCCTGGATCCGAGGGGGCACCCAGCAGCCTGCGTTACGTCCCCTATGGGACCTCCCCTCCCAGCTTGGAGGGATTCATCACATTCGAAGCGCCAGAGCTGCCTGAGGAGACCCTCATGGAGGTGAGAGAGTGAGGGATTAAATGCATGGTGTCTGCTTCTCGTTATTAAGGATCAATCAGACATCTTCATGACTCTCTGGTGGACTCCTCTAATCTTCTAATCTTGTTGTGTTTTTGTTCCGGTCCAGCGTGAGCATACAGATACCCTGATGCACCTACGGATGATGCTTTCATTCACTGACTGCGTCCTGGAGATGGCGGCGGTTCGCGCTGGAGAGACGCAGGTCGGTGTGTCGGCCGCTCCTCTCTACCCCCCTCAGGACAGCGTCGTTGTGGACCAGATCAGCCAGCTCAGCAAAGAGTGGGGGTAAGGAATGGCTTAAGTGAAGTTTAACCCTCCGATAATCTTGATAATCTCACTTATATCGCAGAGTCTGAAGAGCCTCTTTGTTCAGTGGTGTCGCTGCAATTCTTTTATACCCTCTGGTTGTGCTGCCCCCTACAGGCAGGTGGAGCAGCTGGTGCTGTACATGAAGGCAGCTCAGCTCCTGGCTTCTTCTCTCCATATGGCCAAGGCCCAGATTAAATCAACCAAGCTCAATCCCTCATCTGCCGTCAAACAGGGTAAGGACATCTCATTTCCCATCATTTGACTTTGAATCCCGCTTCATCAGCAGGACAAACACACAGTTGTTATGGACAACGTCCCTGTCTAGGTCTATTCGCTTATAATTGTACTGTCTTTTTACAACTCTGTAATTTTAAAAGACATGTGGATGCAAAAGGTACCCATTTCCTCTCTCTGTCTTCCCTCAGTGGTGAAGAGTTTAAACGAGCGCTACAAAAGCTGCATATCCTTCTGCCGCCGGTTGACGGACAGACTCAACCACTTCTTCTCCGACAAGCAGCGCTTTGTGGACGAAATCAACAGCGTCACAGCGGAGAAACTCATCTACAATCACGCTGTGGAGATTGTGAGTGTCCGGCGCACAGTACAGAAATAACCAATGACCAGAAATAATCATCAGTCTAGTTACAGATACAAGGATTGTACTCGGGTAGTGAGTGTTTTTCACGTGTTATGTTTAGTAAAGGGCATTTCTAATCTACGCTCGTGCGGCTAATGTGATGCTCTATGTGTCAGGTTCAGTCAGCAGCGTTGGACGAGATGTTCAAACAGACAGAAGACATAGCCTACCGCTACAGCAAGGCCGCCATGCTGCTGGACGGCCTGTCCAAGATCCTACAGGACCCTACCGACATTGAGAACGTGGTCAAGTGTGAGTACAGGAGACACACACACATCCCCAGCTTTATACAGTAGGCCTCATGCAGAAACCACTCACTTGAACAGATTTGGCGGGACAATGCTTAGGATTGTTGTTTGGTGGCTGGAGCTCACATCACTTCTGAAGTATGAGATGATCTTGTGGTATAGATGGGCTCTTGGCATCAGGCAGTGATTTAAACTTGTGGAGGAGGAGACATGACCATGGCTCAGCAGTCGTTTGCTGCTCTCTCAGACTCTATTGATGGAAGTCGAGGCAGCTCTGAGGTCTGTAGTTGACTATCTGCCCCCCAGCTGTTCGCTCGTCCTCTTAACAGTTTTACGAGGACTGAAGATGCAGCCACAGGTTTATGCAAAGGACAAACAGGATGCTGAGACTGCGTTTTTTCCTCCTCCTTCATGGGTGTTAAGCAGCGTAATCTCTCCTCCTAGCCAGATTACCTATCAATAGAGACCTAAGACCTGAACAGAAACCGCTGTGTCCGTTGTAAACACTCATGACTAAGGGTTTTACTCTGCACACTTGGCTAGGAGGTTTCCGACTTGTGTTGGCTCTTCACATCCTAAACCCGTGCTTACAATTCCCACAATACATCCCGTATGTTAACCATCAAACGATGACTTTAATGTCAATTCACAACCATTGACTTTAAGGTGCCTAATTTCAGGCCGAGTTGACTTTGAAACACAGGATGTTCTTATTTTTTAGCTTCCAAGCTGTGCCCCTCTTCCCACTGACCATAACACAGCTTTACTCAGACCTAATCCCTCCTTTGCTCCCAATAACTTAAGGACTTCATTCAGGTTACGGGTTACACTGCTGGATGCCTTTTGTGCACCACCCTATACAGAGCACCGGGAGGCAAAGTTACATCAGGTTGAACGTCACCACCCAACAGAAACTAAACAGCCGTCGGTGTGGTTTGGGGACAGGGGGGGCAGTAAAGCTACATCTGATCCAGAACGCTGCAGCTCGAGTTCTCACTTGGACCAGGAAAGTGGATCACATCACTCCAGCACATTTCTGATCTGCTGATACCTTATGAACCGCCACGAACCCTTAGGTCGTCTGGGACGGGTCTACTTCCTGTTCCCTGTGTAAAAACTAAACATGGAGAAGCAGCGTTCAGTTTTTCTGCTCCACATATCTGGAACAAAGTCCCAGAAAGCTGCAGGTCTGCTGAGTCCCTCAGCTCCTTTAAATCCAGATTAAAGACTTGCTGCTGCCTTTAATTGACCATTTCTGCATTTCGGAGTTCTTAAAGAAACTCTTAAACTACATTGCAAATTTGATTCTATTTTTAGTTATCTTTTCAATGACTGCGTCTTTTATGTTTAAATCAATGTTCTTAACTGTTTGTAAATTTCCTTGCTTTATGTTTGGATGTTGTTAATGGTTTTATGTGAAGCACTTTGAATTGCCTTGTTGTTAAAATGTGCTATTCACATAGAATTACCTTGCCTTTCCAAGGAACACCGCAGGGGGGCTTTGGGAGTACATCTTTAGATTGCAGGGTGTCTACTGCTTGTCTTTTTGACACCTGCACCTCACTGTTCAGATGTTTTCAAAGACATTCACTGTATTTCTTGTACTGAGAACTTTCTCCAGGGTTCAGGTATCATGAGTGTAGAGTGATAATGTTACAGAATGGTACACGCCATGGTACGTCTCTGCAGTGACATGTTTAGGCTTCTTTGGAGGTTGTCTAACACCATGACTGATTGACCGATTCCTGACAATATGTCTTGAAACTATGCAGAGTGAAGGTGTGCAATAAAGATGGAGAACAAGTAACTTCTTATGGCAGTGGGGTGGGGGGGGGGTTACATGTACCTGCACAGGTGTTATCTATCAGGCTGAAAAACACAATATAGTTAACAGTTAAGACCTGTCATCTATTATAAGCTTTAATTGTAAAACTTCTATTTACATTGTTGTTGTTTTTTTGTATTCCCCCTGCAGACAAGGCCAGCGTGGACCGCAGGATCTCCGCCCTCTGCTACTGCACCGTCACACTCTACGAGTAGCCGCCCTCACACACACATACACACACAAACGCAGAGGAGTCCTAAGACTATCGACTACCATACAAGGCCGCCGTTCCTTCCTGTAGCAGTTCAAGCACTTTTCATTTGATTCTGTATTTATGGTCATACTGGCTGCATCACAGACACAGCTGTGACAAGCGACTGATGCACAACTTTACAACCAAAGATGACAACGGATCCAGTATAAAAAAAAGGAAAGTCTGAAATTACATGTGGACATAAAAGCAAAAAAACATTTTTCTTCAGACGCTATGAAAACCATCGGATCAACATGTATAAAAAACAAACTAGTATCATCTTTCAAGATATCCTTTGTTTTCTACTAGAAGAAAAGGAGGACGGGGAGGACCATGATCCGGCTTCATACTCAATATCAGTGGTTATTTACTCTGTGTTTAGTTTGTCTTTGTTCTTATTTATTGGTTCAGAAGAATGTTGGTGTTTGAGTCTATTGCCTATCTTGAAAAAAATATTTGAGTCAAAGGAATTGGAAGAATTTAGCAAAAGACTGATGGCCAATCACAAACAAACGTTTGTTACAGAAACTAGACAGCCATGTGAGCAAAGGAACCCTTTTTTTCTTGCGTTGTTAGCTCAAGCACTTTATTGTGGATTGAGAAGAAGAGAGGCGTATGGTAGGAGTTGTAAAAGTGTGAAGGATTTTACTGTCCCTTTTGCTTCAAAACCGACCTGCTCTGTGTACACCAAGAACAAGTCTGCAGAATACATACATTTGCAATAAGGAAAAGCAACCACAGCAAAATTTAATTTTAATAATTTGCAGCGGCTCAAAACTATGTGGGACCTCTTCTCTCCAGATCAACTTTGTATAAGAACCACGTTTCTCCACGTTTACGGCCACGGCCTGTGCTACTGAAAATTTGACCATTTCTATCCAATTTTAATTTGTCACGGAGGTTCTCTAATCTACTGGAAGTGTAACGGTGAATTGGAGTATCCCAAATTGTGTGTGACATGAAAAAAATAGGCCACAATTTGAGTGCAGGCATTCTTATTGTTTACCATTGACATGATGTCAGATGCAGTTGCTCTCCAACATCAAAACAACATAATTTATACAAAAATACGGTTAATCCCACAGGCGTAGTAGAGCTTTGATTGGCTTAACTTGATTCATATTGAAAGAAACTGAGGCTCATGTCCCATTGTTCCCAGTGTTATCCAGTTTGTAGGAATGTAACGAACCCATGAGGCCGTGTAGATGATGATGCTCACAGGGAGGAGGGGTCGAGGTGAATTTGAACAATGACTGAATCTGACTCAATCTGCTCACGTATGTCACACGGTCTGTAGGCCCGGGCAGTGGGGAGGGGCGGGGTGGCATGTAATTGTCCTGCTACCACTGTAGCGCTGAACAACCAATGAGCGTCCACCTGTACACTGATGGAGCCAGTTGTGAAACTGACAAGTAAGCTTAGTAACAAGTTTCATTTGGCTGGACTACTACAGCTTTTTATGTTATCTGTAGCTGAATCTTTTTTTTTTTTTAAACATGTAAATATTTGTATGTGGTGCATGTGATGACTATATCCCCCTCTTTTTGGGAGGGGACTGACTGAGTTTTGGAAGTGTCGAGGATACCATCAGACGGCCTGCCTGTCAGTCAAAGAGCACAAATCTTTAGATGTAAATAGAGGAATTTGATACATTTTGTTCATGTCTGCCAAGGGTTTGATAAGAAACCTATTTTGGCACAACTGAGGTGTGCCAAAGAACAAAATATAACTTGTGGCAGCTCCAAAACTTTAAGAGAACTCTTTCCATCAGGACTGTTCAATGTTGAGATCAAGACACATTTGTTTTGTTGGTCTTCTGAAATGTTCTGGGTGAGTGAGTGTGATCGCTTCAGATTTTAGGTTCATTCCCCCAAATTTCTTCATAGTGGATTTGACATAATCTTTACTGCCTATTTTGGACTCTGTCCCTCTGCCTCCCCTCAAGTCGTCTGCCGTGCTCCCAACAGTTTGTATGTGAGGGAGTATAAACACACGTACACTCGCCAGGTGTGCATTGAGGCCAGTAGTATACAGCGATAGGCGGAGAAGCCTTCTAGTTAAGGTAGACAACGGCCTGCTCCTTTTGTACAGGTGTGAATATATTCTTTTCTCTGTAAAAATGTTTATAAATGATGTACTGTTCTTTTTCTGAGACATATCTGGGTTACAGTTTCCCTCGTCCTTGTCGTGAGCACTCTGAACCACACAAAGCCTTTTACTGCACACGGAGTGAAGACTGGCAAACAGAGCTGATGGAAACCTGCCTGAATCTTTGCTGTGTACCATTTTTGTCCTCAGGTTGAAACTGAAGACGGGACTGTTTTGGATGAAGCATGGGTACCAAGTCAGCATTTTCCCCTGTAGAACCTCTAGAATGTCAAATGAACCTTGTTGTTTTACGCTTCTCCAGCTTGATCGGAGGCATTCTGAAGTCACAACCATGGTAATGCAACTCCCTCCTAGCACCAATTTTTAAAAGAGAAATGTTTATGTAACACTTTTGTCCCTCACCAAAGGGGTGTCTGTCTTTCTTCTTTATTGAACACCAATAAGAGTTTTTGTTATTAAAAAGAGAAAACGTTAAAATGCTTGTTCTCTTGTGTCATTCTCTCGGCTTTGTTCGGTGTTGATTTCTCCTGTAAAATTGTACAAAGATTCGACATACTGTTAAATAATTATTCATATGATCAAGAAGGAGGAGGGTGTACACTTTGGGGCGCTGCGGGTATCATCGTTGCTTTTTGCAGATGCTCTCACTGGAGCTGCTCGCAGCTGAGTGTAAAGCAGTTGGGATGAGGATTAGCACCAATCAATCTGAGGCCATGGTTCCAGGAAACCGATGGATTGCGTACTCCGGGTAAGGAATGTGTCCTCAACACAAGTAAAGGAGTTCAAGAACCTCAGGCTTGCGTGGAAAGGAGCCAGTTGAGGTGGTTTGGGCATCTGGTAAGGATGCCCCTCTGGACGCCTCCCCTGGGAGGATTTCCAGACACTGCCAGCTGGGAAGAACTAGGACATGGTGGAGGGATTATATTTCCACACTGCCCTGAGAACGCCTTGGAATCCCCCGGTTAAGTTACAAAGGGAAGTTTGGGGTCTCCCAAGAACTGACCCCGGATAACAGGTTTAAGATGAGATGGCTTCATAAACAAGTAAAGTCATGAGAACAACTCAACACTACACTTCCTTGCATTCTCATCAATACACCCACTATGACATGCAGTAGCTCAATCACACAAACACTCTACCCAAAGTGGAATCTACACCTACAAGTACTTAAGTTACCTGACAAAGAAATGCCACTGATTATGTTGTCCATTCCGATTTGACTGTTCAGCACATATATATATATATATATTCATATTATTACTTATTTTACTAAAGTCATCGGTAATAAGTAAACAAATAAATAAATGACAATGAAAGATTAATAAATAATATATAAATGCATAAAGGAATGTACAATAACTCAAACCGGTATTAATTAAGTCAACACTTACAATAAAGAATACATGACCAATCTGACTCAAAAATAGTAGCTTTCTTTAAATGTGGATTAATAGCAGACCTTATATTATCAGGGCATGGTGATGTAGATTTTTATTATTATAGCCACAGAATAAATTCAGTTTAGATGAATAGCAGATGATCGGAGTGTCAGTTATACTATCTGGACAGCATACATCGCTCTGAATTCAGATTAGACTTCAGAATGATAGAACACCAGAAAGTGTGACCCCAAAAATATCAGGATATTCTGACGTCTTTATAATGTTGTAAATCACCGGTCTTCTCTCTCAATTTGGTTGAGAATGAAACATTTTGTGGCGTAGAACAGGAAACAGGAAACAGTTGAACATGTTATATGTCTCAGCCAGAAGTGTGAAACAAAAAAACAAAAAATAAAAAATAAAAATAAATTGTTGTTGGGAATAATCACAATATTAAGCTGTGTTTCAGTTAATTTAAATAAACTGGATAAATCAAGTTAACGTTTTAATATAAATCATTTTTTTTAGTTTCTTGCTTTCTCCCAGGTCCCATTCTAAGGAAGTAGAGAACTTGGTCTCTCCCTCCAGCCGAGAATGGCGGTAATACAGCTTCAACGACAGCTGCCAGCCTCCATTTAACGAAGCGAAGAAGAAGCAGCAGCAGCAGCTCCACAGTGACACTAAACAGCAGGCGGCAGCCAGCGAGCCGAGAGGTAAAACTGGAATTCACACGTTCTGATTTTCAGGTTTAATTTAAAGTTATCTTTGTTTCTTCACATTACCATAGTCAGCATTTGTCAAAAGAAGGCTCGGCGACAGCTTAGTTAACAGTAGTTATATACGGCTAACTTATCCTTCTGTTTGGTGGCGTTGTATGAACACAACGAGCGAGCCACTGATTCAGTAATGACACTTTACTCCCGTTTAACTCACGTTAGATACACTTAGCGCCAGCTAGCTGAAATGCTAGTTAGCTGAAGCGCTGGCTAGCGCGTCAGGAATCCGCAAACGTCTTGGTAGCTAGCAGTTGCTTTCAGTACATTAGACGTTGCTGCGGAATCCTGTTGAATTAAAGCTGTTTGCCTCGTGAGAAGTCAACGGGTAACCTTGGTTACCTCTTTTTTCATTAAAGATGTCCCGAGAACTGTTGGTTGTACAGCGTGCCAGGAAGTCCTTCCAGACTGGGAAGACCAAGCCTCTGGAGTACAGAATCCACCAGCTGAAGAACCTGCGCCGCTTCATCTCGGAGAGACAGGGGGACATTACAGAAGCGGTCAGACGGGACCTTGGCAAGGTGGGCTATTTCAAACGGGAGGGGGCTTCAGTAAGCCCGTAACCATCTACTGTAATATTGGAATGTTGTCATGGCGGACAGCCTTTAGCAACATTTGTCCAACATTCTCTGCCTGTATTACTTTAAGCGTTAAGATCACCACAGCGTCTTCATTTCCCCTCCCAACTTTTTAGAGGGGAAATGAAAAAGTAAAAAAAAATCCTAAGGGAAACACTGCTCTAATCTAATTGAAGTGACTGCTGACACTTGGATTAATACTGCATCCAGCCTAATTTGTGTGTTATATTTTATATTGGCTCACTTTTTTCTCTTTTTCAAAGAATAAACCTGGAGGTTGGAGATTTTTAACTGAGATCCAAAATCAAAGTGAGCCAAGTTACCATGTGGGCTGACAAATACGAGCAACATCCCATGACCAAAGCTTGAATAGACGTTTTGACTCCAAATGTGGTGCATATAGAGTCACTATTGATCTTTCAAGCAGAAACCCATTGATCACAAACTCTTAATTTGAATGACTTGACATACAGACTGGGAATGAGCACTTGAGTAATGAGTTTTGTCCCTCCTGCTGCTTTCAGAGTGAAAATGGGACCCAGCTGTTTGAGACACTGGGACTGGAGGGAGAGATCAATCTGGCTTTGGAGAAACTGTCAGAGTGGGCAGCCCCACGGATGGTAGAGAAGAACCTGCTCACCATCTCTGATGAGGTTTATGTGCAGCCGGAGCCTCTGGGAGTGGTGCTCATCATCGGGGCCTGGAACTACCCGTGGGCCATTACCCTCCAGCCGCTGGTTGGAGCTATTGCTGCTGGTACATGACACTTGGCTTATTTGGTATGCATAGTGTGTGCGGTGTAGCTACAGAGGCTATATGTTGGCTCAGCAATCACAGGAGAAGCATAGATATTATTTCTCCAAGGATAGATAATAGACCAGAATGCCATGCTGCCACACTGCATGTAGACTTTTATGTGAGTATTTCCCAGTTTTCACAATTCACTAAGTTGCATTTGGTGGGTATTATTGGTGGAAATGGGATATACTATTCAGATATGTTTTTATTACTTTATAAAACTGAAGTAATAGGATTTTTAATTAACTTTGAACGAGACCTTTGTCTTCACATAGGGAGCAGATTTTATCGGAATGATATTTTACTGGGATAATGTAGGATACTCTTCCCTTTCTATATTTGGCCATGGCTGATGACAAATGAAAAATGATCCCACAAATAACGCCAAAAATGGGCTTTGCTTTTGTCATGGACACGGCACAGCAGTTTGTAGCAGTAAGACTGGTTGCTTGGGCTGCCAGTTAGGTCTGCGCCTAACAAGATAGTACTCGTTTTGTGAGTCAATCTTTACTTCTAGTCGACCGCACGCGGCTCAAGGACAGAAGACAATAACACCACTCCCGTCTGATAGCTTGAACCCTCCCAGGTACTTTTCCTACCATAAAACGTGGAGGATATGCCTCTAAACAATTAAACGCCACTACAAACGGTTCTCAAAGTAAAGGGGCGGACAATATAATATACAATCCCAAACCCCCGGTGCCTATATTCCCTTTCCCTCAATCCATACACAAAATCATATTGTTTACAGTTCAGTCATTTTTGGGGCAATTCACACCAGGAACGGAATAAAATAATTGAGAACAAAAGGAATCTCTTACTGCTTTACCGTAGTGTCAAGACGTCATGGCCGTCCAGTAAGTCCAATCCGGGCCTTTCCTTAACCGAAGGCGCTCTTTACCGCGGCCGTAGGAAGTCTGTGACGTAGCAGGTGTGTGTGGTGCATTAAGTTCATCACGTCCTTCGGTAGGGACAGTAGATCCCTACAGGTTGTCACTGCTCACGTTTGTCTCTTTCACCCTTTTAGGTAACGCGGCAGTAATAAAGCCATCCGAGGTCAGCTCCCACTCCGCCAAGGTCATGGAGGAACTTCTCCCCCTGTATCTGGACAAAGTGAGCGTCCTAATAACGTAATGACTTATGTCTTTATCTCCGTCTGGTGTGAGCGACATGTAGTTCTAACAGCTGCCTATTTTCCACCTAGGACCTGTACCCAGTGGTGACAGGTGGAGTGTCAGAGACCCAGGAGCTGCTGAAGCAAAGATTTGATCACATCTTCTACACTGGCGGCAGCGCTGTGGGTAAAATAGTTATGGCGGCAGCGTCTTGCCACCTCACCCCGGTGACCCTGGAGCTGGGAGGGAAGAGCCCCTGCTACATTGACAAGAACTGTGACATTCGTGTTGCATGTCGGTCAGTCTAAACTGTAAAATGTGTCCCTCAAATGCTGCTGGTACTTTAACCCCATTGCAATTTTTTTTGAAAACAGCAAAATGTAGAGTAGCTGCGGTGCTATGCAACAAAAAGTGTATCTTCAAGGTTTGGTGCTCTTTCATCAATACAGACGCATCACGTGGGGAAAGTTTGTTAACTGTGGTCAGACGTGCATTGCTCCAGACTTCATCCTGTGTGAACCCTCCGTCCAGAGCCAAGTAGTAGAAGAGATCCAGAAGTGCATCAAGGTTTGTCTCAGATTCCGATATGTAATATGTCCATAATCAGACAGGAATCTGGTGGATCATCCACCTGTAAAGCAAGAAAATGGTGGGCGCCCCATGGTGTACAGTCCAGAATGCCGTCTGCAGCTCATTGACCGAGCTTCTCTTTTGCCATGTTCCTGTGTCTATGCCCCCCCCTCACCTGCAACATTACTAATAAAATTCCAGTACGGTCTTAACTCTGGAGCAGTCTTTTTTTATTTTTACAAATGTGCCCAAACTTGTAAAATGACCTAACCAAACAGATATCTCATCAAATTCCCTGAAAATAGTTTTTGTTTGAATTAATGAATTTGATACATATGTTCATACACATTAGAATATGTTTTTGTTTCCTGATTATTTGGTAGTAGTTTTATTTTCATTAATGGTCTATACTACACCACCGGTTATGTTATGACAAAAGCCAAATGTCTTTTAGTTTGTCATTCATCTTAAATGTATGCATTTAATTTTTTCTCTCTATTTTACACAATGCAGGAGTTTTACACAGATAATCCAGAGACCTTTGAGGACTATGGACGCATTATAAACCAGCGGCACTTCAAGAGACTCATGGCTCTAATGGAGGGGAGCACAGTGGCTGTTGGTGGAGCCAGTGATGAATCCCAGTGCTACATAGGTACACGGTTTGTTGGAGCATTTGATTGCTGAAACTGTATGTTTGGAAAGCACCCAACGTTCTGAAAATGGATTTGTTGTTTACTGACCTACGTAGACCTATACGTCCTACAGTATATTCTCTTGATGATGGGCCTCTCTGGCGGCTCATGATATATATTTTTTAATGTTCTTGAAAATCTGCCATGATGTGGGGGGGGGCTATGGCTCAGAGGTGGAGGGACGTAGAAGTTTACTCCACTGTGATGAAGAGGGCTTTCCACAATGGTAGCCAGCCAGTGGGGAAAAGTCATGTCATTGTCTTGTCAAATGCTTACTGTCTTGAAATGACTTTTCCGGGTCAGTTTAACTAACTGGTGTTCGTAAAGTACAGAAGCTGCGTAACGATGGTTATGTTGACGGTTCTTTTGCGCTTCGTTTGGACATTCTGACCGTTTTGTGGGCCCAAAAGGCACGGGGGCTCTGGGGGAGGGTTAGTTGGTCCAGGTGTGACGTGAAAGGTGTCTCTGTCTGCGGCATGTTTCTTTGTGGATGTTTGCAGCTCTGGTCATCCTTGATTTGTACCATTTTTTAAAAAAGGCATTCCAAAGAAATGGACGTTGAAACAACTTCCTCTTTGTCAGCCTAACATGCTTATTGTCTTTCTCTACACAAACGTGTTAGGGGTATAATGGCAAAATGTTAGTGCTCTTTTTAGAAGTAAATGTCTTCTAGGCATGTAAAATACATTTAATCTGATCATATTTTGGCCTGTCTGTTTTGGTTGTTGAATAGGTATTTGGGTACGTGAGCGTTTTAGTCTGCGTGGGTTCCCCCCCCCCCACTTCTACTTCACTCCGGCAACCATGACGCTACACTGTTGTTTCACTGTTGTGAAGCAGTATCGATGCTCGGGGTGTGAGCCTCTTCTTCCTCTGCTCTTGCAGCACCCACTGTGTTGAAGGATGTGACGGGGGATTCCAAAGTGATGAAGGAGGAGATCTTTGGACCGCTGCTGCCAATCATCACTGTTAGCGGCGTAGACGAGGCCATCCGGTTTATTAACGAGAGAGAGAAGCCTCTGGTCATATACGTCTTCTCCCAAGACAACAAGGTGAACGCATCACACGCAGCCGATGTGCAAGACGACATTTAATGGCATGTTTTGTGTAGGAATTAGAAATGCTCTGGTGTTGATTGCACTCACAGTGCTCCTTGTGTCTGATCAACAGCTGATCAAAAGGGTGATCGCAGAGACGTCCAGTGGAGCTCTGCTGGCCAACGACTGTCTGGTGCACTTCACTGTTAGCGCTCTGCCCTTTGGAGGAGTTGGTGAGTGGACAGCGGTTCATCTGACCTGCAGCCATTAGGGTTCCTTCTTCAGTGTGGAAGAACAAAGCTGACTTCTTCTTCTGCTCCCCGCTCAGGTAACAGCGGGATGGGTTGTTACCACGGTCGGTACGGCTTCGACCAGCTCAGCCACCTGCGCAGCTGTCTGATCAAGCAGCTGAAGATGGAGGGAGTCAACAGCATGCGCTACCCCCCCCACAGCGCCAAAAAGCTGGGCTGGGCGCGCTTCTTTATGCTCAAGCAGGTCAACGTGTGCCGGCTGCGGCGCATGGCACTGCTGGCCACGATGGCTGGCTTGGCAGCATTTCTGGTGCAGGTAAAGGAAGTAAAATACCCAAATTCTGTCCAAAGAGGCGTAAAAGGTTTGGCTTTGCTATCAGCAATGTATTGCTTTACACGCCTGTAGCTTCTAGGGGGGGTTCCTGTAGAGAACAATTTGGTCCTTTTTACAGCGGGATTGAAGTTCCGACAGACTTGTGTGGGTTCAGTTTCTAATTGGGTTTCAAAGGAATTCCCGTGGCACTACAAGTGCGCTTGAACCCCAGGAAATATTTAGCCATATTCGTTCTTGATTCAACACTTTGATCTCTGTATATGTTTAAAATCCAATCCTTGCCACTAGAACTGCTGAATACTTTCTAGATGTCGCTAGCAATTGATAGGAGTCATTTAATAGAATAATACAATTGAACCGGGTCTCCATTTTTCTTGTAAATGGTTCTAGATCAACGTTCCTATGACTTTATAGTTGATACAACTTTGTAAGAAACTGAGAGCTGTAAAAAGGGCATCGCCATGACTTGTGCATATTACATAAAATGAACATGTTTTTTGTATATTTTAGAAAAATTTGCAGATAAAGTGTCTTCCACGTGTATATGAACGTCCGTTAACGTTCCATCAGAATAGCCGGCTGCCGCTGTTGTTCCTAGTAAGACACCTGTTGCCTTCAAGCACCGTATTAAATGAAAACGGGACTAACCAGGAATGTGTTTGTCAGTCTTTTAATGCTTTCTGGACTTGCTCTGTCCATTGGTTCTCTTTGAGATGTAGATCTTATAGGAATGTATTGTTTCATTTTTTTTCTTCAAAAGCCTCGCTGATATTAAGAGCCAGGTGATATTAAGAGGCGTGCAGGACCACTGCAGTCCAGTATCACCTGAGCCAGCCCTAACTATAAGCGTTACCAAAGAGGAAAGTCTTAAGCTTAATCTTGACTGAGGTGATTGTGTCTGCCCACCCGGAATGAAAGTGGAAGCTGGTTCCACAAAAGAAGACTGAAGGCTCTACGTAATATCTACATATCAACATGCATGGCTAAGCAAGGAGAGGCTTGGATTACAACAGAAGGAGAGCGGCTTCATGCTCTGCTCACAAATACATTATTCCTCTTTTTATTTAAATAGAAAAGTGATCAATACAAACACTACATTAAGTCTTACTCGTGAGCTTGCTTATTTTATATTTACTGAGAACATCGCGAAAATATCCAGATCAAACTAGAGGTCAACATGATCCTGATCCTATTACAGGATGTGTTTTCTTCCTTACAACAGAAGGGAGAACTCCACATTAAAATACATCGGATTTCACCGTCACCCCTTAGATCAGACCCTAAACTGGACTAGTTAATTTTCAGCTCACAAGGTCAAATGAAAGCTGAATGGAAATTTTATATTGGTGTTTATCATATTGTACACTCACCAGCCACTTTATTAGGTACACCTGTTCAATTGTTAACACATTTCTAATCAGCCAATCACATGGCCGCAGTTCATGACATGTAGACATGTAGACGTGGGGAAGACAACTTGATGAAGTTCAAACCGAGCATCAGAATGGGGCAGAAAGGGGAATTAAGTGACTTTGAACATGGATGGTTGTTGGTGCCAGACGGGCTTGTCGGAGTACGTCACAAACTTCTGATCTACTGAGAAAATGCCTTGTCGATGTGAGAGGTTGGAGGAGAATGGGGAAACTGGTTTGAGATGATAGAAAGGCAACAGTAACTTAATTAACAGCAGCAGAAGACGCCCCTCCGGTCAGCTAACAACAGGAAACTGAGACTACAATTCGCACAGGCTCAACAGAAAATTGGAAAAACGTTTCCTGGTCTGATGAGTCTCTCTTTCCGCTGCGACTTTCGGATGGTTGGGTCAGAATTGGGCTTAGACAACATGAAAGCATGGATCCATCCTGCCTTGTATCAATGGTCCAGGCAGGTGGTGCTGATCCTCAGCACAGGTGCGAGTATAGTATAGTGGGCAGGATGGATAGTCATTTTGCCTGTTGTCTAGGCCTATAATAATGATATTATATATGTATATATATATATATTATATATATGTAAATATATATATATATATATATATACATATATATAATATATATATTATATATATGTAAATATATATATATATATATATAATGCAAAATTGTTGCACTGATTTCTGTCTATCACAAGCACTGAGGTACTGCAATGGTTGCTAATAATTTTTGTTTATTACCATCCTGATACCATATTTATAACCCTGCTGATCTTTGGTGGTACTTTGACTAGTAGCCCCACCAGCAAGTTAATTATTGGAACATTTACTTAAATAAAAATGTATAATTATATGGGTTTTTGTGTAATTTGGTCACAGCTATTTCTGGTCTCCGCAGGATGAACCCTGGATATAAAAAATCACGTTGAAAACTGGTCTAAACATAGACTTGACGTCTACAAATAGATGTTGAAAAAAACATTTGAACCAATTTGCAACCTCTTTTCAACGTCGGGCCATAGATGTCTTTCAAACGTCTTTTCAACGGATACATTGCTCGGTAAGTTACGTACTTAGCCACAGTTGTCCTGTTGTTAACAGCCCTTAACAAGGACAAACGCATTATTTTATTAATTTGTATTTATTAATATAAATATAACACTATGCATATAACAACTTTCCCTAAATACAAATAATACAAAAATAAAATATATCTCAGGGAAAAAAAACATGAGAAAAAATGCTTGAATATTTGTTTAGATTTTAGGAGTGCTTCCCTCTCCACGTCACGCCCTCTGCTGGCCGATGAATGAGGTTCAGCTTTTCTCAGCATCAAACACACTCAAGTGGACTTTTTCTCGCTGTGTGTGTGAATCCAGACGCTGCGTTTGTCCCGTCAAGCCCGTCTGTCGAGATCTGCCCTTCTCCATCGTCCACGGCTACATGAGCATCACCTCGGAGTGCTCCGTCCCCTCGGACATCTTCCAGATACAGGCCACCAGCGTCTCTCCGGGGGCTTACGACACGTTTTGCATCCGGTCAGGAGACAAAAGCGCAGACTTCTACATCAGGGTGAGAGCTGTCACAGAGCATAGAGAGGAGTGCAAAGACCTTTTAAAGCCTCATACTTCAGGGTTTGATGGATACATTGACATTGCATTTCTCAGGTATGTCACAATGTGTTGTTTTTCACACTCGCAGGATGTAAGACATTTTAACCTGTGTTATTGAAGTGTAAAAACCTCAGGAAGTTGTACCTTGTTTATCCGTGTGCTATGGCGGGGCCAGGCCACATTACCACCATTCAGTTTTTGCAAGCTAAGCTATAATGACTGCTGTGTCTAGCTTTATATTTAAAGTGTTGATCTTCTCAACTGTCAAAACTTTGTCTTTGAGGGAAAGAATGTACAATTTTCTTGGTAATACATCTTTTTTTGTCTTCCTCAACAACTCATTACATTATTACATGTCACGTAGCTGATGCTTTTATCCAAAGCGACGTACAATAAGTGCATTCAACCATAGGGTACAAACTCAGAGGAACAAGAAACAAGAAAGTGCAATTTCCTCAAATAAGCCAATTTACAATTTGCTATAAGTGGCGTTATAAGTACAATTGAAGTGCTACAATTTGTTAGTCTTTTAGTGGAGGTTGAGTCTGAAGAGGTGTGTCTTTAGTTTGCGGCGGAAGATGTGAAGGCTCTCTGCGGTCCTGGTGTCAGAGAGCTCGTTCCACCATTTCGGAGCAAGGACAGCCAAGAGTCGTGATCTAGTCGAGTGTTTTACTCTCAGGGCAACTCAATAATATCAGCGCCATGCTGGTGTTGGCGCGCACCGTGTCGGGGGCCAGGAACTACATGTTGGACCTGGAAATGGTGTCAGTTCATCCTCTGCTCAGCTACCATGGGCATGAAGATCAAGGCCAGTCAGGAGATGTGGTTACAGGGTTTGGCGTCAACTGCTGGCCAAACTTGCATGGTGCAGATCCCAACAAAGGTAAATAAGAATTCCCTTGTCTGGATTTTCAAATACAGTTATGTGGTTGGTGTTTATCATCTATTCTCTCTCGTCGTTTCTTTAGAGGGACACAAAGACATTCTCAGAGAGTTGTGTGATTTGATTCGATTCATTATTGGCTTCAGTCTTTACATTACAGGTCATTTAGCAGACGCTTACATTACTTACTGACACGGACGTGTGGCGGAGCCAAATGCAGCACAACGGCACGGAGTGTTTGGTTAACGCTTTTATTGAACACGGCCTCACAGCAGGCGTTCGGGCACAATGAGAGGCAGAGCAGAGTGCGGTCCTCAGGATCGGGGAGGAGATGCCGGGAGACAGCTGGTGCGATCGCTGGGCCGGTCGGGGATCCGGAGCACAGGGGCAGAAGCGCCGGGCAGTCCAAGGAGCAGGCAACAGAAACCCGAGGCGCTCAGGCAGGACTCGTGGTCGGGGACAGAAGGCTGAGGTGCTCACCGGGGCGGAGACAGACGAACGGGTCGGGAACAGGCAGGGTCGAAACCGGGAGATCAGTCCAAGGTAGAGTGCTGGAGAGACTTGCATGACGCGAAGAACAATCTGGCAATGACAGGCTGGGTGTGCAGTGCTTATGTAGCGGGGCTGATTGTGAATGCGTAGCAGGTGTGGAAGGCAGGAGAGTGACTGATTGTGGATGCGGGGCAGGTGTGGAAGATCGAGCTGGCAGGTGAGTGTGACACTTACATTACATTACACTTAAAACCCATGGCTTTTTCACATTTTTGCTTCCCAGCACACCTTCTCTAACCCCTGCGCCACGACAAGTCTTTTCAGAGATAATAAAAAGAGTAGTGTCATGTAATAACTATATAATAATGTGATAAAAGGGTTATTACGGTAATGCCTCCTTTGAATTATGTCTAACAAGCTTGTGTGTGAACAGCAATACTAGTCAAACATATATAAAATTAAAGGAAAAATCTCATATCAGGGTATGGCATGAATTCAATCACACGTTGTCACGGTGTGGTTTATTTCCTGTCTTATTTTGTAGTTTCTGCTTCTTGTCTCCCTGGGTAACTTCACTTCCTGCCTTGTCCTGTCATCCCCTGTGATTGTATGATTGTTTCCACCTGTGTCCAATCACCTGCACCTCCCTAGTGTATTTAAGCAGTGTGTGTCTCGTCACTTGTTGCGTCATTGTCGAATGTCCTGGATGTTTCTAGTTTCTGCCTGCCTTTTTTCCCCTGGTTCCCGTGTGCGTTTTTGACCCTAGGCCTTTTGCTTTTGAACAATTGGACTATTACAATCTTATTTTGTTGCTCGAAGTGTGAGTCCTGCCGTCCCCGCATCCCTGACACACGTCTCTGATACTGATCTGGTCAGGTAAATAGCAGATCGGGATGTTAATCAGTTTCAGCTGCATTGCTGTTGTGGATGGAATTAACAACAGGTGCACCAGAGGGGCAACAGTGAGAGACGACCCCCAAAACAGGGCTGGTGGAGGCCAATTCACGTTTCTTGATCTCTTTGACTGGTTTTCCACTAGTGTTGGCTTTAGCTACAGTCATTATCACTACTGGAAGCATGAGGCCATTTCTTAACCCTACAGAAGTTGTACAGATTATCCGACTCCTCCAGGATGGCATTTGCACAAATGAGAGCAAGCCTGAGCACCTGTGATAGACGTGAAAGGATCTGAAGAAGCCAAGGGGAACGCTATGCTGTCTGCAACATTGTGACCAGTTTGGTGTTGAGTCAGTGATGGTCTGTAGGCGTATCCATGGAGGGACGCACAGAAATCTACAGGAACTGAGAACTAGAGAACTGGCCGCTATTGTATCGGGTTAGGGTTAGGAAATGCCATGGTCCCACCCTACGCTGGTGCAGTACGTCCTTGGTCCCTCCTGATTGACGACAATGCCCGCCATTATCTGGCAAGAGTATGCAGGCATTACCTGGCCTAAACCTGATAAAACACCTGTGGGACATGTTTCAGTCCACCATACACCCCCAGGTTGCTCCTAAGACTTTACAGGACCTGACCTAGACATAGACCTTTTCGAAAATATTTCACAAAGTTATATAGATAGAATAACATTTTTGTTCTTTAGTTACTATCACACTAATCACTTCATTACCTTGCCAAGATGCCTTCTTGTCGAACGCCTTGATTTGGTTTTCTATTTCTTGAAGGTTTCTAATATCAGTCTGCATGTTGGTTTCCCCACATTTTGTAATTAACTTTCCGCAATCTTTATGATTCCGGTTGCAGACAATTTCTAAAAGATGTGCATGCATGTAAAAACATTTTAAATAAGTTAAGATGGAGAAAATTAGTCAACCTCTTTGGTGCTCTGGGTGGTTTATCCCATCTGGGCTGTCTTATCGTTGGGAAACCTCATTGAATATACTTTTAAGAATAAGGATGATGCTTATTTTACTAATACATGCAATTAACAATAAAATACGCTACTCACGGTCACAGTGTTCTTTTGTTGCACCAGTGTGGCAAAATCGGCCCGTGATAGATGTCTTAAACTCTCTGTAGCTACATACTGCAAAGAAGTTGTTTGCAAGCTGACTTATTGTAAGCTCATTTATTGTCATAATATGTCAGACATACAAGGAATTTGACTTGGTGGTTGGTGCATAACAGCAGACAGTACGACAATGGATGACAAGACAACAGTGCAATAATAAAATATAATGCTATGGGTTAGTAGTATAAGGCTTTGGGTTAATTAAAAAATAAAGGAATAAAAGCTAAATTTTAAAAAGTTAAAAAGATTTAAAAATTAAAAATAAAGTGCACAAGTTAACAGAAAGTGACAAGTGAAAGTGACGTGTGCAGTGAGAAAGAAAGTGACCGGTGGAATGACAGTCAGTCAGTGGGGGACCGGGCTCTGTTGATGAGCCTGACTGGCGACGGGAAGAAACTGTTCGTGTGTCCTCAGCCTCCTGCCAGATGGAAGGGGCACAAACCTGGATGAGAGGGGTCGGCTACAATCTTCTTAGTGTTCTTTTTCAAAGCCACTTGAGCTTCATGTTGCCTAAGGGTGCTGTACCCATACAGGTCTGTTTGCCATCTACCGTGTCCTTAAGGACTTGCCCTACAAACCACATACTGTATAGTGGTCCTAAATCTTTGTTAATAATTTACTTACTTTATTGTCCCATTGTTTCACCTTGGACTAAAATATGAGATTACATTCAGTATTAATCAGGGCAGAGACTGGCTGATGGAGTCATATTCACCGAAACAGAAGTCTTGTTTTATGCAGTTTTACAGTATATTTTACACTATTTTGAAGAGATTTTTGTTTATTTAACACATGGATATTTGCATGACAACCTTGTAGAAGCTTGCAAAATACAAAATCTTTTAATATAACCAGATATTTGTACCCCCCACGCTTGACAGGAAATATCTGTATGATGTGCTATAGTTATACTATGTAAAACAAATGTAAAGAGGGATGTGAGTCATTTTCAACAGTGGGGCATTTGTGTGATGACCTTTTAAATAAAGACAAAATACAGTTTCCCAAGATAACCAGATATGGGCGCCTCCCCCCACCCCCACATACCCGTACGGTCCTACAACAATGGCTTTGTCTCTGACAGACAATGTGTAGTGTTGTCCAAGAAACGTAACTGCATAATGACCCCCCCCATCGAGCCTCCCTTTAATTACCCAGCATGCACCACTGTCCTCTGCTAAATGGCCCCTTTTGTTTTAGTCCTCCCCACCACCTTAGTTGACATCCACACTTGTTGTGCCTGTGTGATCAGTTAAACAGCATCAAGTATCATGTTCTATCCCTGTTTCAGACTGTTGGATATGCCTCTTCACATCAATGGATTGCATGTTTATTGAGATTCTTTCAGTGAAGCTGAGGAGCAGAAAGTGGGGGTCTGACTTGCAAGGTGCAGGTCATCCTGGGACCGCCACCTGGATCCTTGCCAAAAGAGTATTAATATATATCCATATAACTTCATAAAGAAAGACTTTTCTTTCTATAGCATTTCAAGTAGCCTATGTTACATATTAAGCTGCTGCCATACTTACTAATATTGGTTCACAGCATGTTTGTAGAAATATAATCTGCAATATTGGTATTTAATTTAGTTATTGGAGAGTTTTCTATTAGTTTCTGAAGTATGAATGAGTTGACTATAAACACTAAAAGTCTATTATAAATCATTGTCCTGCTGTTGTTTATTCACTTAAGAGGGGCATAATAGTAACACAACCCAAAGGTTATTGTAATTTACGACACGGCTGCTATGGTTTATATTACTTTGACCTCCGTGATGACTGGTAAAAAATGAGCTTAACTAAAGGCTGTAAAAAGGGGCTGGATTGTGATCTTATCATTGAGGTCTCAATGCTTCACAGGCTCTGAATGAAGCTTCCCAGTAAACTGACCCCCGAGCAGCTGATCGCAGCGCACAGTGCGCGTAGTCATCAGTGAGCCCGCAGCGTGTCGGCATCTGGAGCGCACTGACGGATTATTGGACCGATGTTTTGTTGAGGATCTACTGAATGTTTGTTTGGCTGCTGGTGAGTCCTTTTCTTCTTTCCCACGGATCGGAGATCGGAGTTAATAGCGAATAGAAAGAGTGTCTCTGTCGTAGGTTACGCACGATGATGTAAATACGTGTCCATCAACACCTTCACAAGGTCTGGAATGTCCTGGCTACAAATAGCAGATGCCGATTTTATTGCTGTCATCATTTAGCAATAAAAAAAACTTTCCCTTTCCCTTGCCAGATAGTTAAGTGAGTAATGAAAGTACAGGGAGAGCGAGAGAGACTCATGTTGTAGATCGAAGCAAATTACAATACAAGATAAGGTCGAGTCACCCAATGAAACTTTATAAACCATTATAGCCTGAAAAATACTGCAAAAGTTTCATTGGTGAGAAGACAACAAAAAACTGTATAAAGGCGTTAAATAAAGAGGTCAGCAGAGTTGTTTCTAATTTTTAATAAAAGAAAAAGAAATCTGAGAAAAAGGGAACACTGTTAAATTCAAATAGCTGTTCTTCTATTTGTTATATACTTTGCTGAGTGGACATTACAGTTGTCTCCCATCTTCTTTCACCTGTTTTACACGTTACAACTGCTGACTACTTGTTTTGAGGCAGACATATTTAGAGCAATAGTTTGCTACAGCTGGTTTGCTGTGAAGGTTGATTTGTCATACAAACTATGCAACTTGTGTTGCCTTTTGGCATCGCTCAAGTAGATTCAATAAGACCTGTAGGTTCTTATTAATATTATTATTATTATTATTTATTATTATTATTATTATATTGTTGTTCTGTATCTATGACTGTGTAGAGTTCTACAGAGATGACCTATTTTTTTTTTGGACAACCTCAAAATTTTGTTTGGTTTGCAAAAATTTACAAAAATCTGATGGGATTTATAAACAATTTGTTCAGCGAGATAATCAATCTTCAAAATTGGGAGGGATGTTTGCTGACATATACTGTCATAGAACAAAACCACAGACCATATTTGAGGCGTGTAACCGATAGACCTATTTGGGTTTGATGTATGGAAGAGGCTAAATCATTTATGGGTTTTAGGACTCTTTCCTGCAGCACTCACTAATAGATCTATATGTATTGTGAGGAAGTGAAGAAGGAAAATCTTTGACCCAAAAGGCTTTGCCCTGCTGGACTGTGCAGTAAACATAAGTAATATCAGGACATTTTCATAGCTCAGTAGGAGTATATTCCAAACGGACAAGCCTGTTGTCTCACACTTGTGTCTGCAGTTTCAGAGGCTCTTGGTTCAAGCTATCGATGGAGAGGCAGGCGGTGCAGCGGGCCAAGGAGGCCTTCCTGAGCGGCAGGACTCGGCCTCTGGAGTTCAGACTGCAACAGCTTCATGCCCTGCAGAGGCTGATCACCGAGAATGAGGCTGAGATCTCCACTGCTCTCAAACAGGACATCAACAGGGTGAGTGGAGACAGCACAGTGCTGCATGGAACTTTTGATGGAACAATAATAATAATGTGATGAGCATGCTGGATCTCTTCCAGAGCCAGTATGACACACCGCTCTTGGAGCTGATTGGCATCGACACCGAGATCAAACTGGCTTTGGAGAAACTGGCAGAGTGGGCGGCCCCACGGCCTGCAGAGAGGAACCTTCTCACCATTTCAGATGAGGTCTACATCCTTCCGCAGCCTCTAGGGGTGGTGCTCATCATCGGGGCCTGGAACTACCCATGGGCCCTCACACTGCTGCCCCTGGTTGGAGCCATTGCTGCTGGTAAGAAACCGTTCTGTCTACGGCCCCTCAATACTTTACAGCCCAACTAGATTTCGTCATGTGCACCACCTTTGCCAGTGGACAGAATTCTCCGGAAATCTATTTTGGGGAAAGTCATTTAAAAAAAGAAAAGAGAAACAAAGCAAATTGCCACCTGCTTTATCACTTTTTTCTGCATCATAATAACACATAGAAAAAACGTCAATGTATTATATAATCTCATGGAATAGTATATTGATAACTGTGTTGTCAATAATGCATCACCTCAGTGTAAGAATGGTTTCATTGTCGTTAGAGAATGTACTTCATATCACATAGTCATTTAGTACCACTATGTTGCTACAGCTGGTTGACAAACCACGAGCTGGCTCCAGAGAGACACTTCTGTGTTATTACCTGAAGGCCACTGTAGGTCTCTGACACAGAGGGACAGAGTGTGGTTGCAATCACCTCACCACTACGTGTCACTACATCCTACCCACTACTCCTTTAAGGACTAATGGAGATAACCGATAAGATCAGAATTACTGTTAAATACTTTTGATAACATGAGTTGCAGTAGAAGTTTGAGAAGAATTGAGTGAGAAAATTCTCCACAGCGAACTTCAGTTTGACAGCATTGTTGGTGTGTGCTCTCACTCAGTGACCTCATTCCATCCACGCAGACCTGTGTTCTCTCTCTCCAGGCAACGCAGCTGTGGTGAAGCCGTCAGAGCTCAGTGAATACTCGTCTCTCCTCCTCCGGGCTCTGCTGCCTCGCTATCTGGACAAGGTCTGAACACCGGCTTCTATTGTTGATGGAATAATGCGTACCGCTGCTGTGACGTCAAAGCCCTGTATTAACACAGTGTGTCCCTCCATCAGTGAGAACTCTCCCTCAGAGCTAACACAGTCTTAAATGTGTCAGAAGCCTTTCCAAAAGGGCTTCACATGTTCTTCGGTTATCCCTTTTAGGTGACATAGTTGCATACTCAAAATGTAAAAATATGAAAAATAGACTTTAGTCGTTTATTTCCAGGATCTGTACCCGGTTATAACTGGTGGAGTGTCAGTGACACAGGAGCTGCTCAGGCTCAGATTCGACCACATCTTCTACACCGGCAGCAGCGCTGTGGGTAAACTGGTGATGGAGGCTGCGGCTCGCCACCTGACCCCAGTTACCCTGGAGCTGGGAGGGAAGAGCCCCTGCTACATCGACAAGGACTGTGACATCAGGGTCGCCTGCCGGTAACACGCCACTCTTTTGGATTTGTCGGCAATGACATTTGATGGTCAATTGACACTCTTATGTTCACTATTGTGAACTAATGCTTTCACACACACTACTGAGACACTCACACATACATACATGTAAGCATTTCATATGTATGTGTATATGACACAGAAGTATATATTGTTTCTCGTATGTGTAACTGCATAGGTTTACAGAGTATGTATGTATGGGTGAGACTGTCTCTGTAGTGTGTATGAAAGCATTTCAATAGCGAACATAAGATTATTTCATTAGTACGTGTACGAGTGTCTCAGTAGTGTGTGCGAGAGTGTCTCAACAGTTAACGCCCCCTCATAGAAACCAATGGCAGGTAGAAAATGAACTGTAAACTTGACATAGTGGTTTAGAAAAGAGTTGGAAGCAATGCAAATGTATTCACACACTCTAAAAAATGTCACTGTAAATTAACGGTATTTTACTGGCAGCAAGGACGCTAGGAATTTGAACGAATTTTACTGTCAATTAACTGCAATTTACTGGCAGTCGACGCTAGTAACTTACTGTTTTATTTACAGTGCCCTACCGTAATGTACGGTATGTTGTTGTATATTTGATTACAGTTTCTTACCATACGACTACTGTTTTTGTGTTATAAATACCAGAATGTTACCGTTTACTTATAACCGTAAACTTTTGCATTTAATTCCCCACAAATTAAAGACAACCAAACTCATTTTGGTCATAGTGGTTGGAGTTTATTAGATGCCTTTAAGACAAAAGTGTTCGGCATTTGTAACCAAGATCAAAACATAAAATATGCCGCATGTATACAATAACAAAAAAAAGAATCATAATATCATTAGGAACAAGGTAAACTAACTGCAACAATACGCTATGGAACACTTTCAATTGACCGCAGCAAACGAATGGCGTCCTTAATCCAGTGCCTCTGTAAAACAAACCAAAATAAACTATTTAGAAACACTGTCATTGGTAAAATATTAAAATTACAAAGTTGAGGAAGACAACAAGATGTAAGGAAGGAGAATGTTAATCATGCTAGGTAAATAACACTTACCAACGTTACTTGGAGAGACGAGGCAATGAGAAACTCCTCCGATGTAGAACTGCACAGGTGTTCTGGATGAACTGAGATTACCCGTCTGACGTCACGTTCAGGAACAGTCAGTCATGATTGACACTCAAATGACTTTTAGGCAATGAACACTTTGAATAATACAAATATTTATAATCTTTACATTCCGGCTACTAAAATGACAGCGAAGGTGGCGCATGGGATAGGGAGGGTGTGCTGTGCAGCACAAGGTTGGCGGTTGGAATCCTGGCTGCTCCCTATGCCAAGTTTAGTGTCACTGAGCAAGACACCTAACCCCCAATTACTCCACATAAAATGATGTCAAACCATGGGCGTTTTGGATAAAAGTGACAGCTGCATGTATAGTAATGTCCTGTAAGTCAAAGTCATCATCGTATCTCGTGAGATACTATCTCATTATGGTGACTTACAGGACCTGTTTTTCAGTGGCTGACATGGGCTTCTATACATTAACCTACAACAGATGTAGATGGATTGTGATTCACTGCACTTGTATGTGTAGTTCCACCACTTCATTAAATATATGTAACATGCAGTTGAATTACGGTAGTTTGCTATTATTGTAAATTGACAGCTTTAACTGTTTATTCATGACATTGGCCGTTAATTTACAAGCAAGGGATGCAAATTTAACTATGTTACAGTTATTATGACATACTGTAAGATACCGTTAGAAATGCACCGTAAATTTACAGCAATTTGTTACAGTGCATTTGTGGTAAGCTTTGGATGGGTTAACCTAGCAGTTTGCTTGTAAACGTTTTATTCTTTTTGTACTACTACATGCATTGTTAATTAACTAAAACCTAAGTGAAAGGGATCGGCATTGCGCGTTTGTGTGCAGACGTATAACATGGGGAAAGTTTGTGAACTGCGGTCAGACGTGCATCGCTCCAGACTTCATCCTGTGTGAACCCTGCATCCAAGGCCGAGTGGTGGAATGCCTCCGACAAACTCTACTGGTATCATCCTCTAAACTTTCCACGCCAACATCTAAATCGGAATGAAACTGCACTGCAGTTTTTTAGAGAACCCTTCTGTTTCGTCACAGGAATTTTATGGCGCTGATCCCAAAAGCTCGCCAGACTATGGGAGAATCATCAACCAGCGCCATTTCCTCAGAGTCATGGGTCTGATGGAGGGTTACACCCCTGTGGTGGGAGGACAGAATGATGCCTCACAGCGGTACATTGGTAGGAAGATGCAGTGAGGTAATGAATAAGTCTCACTGCTGAAATAAATATTTCGGTTTAATGCGCATTGTTCATGCACTTGCAGCCCCAACAGTGCTAAAGGACGTGCCCCCCCACTCCAGGCTGATGCAGGAGGAGATTTTTGGCCCCTTGCTGCCCATAGTGGCTGTGAGTGACATGGATGACGCCATCCGCTTCATCAACGAGAGAGAGAAACCTCTGGCACTTTACATCTTCTGCTCTGATAAGAAGGTGAGAGGAAACCACAGGAGTGAGGAGATTTCAATGTTGAATGTTCTTTATGCTTATCTTTTCTTCTCCTGGTGTCTCTGGAAGGCAACAAAACGGATGATTGAGGAGACCACGAGCGGAGGAGTGACTGTCAATGACGTTATGATGCACTACACACTCAGCTCACTCCCATTTGGTGGTGTCGGTAAGACTCCTTAGTTGTCTGTGTTTAGCGAGGTGTACGTCCTCTTGAGGGCAGTCCATGGCTGAATTTACTTGTTGGGGGGCCATAGGCTGCAAACATTGATGGACGAGCTGCCTCCTTGCACACTATAGCTTTTTCTTTGTCATATAGTGAGTGAATCAAACAGTAAAATTGCTCGCCTTTCAACCAATCTACAAGCTAAACGTTTAAAAGTGCACTCAGTAGAGTGCAGATCACATCTCCGCCAAGCTCGTGGACTGAGTTTGATTCCCTCTTTGCAATGAGACTTGGGCGCACATCAAGAGAGGAACTACTACTTACTTCCATTATGGTACCCAACACACAGTCTTATGGCGTTATAAAACAGTAAAAAGTCCCATTAGGTTGAGGTGAACTACAGTTTTACTAATAATTATTATTAGTATTATTGTGTACACAAAGTCATTTGAAACATTGACCACGTGAACAAGGGCAGGTTTCGACCGCTTTTTAGTGTGATGCACACTAGCGCAGGGCCAGGTTAGAGGTCTAACGGCACATTTGGTTATTAAAGAAAAAGCACCTGTCAGTACCATAGCATTGATAAGATCCATTGAACAGATGCAACCGCACACTTCATTTAGACTCCAAATGAATGATTCACAGTAACTCCATTTAGTAAAAAATCTTTAAATTCAGAAATCATAACTGCAGTGTCTGTGACCCCCTTTAGGTCAGAGTGGTATGGGCCACTACCATGGTAAACATACCTTTGATCAGCTGAGCCACCAGAGAGCGTGCCTGGTTCGCTCTCTGCGGATGGAGAATGTCAACTTGGCCCGCTACCCTCCTCAGGACCGCCGGAGGGCGCGTAGGGTGCAAATGGCCCTCAGGTCACCCATGATCGACATGTCCAAAAGGACGTTTGTCTGGGCGGTCACTGCCACCATCATCGGCTTGGGCCTGTTCGTCACCCTTCTCGTCGTACTGCTCATCGCGTCAGGCCTTAACTGTACTTGCTGGTACTGGAGAGGCTTTTATAACTAGAGGAACTGTAACTTCCGTTTGTAAAATCTATCCAAAGAAGAAGTGCCTGTTGCAACACTTACCATGTAAACACCACATTTGAATCCGGTTTTGTATAAAGATTTTGTTGACGTTATTGCTTGTGGTCAGAAGTAAAAATGAAAGTATGAAATAATAATTATAAAATGTAAACCTATGAATTTGTGAGAAAAGGTAAAAAGGAGTGATGGCTTGATCAGTAGTAACAGAATTTGACGTTAAATTAAATTCAGGATGCCGCCACAGTTGCTGGGTTCTATTTCTCGCATTTACAACTTTCACAGACACACACACACACACACACACACACACACACACACACACACACACACACACACACACACACACACGCACACATTCATCTATTTTTTATATTTTAGCAGGACATACATTTCTATTTTTTTGTATCGTTGGAAAGTAATCTGTACACCCAAAAAAATATGACATGATATGGTTACTGGCAATAATCAAAACTAATCGAAAAAGTATTTAAAAAAGGAATCCAATCCAAGAGATATTTAGTAAATCTAAATCAATTTCACGAGAAAAATGTATTAATGTGTATTTAATGTGTAATTTATATTTACTGAATATTTGGGTGAAATTGATTTATAATTAATGAATATTTGACTGATATTAATTTGACTATTTATATAAAATTGGTTTATATTTACTGTATACTGGAGTGAAGTTGATTTGTAATTACAGAATATTTGGGTGAAATTCAGTGTTACGTGGTAATACTAATCTGGATAAAATTGAATTTGATTTACTGAATCAAATAAACTATCAACTCACACTAACAAATTGTTATTTTAATTATTTAATTCCCAGATTGAGTTGGTATCACAGGTCTTCTGTCTAAAATCTACTCAATAATATATTACTTAATATTACTTGTTACATTGCCGTCATCATCATGTCTAATGTCTAAAATCAATGTTACAAGACAAACCAAAAAGGCCTCACAACAAGCGCTATCGGGGGAACAAAGAAAAGGCCTGGCAATAAAAAAAACAGGAAGACCAAAAACAAACAGGAACACTTGCTACAGACATACAACTTAGGGTGGGACAAAATATAACCTGACATGGATGAGAGGTTGGGGGGTGCGGCTTAAATACAGGTGGGGGTGATTGTAAACTAAACTCAGCTGTGGGGGAAAAAAACATTGATTAACAAAAATGACAGGATGTGCAGTGGTTAAAAGAATAAAACAGGAAGTTACTCTTCTCCGTCTCTTCGGGTCATCACACACAAGACAATTATTACAGGGAAAGGCTCAGAGACGTTTGGGAGAAAAGAGGATACAGAGGAAAAGAGGGAATTCTTCCAGGTCATTTTACTCAGTTAGGCAAAAAGGACTATTTGAACAGAGCCCAAGTGAGCGATGACCACTAAGACAGGAAGTCAAACAAACACAGGAAATAAGAGACAAGGAACTTCAAAATAAAAAATAAAACCAAGATGGAGTTAATATATTTGCTGTAAAATAATGTACATAAACCGCTACATGTCACGATACATACTCGGTACAAGAACCGACGTGTCACATTGAAACGTAGGTCATTCTATTCTATCACTAGAATATCCTAAAAGCTGTTGTAACTAGCTGTGCAACGTAGTTCTGCTACACACTTGGAAACCCCACCACTAAATCCTACACACAGCCTGCATAATGTTGAAATACGACACACAATGTATTTTTGTTTAAACAGTTGGTTCTGTACAGTATAGAATAAGCAGTGTGTGGCTACCAGATGGCAGCAGGGAACTAAAGAAGATGACTATGGTGACTTTATGTTCCAAATGTTAAAATATGTGCCCTTTCTATTAAGTTAAAAAAGAAATATGCTCTCAGTTCTGAATTACACAGACCTACAGTTTCAGGTATAGATACAGATTCGTATCCTCATTATACAGTAAAAAAACAATGTTTAGATCTTGTTTTTAGAAACAGACTATAAGAACTACAGCATCTCAAATAACATTTATACGACATCATGGCGAATATAATGTGCACTCAAAGCCTTTTAGGTGATTTAAGTTAGTGCCCCATTAGTCTTAAAAGGCTGCCTGTTTCTCTGAGATGCTCTTCTAAGCTATATACTGTCAACTCTACCCCTTAATAGGTTTGGGGATATTACTACACTTGTGATATTCAGCGAAAGAAAACTGGGGGTATTTAAGCACCCTGATTCAACTATAACAGGCTCACTTTAGTTATACAATTGTGATTCATAGAAGCCTAAATAAATATCACAATACTGCAATGTATCAGGCATGGATTAAATCAAGAGACACCAGTTCCTGTCATGTCAGTAAATTGACACATATTTCCTCAATTTCAGTTGTTTCTGACCGTCTTTGCTTTGATTAACTGAATGACCTGTCAAAAAAGGCTATTAGCTGATGTGCTTATGCAGATCCTGCAGGTTTTTGCTGACGAGGAAAAGGACAAATGTCTATTTTCTATACTCTCAGGGGTTGGAGCTTTCTGTGCTGAAACTGTTCCAGAGAGGCGTTGTGAGCATTTTCCTCGCTGCAGACATAAATGTAAAAAACATATCTAGGAGAAGTAAATGTATGAATTTTCACCCTTACATCGTACATGTCACTCAGAAGTAAACTTGTCCTTGGCGGAATTGAACATTTTAAAGAAACCTGTCTTTAGTTAATAACAAAATTAATTGGTTTAAAAAGAAGAGGAAATTTGTTAATACATTTGTATTTCCTATATAACATCTTAATCTGAAGAAATGCAAGCGCAATATATATTTTTTTAAACGTAATTGAGTATAAGTACCCCATAATTGAAATGTCTCAATATTCAATATCAGCAAATTATTTTTATCAACTGATGATGTTTTATATTGTTTGATCGTCTATTTCATGTTGTTGCACTTATGATTATACATTGGTTACTCCTGTATCCAATTAGTATGACGTGCAGCTATGAGATCTACACATGTGCAGAGGGATCCAGCTAACGAGTCGGAGGGAGGAGTCACCTCCTTTTTATGCTGGCAGTGGCCACGTGTTGTTCATTCTGTGTTTGCCACAATGGGGTCCAGGCATCTTCTTGTTTTTGTGCTTGCGTGTGTCAGCTGTAGTGATTCCTACGTCCTCGGCGTGAGAGAGCCTAACTACTGGCAGGTTGAGGATGACCCAGCAGCAGAACCTGAGAAATCCCACTTCTGGGAGTCTACTCGACGAGCTGACGTGCTCCAACCATCAGTCGACCAACTGTCCTGGAGGTATCCACAAGATCCAGTAGATATAGTGAAGGAGACCCCTGTCGACTTTGAACTGGCACAACCAGTGAAGGTTGAACTGCCGCAACCAGCGACGGTTGAACGTGTTGCCGTGAGGTGTGGGGAAAGCAGGATCCAGGTGGAAGTGAGCCAGAACTTGCTAGGTTCTGGTGAGCTGATAAACCCAGAGGATATCACCCTTGGTGGTTGTCCAGCCACTGAGGTCGACAGCTGGTCTAATGTGCTGGTCTTTGACTATGAGCTGCACAACTGTGGCAGTACGCGAGTGGTGAGGTTTTTCGTCATATAATTCATTGCTATCACATGTTTTAGGCAACACCTGTTAATGTGGTGTTCTTGTTTCCTCAGATGACCGGGGACACCTTAGTTTACGCTTTTACTCTGGTCTACAACCCCGAGGTGTCCGGCGGAGTTCGCATCACAAGGAGCCAGAGTATGGAAATTGGAGTGGAGTGCCACTACCAGAGATGAGTCAAAAGCTGTCTCTGCCTGCACAGACCCACCTGAGTTTACTTCCTCCAAATCAACTGTTTAAGAGCGAACAATAAAGTTATTGCTGTCCCAGCACACTGGCTCCTTCTTGATATATGCCCCTAAAACTCCACAAGGCACAAACCTATGGCTGAACGTCCAAATTTCATCAATGACTTTGATGCCCATGCAAGATGGTATACTACCTCAATCATGTGCTAGATAACTGTTGTACGTTATCAGGTAACTTGGCAGCAACAATGTAATTCTCTGAATATGGCCGGCATCTTAACATTCAAAAAATGACCTTAAAGGAGCCTGTCTTTTTACATTTGACTGTGCTTGAATATCAAGCCTCATAGATGTAAACCGTCTGCCTTGTCTTGTCCCAATGGATTTCTGTGCTCCGTCCTGAAAAATGTGGTCCTATATGAGGTTATTTTGCACTTGACCCGGACTGGATTTGAATTCTCAAATTTGCTTGGGACGGTTCTTAACTGCGTGAAATGACATGGAAGTAGTATAGGTGGCTGCAATGATACAAATGGTACTTTTAATGCTTCCCTACTTTGCTCCTTCAGCATAGGACAGGCAGGAAATTGTAGTTTCGGCGCTGCTGACCAATGTTACTAACAAGCATGATTACGTAGCTAAAGCCTAGTTTATGCTTCTGTGTTTTCAGAGAGACTCAAAGACACGCAGACGCAAGAGCCCCTTGTGTGTCCCTTGCGTGCCTTTTCACACCACCTTGCGTGCGTCGACCCATTTTTCTAGGCTTGCGTCGAAAGCCACTCAAGCCTCCTGCAGCCCGCAAGGCTGCGATTGGTCTGCCAACTACATCCTTTCCGTAGTCTTACATTTTCGTTTTGATAGCACAATACCACCATTATTAAAACGAATGTTTACGAGAGAACGGATCAGATTGAAGAGCTTTTGTCGGACAAAATGCGTAAATATGACCACTTCTACAATCCGTCATCGGCGGATTATAAGGACGCGCAAATGGCCTCTGATTCACGAAGGGAGACTTCCACAAACATGCTTTGCCGGTTGAGGGGTGCACAAAGTTGTGGAGGAAAATACGGGACAAATATGTCCGCGATGAAAAGCAGCAGTGGCGATGTACGGGGCAATAAAGTCTATGATAAATAAATAAACAAATCAACGACTTCCACACCCAAAGACGTGACTTTCTAGGTTGTCTTCGACAAAAAACGTTACTCCACCTATTGTTCTGGCGGTGAATTGCACTGCAGCACGCAAGGCTTTTAGAACCATGAATTGAAACGAGTGCGTCGACACGACGGTGCGTAAATGCACAGAGGCAGAATCATGCGCCAGCCTTTAGTGAAGTTGAAATCTCGAAACGCTGTGGTTTTCCTTTCCTAAGTCTTAATGAATTCCCCTAACCATCTTTCCATGTGCCTGTGACGTTTTCCCCAAGAGGCCAAGGCATAGTTAATTTTTTTGACAATTTGAATTCAGCCCTACACTAGCCAGGAAGAGACTGGGTGGTGGAAAAGCCTTAGGTCTGTGTTAACTAAGCTTCCAACTAAATTCTCCTCACAACGAGACTTTAGTTTGTTAAAAAGTAATGAGTGAAAGTACACAATACAGCAAAATAAAAAACTCCCAATATGGCAGCATCATGTAAATACAAGTACTGAAGGCTGGCACATGCTTCTGCGTCGTTGCATCCACGCACTCGTTTCAATTCATGGTTCCAAAAGTTTTGCGTGTGTTGCAGAGCAATTCACCTCCAGAACAACAGGTGGAGTAACGTTTTTTTGTCGAAGGCGACCGAGAGAGTCACGTCTATTTATTTATTTGTTTATTTATTTATCATAGACTTTATTGCCCCGTGCATCGCCACTGCTGCTTTTCATCCCGGACACATTTGTCCCGTATTTTCCTCCACAACTTTGTGCACTTCTCGACCGGCAAACCGGCGTTTGTGGCGATCTCCCTCAATGAATCAGAGGCTATCCGCGCGTCCTTATAGTCTGCCAATGACGGGTCGTATAAGCGGCCCAGTGGATCTGTTCTCTCGTAAACAT